GAAACCAAAATGAATGGGCAATCTTTTTCATAGCTTCTCCATTACATTCAAGCTGATTTATGTTTGTCTCCTATGTCATTACTTACTGTACAGCCAGAGAGTGTCTATGTTTTCCTGGTAATGACCAGTGCAGGAAAACAGTAGATCTTAACTGTACGTGTGGCTGGCTATACAGGGTTCAAACAACCACTGTCAAAATTTTTGAGGGGAAATAACCTCTAATCTGGAGAATTTTTCTTTATCTTTTAAATTCTTGAGGTGATTTCAGAATCTCCTCATGATCCTTGTGTGCCTGATTGTGAAACCCTATTTAACAATTTCAGGGGAGATAAAGCCTTGAAACTTTCTTTTCCACTACCCAAAAAAGACACTGAAAATGGACAGCCTGACCTCACTATTTACAAATTCAGAGTTTGATAAGGGTAGGTTTGGAGAAAGATGGGTGTCCTGGGTCTCTTCTATATATAGATTCCTTTAGGCTTGTTCTGTTCAATGAACCACAGCTCTAGGTGCAGCTCCATCAATCTCTTGTGGGTTTACGTGTCTCTTCCTATGATAAGAGGGTGTATTGGTGGCACCAGTACTGTTCTTTTATTTTTTTTTAAATCAAAAGAGAGAGAGAGAGAGAGAGAGAGAGAAAGAATTTTAATTTTTATTTTTTAGTTCTCGCCGGACACAACATCTTTGTATGTGGTGCTGAGGATCGAATCCGGGCCACACTCATGCCAGGCGAGCACACTACCACTTGAGCCATATCCCAGCCCCTGTTCTTTTATTGAATAGTGCAACATAACAATGGATATTTCTGTAGTGAAGGAAATATCACGGGGCTCTGCTTTCCAAGTTATATTCTAAGTGTTTAATTTTTTGCATCTCCATCTAGTTGCTACATTTGAAGCACAGCATTAATTTATATTCACCCCTTTATTTGACCTAATTTGAAGAATTGTGCTTTTAACCTGATCTGTAGAACAGAGAGGTTTAAAAACATTCCATCTCACTGCCTTGCTGCCTGGATATCTGACTGTTGGGAAGTATAAACGGCAGCCGCACCCCAGAGAAAAACCCCAACATGGCGCCTAAGGACCTCTTCTTCCTACCTTCTTCTTTTCTGCAGTGGCGCGAAAAGTTCCCGCACCGGCGCCAAAGGCGCCAAATTCAAATCTCTCTGGCGGGGAACCTTAGCCCCAATAAGAACTAATTCCTGGGCTCCCGAGCTGATATCTGGAAGAACTTGCCAATAAACGTGTGGCCTGCCATTTATCTAAGCCCTACCATCTCCCCCTTAGTTATATATAAGCACACAGCCTTTTGCAATAAAATTGGAATTCTCCCGGCGAAGTGTCTTTGCGTGGAGAATTCTTTCACTGACTCCTTTCCATACATTTATTTTCCAATCCATATAGCTCTTCAGTAGAAAGCCGCTATTACATATATTGTCATTTATGAAGGAAGTTGGAGAATCACAGCTTTATGTGGGATAAGTTTTGTTTTAGACTTTGATACCCGCCAGCTAGGGTATCTTAATAGCAAGTTGCTCTCCCATCACTTTTCCTTCTCTCTGTCCTGCTGTTCCTTTCACCATGCTATGAGGACAGTTCACCACCTCTAGATGAATGGGCACCACTTAGTTTGTTTGTTAATAGGCAATTTTGAGAATGAAATGGGAGGATATAATTTCTTCCCTAGCACCTATTTGGGTATGAACATTCTGGCTGAAGAGGGATTCTTATATTTGGCTTCAAAATACATTTTTTTTTTCTCCTGGGTTTCATTCTTAAATTTTTCTAACTTTGGGTCCATATTTATCATTCCTCTCCATATAGGAAGCCCTTTTCTTACAGAGCCATGGTAGGACACTTTAAAATCCCAGTAGAAAACACTAAAAGGAAGTCTGTAAAATCACTAGTGATTAACTCCTGGGAACCTATTTTCTCAATCTTCCTTTGTGTTGTGTTCTTTGTATTCTCAAAATAATAACATATTATGTATTTGAATTGCTGAAAAATTGAAAATGAAGTTTAAGACATATGTATATAGGGCTGGGGTTGTGGCTCAGCCGTGGAGTGCTCGCTTAGCACATGCGAGGCCCTGGGTTCGATCCTCAGGACCACATAAAAATAAATAAATAAAATAAAGGTATTGTGTCCAACTACAAATAAAAAATAAAAAACATTTTTTAAAAAAAGATATATGTATATAAAGCTGTATTGGTGCAATGGTGATAATTAAAAATATGGATGGCTGGGGTTGTGGCTCATTGGTAGAGTGCTCACCTAGCATGCATGGGGCACTGGGTTTAATCCTCAGCACCACATAAAAAATAAAGATATTGTGTCCACCTAAAATTAAAAAATAAATATTTTTTAAAATATGGGAAGAAAAAAACAGTGAATCTCTTCTGATTATAAAAAGGCTATGTAGCATCAAACAGACCATAGGTAAAGGTGTGGGGGTCAGAAATCCAGTCAGAAAAGCTGGTTAACTGTGTCCATGGACCTTGCAGGGGAGAGAGGAAGGGGGTGAATGCAAGAGCAGTAATTCCAGAAAGATTGCAGTGGTGCGGGGAGGACCCTGCAGGAGGACAACAGCAATCTTTCCTTTGTAGATGACAAGGAGCCCTCACTCAGCTGCAAGCTCTGGAGGCTTGATATGGAGCTGGGGATTAAGGAGTTCCCAGAGAATATCACAAGAATGCATCACAACACTCTTCAGTGCACTCAAAGCAGTCCTAGGACTGCTTGACATTGGTGCCACATGTGTCCTTCAGCCATTCCCAGAAGAGGTCATCTTTCTTTAGCACCAAAAACTGACCAAGAATGACATATGCCTTGTCAAAGCCGCTTTCCTCCAGTTTCTTGCCCAGGACTTCACCAGTCCCAGCCAGTTTCCCTGAAGCCAGATTTAAAGTTAGGTAGTGCAGTTAAGTAAATCCGGTCTAATATCGGTAAGATCCAAAATGGAGGCCATGTTTAGAATGAATTCCAGGAAAAGTTGAACAACTCTTGGAATGTTAATGAGGTCCCTGAAAAGCCCAGAGCCCATCCCAAAGAAATGTTAATGAAGATTACTTGTTTGCCCCACCTGTGCCCCACCCTTTGGGCCTTCCCTACATTCCATCAATGAAAGAACTAAAAAAGGGGAAACTACCACACTTCCTTGGATTCCATCTCTTGGGACCCCTTCTTCCTCCGGGAGACTCTTTTCTGCTGTCCTTTAATAAGCTTCTATTTTCCACTCTGATCTTGCCTCGTCGTGCTTCTCTGGTGTTATACTTCAACATTGGGGAAGCAAGGATTCGTCACCGATCAACAGCGGTAACATCCCTACTGGCTTTTTCCCATAGGGACTTTAGGTGCTTTGGAGAGGTTCTCTCTCTTTTTTTTTGGTACTTGTCTATGGACAGAATGCTTTATTTAATTTTCTTTATTTTTATGTGGTGCTAAGGATTGAACCCAGTGCCTCACACATGCCAGGAAAGTGCTCTGCCATGGAGCTATATCCCCATCCCAGGTTGTCCTCTGAATGCAGCCTTAACACGCAGCTCCAGCTCCTGTAATGGCTGCTCTCCAAAGTATAGCTTCTTTTTAAAAAATATGGGGAAGTGCTAGAGTAATAAAAACCAATCAATCAGTGATGCTTTGCCTTTTGGAGTTGTTCTGATAGCACACAGGGCACTTCAAGGTAGAATGTACCTATTGCTCTTATTTTTCTTTTCCTTTAAAAACATTGAGAAAGTTATACCCAGGAGGTATGTTGAGCCTATGAAAAAAATGAACTTCAGGGCTAGGAATGTAGCTCACTGGTAGAATTCTTGCACAGCGTGTGTGAATCCTTGCCTTAAAAAGGGAATTTTTAGTGGGTTGCAGTGGTGCACACCTGTAATCCCAGTAGTTTGGGAGGCTGAGGCAGGAGGACCAGAAGTTCAAAGCCAGCCTTAGCTATTTAGCAAGGCCCTAAGCAACTCAACAAGACCCTGTCTCCAAATAAAATATAAAAAGGACTGGAGGTTTTGCTCTATGGTTAAGTCCCCCTGAGTTCAATCCTCAGTACCAAAAAAGGGAACTTTTCAAAAAGTTTGACACTAGGTTGTTAATTCAGGAAGAACTGTATACTTGATTCTGTGGAACTGAGAAGACTTCAGTGAACCCCCTCAAGATGAGGGGACCTGAGGGCCTCTTTTCATAGGTTGTGAGGAATTAAGTGCCTATTCTTTCCCAGAAGGAAGAATTTAGATTTGGGGGTCGTAGAATTTCTGCCATTAATAAAACAGCATTTTGTGATCAGTATACACAATGGCATGTTCCTTGGCCATAAAGAAGAATGAAATTAGGGCAAATGCCCGTAAATGGGTGGAACTGGAGGCTATCATGCCAGGAAATAAACTAATCCCCAAAAAGCAAAATCCAAATGTTCTCTCTGATATGCAGATGCTGACTCACAATGGGAGGGCGGGGTTCCACCTGATTAGACTAGGGGCAGGTGGGAATGGGAAAGACAGTGGAATGAATTGGAGCACAACCAGTGTAACTTCATATCATATATAACCACAGGAATGGGAATTTGTACTCCATGTATGTATGATATGTGAAAATACATTTTACTGTCCTATATAATTAAAAAGAACAAATTTTAAAAATGCTCAAAAAACAGAAAGAAAGAAAACAGCATTTTGTCCGGACACAGTGAGGCATATCTGTAACCCCAGCAGCTCAGGAGGCTGACATATGAGGATTGCCAGTTCAAGACCAGCATCAGCAAGTTAGTAAGACCCTAAACAAGGCTGTCTCAAAACAAACAAACAAAAAAACAAAAAGGGCTGGGGATGTGGCTCCCAGTGGTAAAGCATTCCTGGGTTAAATATCTAGTAACCAGTGGGGTGGGCGTGGGGAAACAGTATTGAGTCAACCTTTGAGTAAGATTAGAGTTCTTAAGTTCTGTATGATTTAAAAGGGTTCAGCACTGAGTCAGTGTTGGAAGTTGAATTTATTCCTTTTCAGAACTCAACAGTGACAATTGAAGAATTCCATTGCAAGCTCCAAGAGGCTACAAACTTTCCTCTTCGTCCTTTTGTGATTCCATTCCTCAAGGTAATTCTATGAGAACCACTGAATGTAATTGTTTTCTTCAACATTTCCACAAGATCCAGGGATCCCTGTTATGTGATCTAAATCAGGGTGGGTTGCCACATTTTCATATCAATGTTTTATTGGGGGCTGGTAGAGAGGTGTAAATGCAGTTTTCCAAATACATTAGCCTCATGCTTGATGAAATGAGAATTTTAATAGCCTTGTGTTGTGATCTTTGTGCAGTCACTGTTGATAATACACAGAAGGGGCAAGTAGAGAAATTACTGGCCAGTAAATCTTTAGGGTGTGGCGGAGGTAGAAAAGTGTATTATCTGAGAGGACGTATTTTGATCTTATGCTAAGGTCTGTAGGAAGTGAGAAGGCAATGTTTGTGTCTCCCCAAGCTCCAATTAGTCTAGTCTTTATTAGTATCCTCTGAAACTATTTTCTGGATCATAACTTTTGGTGACACTTCTAAAAATCAGTTTTCCTGTTAAGTGAGGCAGTGTATATTTATATGGAATCATGGCCCTTTCATAAAGATTTTTTATTTTGAAATAATTTCGTGCTTACAGATAAAGTACAAAATAGTACAATAAAATTCCTGTATTGCCTTCACCCAGATTCTACACTAAAGTTAACATTTTACTACAGTTGTATTATCAATATGTATTTCTTTAGAAATGCTTGATACATCTAAATGCAATTATCAGGGGCGAGGATTGTGGCTCAGCTGTAGAGTGCTCGCCTAGCACACATATACTGTTACCTGATCTGTAGAACTTATTTATGTTTCACCAATGTCTCACTAATGTTCTTTACAGCAAAAGAAAACTTTGTGGGGCTAGAAGCATGATCCTGCATTGAATTCAGTGTCACATGTTACATTTATTTGCCTTTCTAGTCCACTGGAACAGTTTCTCAGCTTTTCATGAACTTTACATTTTTTTTTAAAGGTTTACATAGGTTACTTTATAGAATACTCCTTAATTTGTTTTGTTCTAACACTCTTTATGAGTAGAATCTGGTGATGATTTTGGAAAGCAAAGCCCATAGTGGATTATGACAAGCTATAGAAGAGCTAGGTAGTGATTTGACCCTTCGTTGGGTCAATGTCTGTCATATTTTCCCACCATAAAGTTACTGTTTTCTCCAATTTTATCATAATTTTCCAAAAATAGATAATATTGTCATTCATAGGTAACAGTGAATGCATAGCAAAGATTTTATTTAGTTCATAGTTAAGGAAGGATTAAGATATCTCAAACAATTCAAAAGAGAATTAAAATAATAGAAACATTTATATATCAGAATTACTGATAGGGCCAGGTACCATGGCACATGCCTGTAATCCCATTGGCTCTGGAGGCTGAGGTAGGAGGATGGAGAGTTCCTATCCAGCCTGATCGATTTAGTTTCAGTCCAGCCTGAGCAGTTTAGCCAGACTCTTAAGCAACTTAGTGAGATACTGTATCTAAATAAAATATGAAAAGGTCTGGGGATGTGGCTCAGTGTTGAGTGCCCCTGGGTTCAATCCCTAGTACCCCCCCCCCCAAAAAAAAAAATACTGATAGGATTTTGCAAACACAAGTAGAACTATCTTCTTTTCCAGTGGGCAAGAGAAGTCAGTTAAACCTCCTCAGCCATAATTTTCGTGTCCATAGGCAACAGTTACTTCCACCACTGTCAGTTATCTCTAAGTTAGAGTTGTAACTCAGAGGCAACCAAAGACTAGATAGAGTCACATACCAGTTTGTTGTAAACCAAGTTTAGTGAAATATGATCCAAATCTAGTACACCACATGGTTTTGTACAACTAAGAATGGCTTTTAAATATTTGCAGTTCATTTGATTATAGGAATTAGTAACTTGAACCCCAATTAAGCTAAATGTTATTCCATCTGTCTGGAGTCTCCATTCTTGTTAGTAGTAGATTGATAATTAATTACCCCCCCCCTCAAAAAAAAAAACTGTTCAGCTGTATATTATGTTTTGTTTAGTACAATATATGGAAATTGTTTTCTTTTTATGAGTACCTATATTAATAGCTTTAATTTTGCCTCTTACCTCACAAAGCCTAACACTAATACAAAGCCATATAAATATAACCCCTTTACTCTCTTTTATCTTTCTTTCATTTCCCTAGAAAATGTTTCATTTTGTTTTTTGTGGTACTGCGAATTGAACCCAGGGCCCTGTGCATGCAAGGCAGGCACTCTACCAACTGAGCTGCATCCCCAGCCCCCCCAAAATGTTACAGCTTCAAAAAAATGAGTTGTTATACAAAGTTGTATAGGAGAGCTAGATCTGCACTGATTTTAAAAACCTTCTGAACAGAGCATGGCAGACCTGCAGGAAAGTGCAGATCCATCCAAGGTGCACAAGCCTAGCTGCTGTGCTCAGAGCAGCTTGTGGTGCCTTTTTCGGACTTTAAACAGTGGTGCTACTTCTATCTTGATCTCCTTTCTGTATGTCAGAGCTGACAGTTTGCTATTTCCCCTAAGACTGTAAAGTCAAGAAAGATCTGTGAAATTTGTGTTAAAAAACAATTAGCATTTTAAAAAACTCACTAAAAGGTACTCATCACAGATATAAAGATCTGACATGGCTTTTTTCAGGTTTTTTTTGTTTTTTGTTTTTAAGAGACAAACTCCCTTATTTTTTTTAATATTTATTTTTTAGTTATAGGTGGATACAAGATTTTTATGTTATTTTTATGTGGTGCTGAGGATCCAACCCAGTGTCACACGCATGGTAGGTGAGTGCGCTACCCTGAAGACCTTAAAAGAGCGTATTTTAGGGATACTGCTACATTGATGTTCATAGCAGCACAATTCACAATAGCTAGACTACCACTGAGCCACAACCACAGCCCTCCATTAAATTTTTATAGTTGCAACAAGATTGGGGTTATAGAACAGACTTAGAACCTGTTTTTGGAAAACAGCACAAGGTAGGTGGTTATAGCAGCTTTTTGGCTAGTTTTTAGAGTTTTGTCAATTTATTTGTTTTAAAAGTCACTGATATTAACCCTCTCCTTCACTTGCTCAATCTATCCCTTAGAATAAAAGCGTTCTATTACAAGCTTAAGCTTGAATTATGTTTAAATTTGGGGAGAAATATGATTCTTTTCAATTTATTTAAATGAAATAAATGTGGAAAATGCTATTCTGTGTGAGTTCAAGGGAGGCGGGCAGCAACCAAAGGAGGCAGATTTTAAAAGGCCGCTGAAAGAGGCTTTACTGAGATGTCACTCAGGGGCGGAACACGATCAGACTGGCAAAGTGCACAGGAGAAGGGTCCCTGAGAAACCGCCTGGGAGGTCGACCGGACTGGGATTTTATGGGCCTTACAGCAGGAAGGGAGGGGCTTAGGACAGGAAAAGGTGTTTTTAGAGTTCCTTGTCCCGCTTGAGTTGGTCAGGGGAGCTGGCTGAACTCCAGGATTGGTCAGAAGATCCTGCTGATTGACAGGCGCTAGCCCGGAGATCCCCCTTACTGACAGGCCTTTCCATCAGCACCTGAAGAATGTTTCTTTCCAGCGCGGGCTGCTTTGTTCTCTTAAGTCACTTCCACCGACCTGGCATTCTGTGTATGAGGAATTTGAATTCTGAGTTTAAAGCTTAAGAGAAGGGCTGGGGATGTGGCTCAAGCGGTTGCGTGCGGCCCGGGTTCGATCCTCAGCACCACATACAAACAAAGGTGTTGTGTCCGCCAAAAACTAAAAAAAACAAATAAATATTTAAAAATTCTCTCTCTGTCTCTCACACACTCTCTCTTAAAAAAAAAAAAGTTTAAGAGAAGAAATATCTGTATGCAATTAATTCTCCTTTCACAGGCTACATCACTCCCAATTTTTTTTTTCAAAACCTCAGGTTCCAGTGGGTTGAGATGGCTCCAGAGGCTAAGGCAGGATAGCAAGTTCAAGGACAGCCTGAGCAAAATCCTGTCTCAAACAAAAAGAGGAGGAGGGCCAGGGGGATGTTGGTTGCTCAGTGGTAGAATGCCCCTGGGTTCAACCTCCAGTACCAACATCCTCACCTTACCCCACCCCCCAAAAAATAAATCCCTTATGTTTTAGAATAATTCCAGTTGCCAGAATTCAAAGGTAGCACTCTAGAGAACATGAAGAGAAGGCTGAATAGTGCTATCAGAGATAGATGGAGACTCAGAAGGGAGAAACTAGGGTTTGTAATGGTAGAGTTAATTTCTCCTATTCTTGTGTAGGCTATACCTGACCAAGGTCTTTCAAAAATTGTTTCAAAATTATTATGATCAACAAATTTTTATTGAACTTTTACCCTTGACTAGGCCACAAAAGTAAATGAGTCACAGTCCCTTCCTTGTAGGGGATTCATTTACATCTTTGGGGGCAAGAAACAAGTAGCAGTAATTCAAGTACTGCATAATAGACCACACTTCACTCACAAAAGAGGCTGATGAGAATCTGACTAAGAAGCAGAGAGCTTTTGTCTTGTGTTAACCTGCTTTGTGAAAGCTCTTTGAGGTGCTAATCCCTGTTGTGTAGGGCTCAGCACTGGGAAATTTGCCTCTTGTTTTCAAGGCCAACTTGCCCCTGCTGCAGCGAGAACTGCTGCACTGTGCTCGGGCTGCCAAGCAGACCCCGTCCCAGTACCTTGCTCAGCACGAACACCTTCTGCTCAACACCAGTATCGCGTCTCCTGCCGATTCTTCAGAGCTGCTCATGGAGGTTCATGGAAATGGAAAAAGACCCAGTCCAGAGAGGTGAGCAAAGAAAAGATCTATTATTCTTGCTCTCTGGAACCTCACTGACCTTCCTCTTTGATTTTGAACGAAAGAATTTAATTGCTGTGGTTGTAGATGGATAATGTCTTAGACTTTCTAAGGTTAGTTTTGCTTTGTCCCAGCAATTCTTCAGATGACTGTAGTCCACTGCTCCAGAAGCAGAAGAAACTCGTTTACTCCTATACCTTCACTCAGCAATCAACATAAAAGACTTCTTTGACCAAATGTGGATATTTCCCCCCATACATCAGGCAGGAATCAGTTCTGTAGAGGTTGTCCTTCAGTTCTGATGCTGTCTACCTGGAAATACTATGGCAGATTCTGTGGTTTGAAGGCTCAGACCCCTAAATTGCATGCTTCCTTCAGATGCTATTAAAACAAACCCCAGATTGTTTTACCAGTGTGTCTGACTAACTGGCTATATAAATTGGGTTTCATATATCTGCTCCTCAAATTTTATTAATTAGCTCTAGTAGCTTACAGAACTTGGAAACTTTGGCATTTATTGGTTTATAATAAAGGATATTACACAGGCTATTAATAAAAACCAGCTACAAAGATGAATAGGACAAGATATGGGGGATAGAAAGTGGAGTTTCCACACCCTATCCTGGTAAGTGCACCACCCTCCAGGATCTTCCCTGTTCTGTTGTTCTGACCCTGCTGATTTATGCCTATAATCCTAACTTCTCCAAGGCCGAATCCAGAGAATAACAAGTTCAAGGACAGCCTTTGCAACTTAGTGAGACCCTGTCTCAAAAAAGGTGGGGGTGGGTGCTGGAGTGTAACTCAGTGGTAGAGCACCCCTGGGTTAAATCCCTATTGTCATTCCCCCCCCCAAAAAAATGTTCTCCATCCATTGAATTTTTGTGGAGGTTTCATTACATAGGCATAATTGATGAAATCATTGGCCACTAGTATAAATTTGATCTTCAGTCTTTCTTCTTTCCCTAGAGGTTGGGGGTTGGGCAGAAAGTCCCAGCCCTCTAAAGCTGCCTTGGTCCTTCCAGGGACCATCCCCCATGAGGAAGTTACCTTGGTGCTTCCTTCCATCAGTCATTAACATAGAAAAAGACACTTAACACTTTGAAGATTCCAAGGATTTTAGGAGTTTATGTGCCTGGAAACTGGATGAAGACCAAATATTTATTTCACAATATCCCAAGTAGTTTATCAAGGAAGCAATATTTTAACAACAATGGAAAATTGGTGACAGTTGAAGCTGAGTGATTGAAAATCCTATCAAGTAATAAGAGGATTAGTTATGTGTCCCCCCTTTTTTTAGTTGTTGATGGGCTTTTTAAAAAAATTTATGAGTGCTGAGAATCAAAGCCAGTACCTCCCGCCCAACACACACACACACACACACACACACACACACAGTGCTCTACTACTGAGCTACAATTCCAGCCGGTATTGTTCTTAATAATCCACCTCCATAGGAACACATTTGACCTTAAAATATTCCTAAAGCATACTTGAATTCATTACCTTCCATATTCCCCTCTCATAGAAAAATAATGTCATTTACTTGTTCTCTTCATGAGGATTATATGTTTCTGCCTGATTATGGATAGATTTGACCTCTTTTTATGCTGGAATAAATCAGCAATTTATAATAATAATAATATGCTTTGCCCCTAAAGACTATTCATTTTATGCCTCAAATCTTTCCTAAACTAGGCATGGTGGCATAGTTCTCAGCTTCTCCTAAGCTGAGGCAGAGGGATCATTTAAGCCCAGGAGTTTATCTAACTTGAGCAGCATAGCAAGACCCTTTTCATTACAGTCTTCCTGCTTAAGAACATGCTGGCACAGTACATGTAGAGTAGTGCTCAGGAAATGTTTGCATGAACTCTTGTTGACATGCGCAGATATGCGCTTCTGTTTCTTCTACAGAAGGGAAGAGAGTAATTTTGAAAGAGATACTATTCCTCCTGAGCCTCCAGCCAAGAGAGTGTGTACCATCAGCCCTGCTCCTAGGCACAGTCCTGCCCTCACTGTGCCCCTTATGAATCCTGGGGGCCAGTTCCATCCTACTCCTCCACCTCTCCAGCACTATACGTTAGAAGATATTGCAACTTCTCACCTATATCGGGAACCCAATAAGATGCTAGAACATCGAGAAGTTCGTGAGAGGCACCACAATCTTAGTAAGTATCCTAAACAGCATGTTGAGGGTCTAAATCTAGACAGAATCCTTGAATTTCTTTCCTACTCAGTAATAAAATCCAGTGCTATTGCTTCTTTTCAGTGATAAATTAAAGCAATAATATACATAAAAAAGAATATTACAATCATAGTTGATCTTATTAGAAGTTGAACTGGCTTCAAATATTGTTGCTATTCCATTATATGAAGGAAAACTGAAATTTGGCCCAGTGGCTCTTATCTTCAATCCCAGCTACTCAGGAGTCTGCAGCAGGAGGATCTCAAGTTTGAGGACAGCCTGTGCAAGTTAGCAAGACCCTGTCAAAAAATGAAAAAAAAAGGAAGGTTGGGAATGTAGCTCAGTGGTAGAGCACCCCTGCCTTCAAACATAAGGAAAAAAAAAAAAAGAGGCAAAAAATCTGAAAAGGGAAAATCAATTTTACAAAAATAGCAAAATATATACAATGATAGAGACTAGAACTGAACAAATTCTAGGAAGTACACTGGAATAAAGAATAAAAGGGCTTCACTTATTCTCAGATGGTTCAAAATAGAGAATTAAAAGGCAAATGAGGTAAAATGTTAACATGGAAATCTATACAAAAGGTATAATAGCTATGTAAGGATTTTTGCTGGGATTGAATTCAGGAGCACTTAATAGAGAAAGGATCTCCCTAAATTGCTTAAGGCTTGCTGAGTTGCTGAGGCTGGCTTTGAACTTGTGATCCTTCTGCCTCCATTTCCAAGTCTCTGGGATTACAAGCATGTGTCACCATGCTGGCCTATAACAATTTTTTATACTACTCATAACTTCTGTAAGTCTGAATTTATATTAGAATTAAAAGTCTTTAAAATCAAACACAAAAGTCGGGCACGATGGCACATGCCTGTAAATCCCAACAGATCAGGATGCTGAGGCAGGAGGATCACTAAGCCAATGATAGCAATTAATGGAGACTATTTCTCAAAATAAAAAGAGGGTTGGGATGTGACTTAGTGGTTAAGCACCACTGGATCCAATCCCTGGTATCAAAAAAATTTTTAAAATAATAATAAACACAAAAGGTGTAAAATAATGTGGTGTTGTTTTACGGACAAACGAGGCAAGGCACCGAAGATAGCAGGAAACAGTTTTATTTGGCTGCAGCCAGGTTCAGAGGGTACAGCCTTTGCTGTAATCAATCAATCCCCTGAACCCCGAGTTCAGGGAGTTTCAGAGTTTTATACCCAGTGTGTAAGGGGAGGGGCTCAGAAGTTCACAGTCTGCAGAAGTTCACATAAAAGCAGCTTTTTCTTTCACTGTTCTGGATATGTTAACTCTTCAAGGACAACACCTGAGAAGGGGAGAGCTTCATCTCCCCTTTTCTTTCCTCCCCCTGCCAGCTGTTACCATGGGCCCATTTGTAACTTATCTTAAAAATGTAGTAGACATCTCTTTGAAGCCCAGCTCAAGGCCAGAGGCCTTATTTGCACATTTCTTCAAAGTACTATACTGGATAAGTTTGTGAAAAACTAGTAAGGGGGTGTCTAGCACCTGGAGTGCTGGTATCTTCTCTGCCAGTGGCCAAGTAAACAGGGCAACATGAAAATAGGAAGTTTATCTACAACGGACTCTTGCTGCAGTCCTAAAATCAGCCATGGTGAAGCAGGCTTTTCTGTGGAGAAAGGGGGTGCCACTTCAGTGTGAGCTGTGAAAGTTTATAAATGTTTTATAAGGAGGTGAGGTATAACTAAACTTAAATCTTGCCTCTACATCTGCCCCGCCCAGTGGTACATACTTGTAATCCCAGTAACTCAGGAGGCTGAGGCAGGAAAATCACAAGTTTGAGGCCAGCCTCAGCTACTCAGCAAGATCCTGTCTCAGTGAAAACAAAAAAGTGCTGAGCATATTGCTCTGCTTTTAGAGCACCCCACCCCCAACCCCGCCCCAGGGGGAAAAAATCTTGGCTCTACATCTAACTAGCTGTGTGATCTCATGGAAGTTGCTTGGGTTCTCTAAGCCTCAAGAATAGTAATTTCTGCAATGGAGCGAAAACTATCTCCTTTGCTGGATTGTTAAATTTGTATATCCTAGCCTCAAACCATTAAATTTGGCGGGGCGGGACCCCAACAAATCTAATCTGTGATCTGTTTTTAGAATTTTTTAGATTGTATTCAAACAAGTTTATTGCAGAAGATTTTTTTGGAGTTTAACTGCTGACCATTGTTCAGGAGGAAGAATCAAAGGGCTATTTGCTTCCAGGGTTTTTCCTACATTTCCATTTGTGAGGCACTTACCTTGTGGAGTAAAATATTGCAACATCTTTGCCCCTCCCCCGCCACTTGGCTCACTGGCTTTTTTTCAGAGGCTTAATGCTGCAGACTTCATGCAGTGGTAGCTAAATGGTGAAGGCTGATAGCCTTGTTGTTTCCAGCTACCAGCATTAACTGAGTCTTTGCTAACACTGCAGTATGTAATTTAATTCTCAAAGAAGCCCAAAGCATTCATGTCCATTTAACAGATGTGATAAAGAACAACTATGGCCAATAGATATAGCTTTAATAAACGGCAGAAACAAGATTCAGATGCAAACTCGGATCCCCAGAGATTCGGTCTTGGCAGTATATCAGGATCCTCCTTTAAAACCTACTTCCTATTTTCCCACACCTCTTATTTATCTGTTAAAAACTAGACTTGCTAGCTGGGCATGGTGGTGCCTGTAATCCCAGTGACTCCAGAGGCTGAGGTGGGAGGATTGCAGGTTTGAGGCCAGCCTCAGCAATTTAGGGAGACCTTGTTTTAAAAAAAAAAAAAAAGAGTGGTATTTTGCCCTTGCCTTCACTCACCAGTATCTATTCACCCCACCTCCTCATACACATTTTCTTATCTTTTTTCAAACTTATTTTTTAGTTTTAGGTGGACAAATCTTATTTTTATGTGGTGCTGAGGATCAAACCCAGTGCCCCATGAAAGCTAGGTGAGCACTCTACTACTGAGCCACACCCCAGCTCCACATACACATTTTCTGCCGGTTTGATTGAGAGAAAAGAAAGCTAAAAACTAGCCATATGTATCTTAACAGATTTCATTTGTATTTCTAACAGTTTTAGACTTTTTTCCCTATCATCTTGAAATATACTTTATATGATTATTTGTTTATTTATCTATTTTTATTTTTCTGTTTGTGTACTGGGAATTAAACTCAGGAGTAGTCAACCACTGAGTCATATCCCCAGCCCTATTTTGTATTTTATTTAGAGACAGGGTCTCACTGAGTTGCTTAGCACTTGCCGTCCTCTTGCCTCAGCCTTGTGAGCTGCTATGATTACAGGCATGTGCTACTGTGGCCCACTTGAATGATTATTTATGATTTCTTTTAGGGTCAATACTCTGTCTGCCAGGCTCATTATAGATTCCTTAATTTTTCCCAGACCTGCTTGAAAACATGTCCTCTATTATAATGGTTTTTGTTGTTGTTGTTGTTATATAAATGACAACTTTATTTATAATTATTTGACATCTATTTCTTTTTTTATTATTTTTAGTTATATATGACAGTAGAATATATTTTGATACCTCATACATATATGGAGTATAACTTCCCATTCTTATAGTTGTACAAGATGTAATATACTGGTTGTGTATTCATATACGAACACAGGAAAGTTCTGTCTGATTCATTCTACTGACTTTCCCATTCTCATCCCCTCTTTCCTTTGTGCAATCCAATGAACTTCTACTCCCATCCCCCCACCCCCCCAATGGTTCTTAATCCTTACTTAATTCATCATGGAACCCACCTCTCTTAAGCAAATATATTTCCCCTTTTGCTCTTCTAAAATGAACTTCATGGATACTGTAGCCTACTTTAAATCCATAATTTTAGGATCAATATTCTATCATAACTGTAATATGTAAGAAGTTATTACATTATTAAATGTGTTTGTGTTCAGACATGGCTACACTGGAAAATAAGATGAAATAAGCAGATTCTTACACTAATGCAGAACCAATATGAATATACCTGTAAATTCAGACTGATGGTGAGAGTGTTTTATTAATGACTCAAAGACTATAATCAGTGTGTTACTGTCTGTAACATGAGTTTTTCAAAATAGTGTTACTTCTTGATTTGGTGTACCCTTGATTCACAAAATCATGGTATTCCTAGAAATTTCAATGTTTATTTGGGTCGGGCTATAGCACAGGAGTAAAGCATTTGCCTAGTATGCATGAACCCCTGGGTTTAATCCCTAATAACTAACACACACACACACACACACACACACAGAGTAAAAAAGAAATTTTGGTATATATCAAATATTGGTGATACACTGCTGTTTCCATTATACAGTCTAGTTTTAGTGGTTAAGCAGTTATATTGTATCACTTTTCTGTCAGCAAAGTATCATCTGAAATTTTTATTTTTCCCACTATGTTGGATATGAACTGCTTTCTCAGTGAAGTTTTTATTTTTAATAAAAATAAAAACTGCTTGTAAGTGTGGAGTATTTTTTCAAGTTTATGATATTAAAGTTTTTAAGATTGTGTATGTTTACTTGGCAGAATTTAATTCTACTGTATTCTTCCCACTCTTCATATTATTCTTTATTTTCTAATAGGTCTAAATGGAGGCTATCAGGATGAGTTGGTAGACCACCGTTTGACAGAAAGGGAATGGGCTGATGAATGGAAACATCTTGACCATGTAAGAAGCTTAGCATGTTTAAGTTCCCTAACTTTTTATTACCGTTAATTCTTAATACTACCGACAGTTCATGTATGCTTGAAGTGAATATAATGAGAGCCATGAGATCCTTTCTTTTAATTAAAACTCTCCACTACTCCCTCAGCTGGAGAGCTACGGAGTCACACTCAGCTCTTGGTAGGATGATCTCTTCAGTTTATGAACCAGGTGATCATATAGAAAATGGTTGAAGCATAGGCTTATGAGTTTACGTTCCAGTTTTTCCCTCTTCCTGCCTTCTTCATCTCAGTAAATTGTTTTACCTTTGTTAGCCTTAGTTTTTATATATACATAAAAGAATTCAGCATTATTTGAATTCACAGTAGGGTTTTACCAATATATAACATGGTTACTATTGGGCCGGACACATAGAAAGTGTTAATTAAGTAAATGGAACTCCTCCAAATACAAACAATAATTAGTAGTGTACAGAATGTAAGCTTGGGTTCTCTTTCCCTTTGGAAGAATTTTCCTGCCTTAAAAAGGGAATAAAATGTGTAGTGCCTGTTTGAAGTGGGCATATTATAGTTTTTTCTCCTTGAGCAATCATTGTTGCTGATCCTTGTGTCTCATATTATTATAGAAATCTCTAGTTTTATCACATGACTATTTATTTAGGCAGAGACTTAATATGGTTTAATCAGTTTTTAAAGCTTCATGTTATAATGAGATTGTATGGTTACTTCAACTTGGAAGAACCCAAAAAACAGTTTTTTTTAATCCAAAAAAGTAATACAATATCTGCTGCATATTGATATTTCAGTCAACGACTTACAACATTTATGATCATCTTCCCACAAGATATGTCACCTAGGGAGGTTGTAACTGTCTTAGTCTATGGAAGTATACTCCATGATGTTCACACAACAGAATTGCCCAATTACATATTTCTCAGAACATGTCCCTATCATTAAGCAACATGTGACAGTACTTAAATTATGTGTTTTGTGCTGTAGGCCTTGTGTATTCATAGTATAACAACTATTTACATCACATTCATATTGGATTAGGTATTTATAAGTAGTCTAGAGTTAATTTAAGATATATGGGAGGATATGCATAGATTATGCAAATACAACCCTATTTTATATAAAAGACTTGAATGTCTATGGCTTTGGTATCCACTGGGTTCCTGGAACCAATCCCACATAAATGTGTAAGGATATATATATTGTGTTTGCCTGTCCTCAATTTTCAGTGTACATTGTTTGAATTTCCTCATCTCAGCCTTACTTTCTCTCTCGGTCAGGCCCTGAATTGCATTATGGAAATGGTAGAGAAAACAAGGCGCTCCATGGCAGTTCTGAGGCGCTGCCAGGAATCTGACCGTGAAGAACTCAACTACTGGAAAAGACGATTTAATGAAAACACAGAGATGAGGAAAACAGGGACCGAGTTGGTCTCCAGGCAGCACAGCCCTGGGAGTGCAGATTCACTCAGCAGTGGTAAGGGCAGAGTCTGACGGAACTCAGAGTAAACATCAGCCTTTGGATTCCACCTAATATGCCAGATCTGTTCTACTTTAAAGAAAAGTGGTACTACACTGTGGAGTTAGGGAGAATTGGGTGACTATGAAGAGTAAAGGAAAAAATATGTGAAGTGCTGGTACTTGTCATATTCTAAGAATGTTCATTCTTCCTCAGAGAATGAGAATATTTTTTATTTTGTTCTTTTCCCCCTTCCCATACCACACACACACACACACACACACACACACACACACACACACACACGAGAATGATCAAAGAGTGGTTGTTAAATTCAGGCTTGCTGAATGTACTATCCTGTCAGGAAAAACTGTCTTTTTCCTTCTTGTGCTCTTCACACTACAATCACCACAAAAGATTTCTCCCCATCAGCAAAAAAGCGGTCCTGCAGCAGTGGAGACCCACTGACTGTCCTCCAGTCCAATTCAGTTCTGACACTGTCTACCTGGAGGTACTGTCAGGTACCACATGTTGGGAGCTCAGTCCCCAACTTGTATCACCTCAGCCTTACATGCCGGGAACAGGCCCCAGGTTGCTTTACCCATGCTTCTGACCTCTTGGATATAAACCAAGCTTCCCACAATTCCCTGCTTGGATTCTTTTATTTGGATGGGTGGCTTGTGGAATTCGGGGGAACAGATTTCTTATAAAGTATATTACAGAGGATACAGATGAAGTGACATATAAGGAAGGATATGGGGGAAGGGACACAGAGTTTGCATGCCTTCTCCAGACCTGCCATCTTTCAGCAATCTCCACATGTCTGGCTAACTGAATGTGTTCTGAAGTTCTCTTAGCCCTGACCCTTGGGGGTTTATGAAGTCTTCATTGTGTATCTAATGCCAGTGGACTGGGTGGGGAAACCCAGCAACTCCTTCTCCAACATCCTTGTCTTCTTTGCAGCAGCTCTTCCTTCAGGGCATGGGGCAGGACCTCTGTAGAATGAGGAGTATCTACTAACCAATTATCAGACAAGGTGGTTTAGAGAATTTCCTTATGGCCAGCTCTAACAAAAGTGGGGGAAGAACAGAGTTATTCTTGTGTGCATATCATAATAACAACTGTATTCTCGTGCCATCACTTTTATTTCTCAGAGTAACCTAGAAAGTGTTCGCCTCATTTTGCCTCCTCTTTTCCCCAGTACCTTATTCAGGAAAATAAAACTATCAACCACTTCCTGGTAGCCTTCCACAAAAGGTTTGGCTATACCAAACTGGATTGTCCCATCTCACGTTTTCCCAGCCTGAAGCAGCAGAGACAAGATAGTTCTTCTCTCAAAAATAATATTTAAGAAGCCAGAGTTATCCCCCAAAATGTTCCTTTACTTTCACCCAGTAACTGAAAAGGTACCCTATCCACAGGCACAGCTAAATGACAGGCCATCTGTGATCACGCTCTTTACCCACCCACCCACTTTTAAGTTCCCAAATGTCATCGGGGAGAACAAATTTCTTATGACAGACCTAGCACATTCCAGAGAAGACAGCTGTTAGTCTCAAAAAGACTGCAACTTGCTGAGACAGAGCCAGAATTAATATCATGTGTCCAAATGCTCAGTGGCTAAAAGAGCCCACTCTCCCACCCCACCAGCAGCCCTATCTCTTGATCCAGCCGTGGATTATAGCACCATTACGTGTATGTGTAGCACAGAAAGATATCAGAATATTTGTACTTGTGTGATTCCTTTGATAAAAACATCAAAAACAGACAAATCTAACCCTTGGGTCTCCCTCACGATCTACACCCTTAAAAATATTCATGATAACAACTTGCAGAAACTGCTGAAATTCACCTTCCAAACTACATGCCTTCTATCAGTGAGTGAGTGTGTGTGTGTGTGCACATGAGCTGATGTAGAGAGCAAAGTGGCCACAGTCCTGAGAGGTGGTGTTCTCAAGCCAGAATTTCACGTCTTGGTGGTGTCTAAACATTGCTTGCTGTGCATTACCAATACTCCTCCTTCTAGCTAGATTGACTATATTTTCAGTTTTACCTGGGGTGGTCCTAATTTAAATCTGTATCCTGTCATCGTTATTACTAATATTTTCCTCTCAAAAAATAAGATAATTTGGAACCAATTTAACCAAGTGTAATCCCAGAAAGTTGGGAGACTGAGACTGGAGGATCACAAGTTCAAGTCCATCCTTGGCAACTCATGAGAGGTCCTGTCTCAAGATGAAAAACATAAAAAGGGCTGGGAATATTTTTAGTGATAGAGCACTCCAAAAATAAATAAATGAAATAAAACACATATCTCTCATCTGAAAACTTTGAGATTCACAGTATTTTCAGGAACAATTTTGTTCTAACAAGTGATTTATTTTGATAATTTACCTAAGGATACATAAATAAGTGCAAAAATCATGAAGAAGAAAATTCTTACAAAAGTAAGATGAGTGGTTTCCTCTGACATTAATGGAGAAGACATAGCTAGTGCGCTCTTAATGTGTCTTGTCAGCAGTTGTAAGGACAGGGTTGCCAGTCTATCTGGCATCATTTTTACACATTGCTTTGGTTTACCTGCCGATTTTTCATTAAATTTCACACTAATGTTTTTATGAACTTGTGAACCATCTAATAATTTTCAATTTTAAAAAATTTTAGGCTCTTTCTCCCTCTGGAGGCGACTCATGGTCTCCCTTCAATGTGTATATGTATTCCTTGCTTTACCCCCAAAGCTCACTCTTGAGATAGCTCACATTCTCCCTTGACTGGGGGGGGGCGGGGGTTAAAGGACAGAAATGAATCTTGCTATCAGTTTTTCCTCAAAATGAGTGTCAGCCTGTGTATTTTCTACAGGTCCTTCCTTAAAGGGTTCAGGGACCCAAGAATCTGAATATATCTGTTCAATGAGACCAGTAATCAGGCAAGATTGGATAATTGCCTATAGTTAAGACCATAGTAGATAGTCTCAGCCACTTTTTGTAACTTTTTTGGTACTGGGGATTAAACCCAGGGGAGCCAATGAGCCAAATTCCCAGGCTTTATTATTTTTCTATTTTGAGACAGGATCTCACCAAGTTTCTGAGGCTGACCTCAAACTTGCTATCCTCCTACCTCAGCCTTCAGAGTCCCTGGGATTCTAGGCGTTCACCACCATGCTTGACCCATGTAACTTTTTAGTGGCATGCATGAGGAGTTAAGGGTGAGCAGGCTCCAGAAGTGAGCCTCTAATATGAAAGATAGAAACGAAGTAATAAGACAAAAGTGGCAGTTGATAGCAGTTCTTCAGAGAAAAGAAAACTTAAAGAAATTATTATTATCATTCATCGAGGAAAAAAAGAATGTTAGAAGAACTACTCAACTCATACTCCAAGTCACAAGTTCCAGAAGGAGTGTACAAAAGAGGCAGAGGGCTGGTGTTGTGGCTCAGTGGTAGAGCGCTTGCTAAGATGTTGAAGCACTGGTTCAATTCTCTGCACCACATAAAAATAAATAAATCTTTAAAAAAAAAAAAAGGCCAAGAAGATAGAGTACTAATTGAAGTAATTCCAAAAATTAGCCAAGATCTGAGAGATCTAGGTTGAACCAGTATTGGGGTAGGGGCACAGACTATTCATTTGTAATCACTTCTGAAGAAAGTCATTTTAACATAGTTCTATACTTATCCTGGTATTGTGGTACACACCTGTAATTCCAGCTACTCAGGAGACGAAAAGCAAGAGGATTGCAAGTTTCAGGCCAGTCTTGGCCACTTGGCAAGTCTGTCTCAAAGTAAAATAAAAGAACTGGGGATGAAGCTCAGTAGTAGAGTGCCCTGGAGTCAATCCCCAGTAACCAATCAACTATTTTTTTTGTTGGTGGTAGTTTTTAGAACCAGGGATTGAATCCAGGGGCGCTTAACCACTGATCCACATTCCAAACCCTTTTTATTTTTTATTTAAAGACAGGGTCTTGCTAAGTTACTGAGACTAGTTTTGATCCTCCTGCCTCAGCCTCCCCGGCTGCTGGGATTACAGGTGTGTGTCACCACACCCAACTCACCTCAGTTTTAAAAATGGCAAATTTTAGATTTATTTTATCCCATCGCCTTTGCACAGGACACTAAACCTAGGGCTCCGATAAGTTCTCTTATCACTGATCTAGAGATCCTCTGTCCTATACATCTAGGGGGTTAGCCAGGGGTGCCCTGCTGCTGAGCTACTATATCCTCAGTCTTTATTTTATTTATTCATTCATTCATTTATTTTGGTATCAGGGATTGAACCCAAGGGCACTTAACCACTGAGCCACATCCCTAGCCCTTTTTATATTTTTATTTTGAAACGGGGTCTGAGTTGCTTAGGACCTCACTAAATTGCTGAGGCTGATTTTGAATTTGGGATCATCCTGCCTCAGTGTCCTGAGCCACTGGGATTACAGGTATGTGCCACCATCTCCGGCTCTATTTTTTTTTTTTTTTTTTTTTTTTAAAGAGAGAGAGAGAGAGAGAGAGAATTTTTAATATATTTATTTTTTAGTTATCGGTGGACACAACATCTTTGTATATGGTGCTGAGGATCGAACCCGGGCCGCACGCACGCCAGGCGAGCGCGCTACCGCTTGAGCCACATCCCCAGCCCTCCGGCTCTATTTTTTATATTGAGACTGGGTCCAGGCTGGCCTTGAACTTGGAGTCCTCCTGCCTCAGCCTCCTGGGTAGCTCAGATAACAGGTGTTTGCTACCACACTATACATTTTTTAAAGCTCAAAGAAAATAATAATGGTCGGTTGTTGACAGCATTAAATTAATTAGAACACTTTTTTTTAAGTGAGGTCCTAAGCAATTTGGTGAGACCCTGTCTCAAAATAAAAAGGGCTGGGGATGTGGCTCAGTGGTGAAGTACCTGGACTGGGAAGTAAGGATATAGCTCAGTAGTAATCGCTCCCCCCAATCCTCCAGTTTCAATCACCCATACCACCAAAAATATATGTGGACAGAATGCTTTTACTTATTTTTATGCAGTGTTAAGAATTTAACCTAGTGCCTCACATGTGCTAGGCAAACACTCTGTGATGAGTCACCCTCTACCCATGTCCTTCCTAGTGAATCACAGGGGTGTCTTTTGGGCTTAGCACTATTTTAGACCTGCACCTTTTCTTTCTTCTCTTTATTTTAAATTTTGAGACAGGGTCTCACTAAGTTGCGAGGGCTCTCCTCAAGCTTGATCCTCCTGCCTCATCAAACTGAGTAGCTAGGATCATGGGTGTGTGCCTTCATCCCCAGCTCTCTATATTTTCTTTTGAAAAAAATTTTTTTGTAGCCATAAATGGATAGAATGCCTTTATTTGTTTATTTTTATGTGATGCTAAGGATGGAACCCAGTGCCTCACAACATGCTAGGCAAGCGCCCTGCCACTGAACCCCAGCCCAGCCCCCTCTGTGTATTTTCTTTACTACTTGTTTATTTTTTCCCCTCCCTTAGTTTAGTTCACAAGCATTTTAAGAAACTTTAAAAGGAAACCACCTTAAATTATATACAGAGATTCTGAGTTGCCAAGAAACTAAAGCTATCCTTCCTGACATCTACAAATCAGAGCTAGAGACCTGTGTGTGCACAAGGGGAGAGAGTTAAATAGAAAATGGAGACACAGAGACAAATGTACATATATCTGTGGGCTTATCATCTCACTGTTTATTAAATACTATTAATATTTGATATTATTTCATAATCTGATTTTCCTTTATCAGAAATTTTTTTGGACTAAGGCAATACATTTTGAGTCTAATGAATGAAAAGTCTAATAAAAATCTGTTTCAGGGCTCCGAGTGATAGCTTAGAGGTAGTGATAGCTCACATGATGCCCTGAGTTTGATCCCCATCACCACCAAAAAAAAAAAATTGTGTATGTTTCATAAAATGAAACTGCTGATTAAAAGAGCTTCTGACCCTATATTCTTTATTTTTCTTTTGTAGATTCTCAGCGGGAATTCAGTAGTAGACCAGGAACAGGATACGTACCTGTGGAGTTTTGGAAGAAAACAGGTATGTGTCTATCTGCTTAGAGCCTGCATGAACTCACTAGTTTGTATAAGCAGGGAACACACACTGGGGGAAAGGTTGGTGACTGGCTGTCTGGTTGTCTAGAAACTTCCCCTGGTGGAGCTCATGGCTCTTGCTTCTTCCCCCTTCCACTTTGTCCTGGGCTGCCTGTCATGTTTCTTTGCAGGTCAGGGGTTTGGGATAGCTCCCTCCAGGTTCTTTCTCACCTTTCTGTTGGATTACTCTGAGGCATGAAATAATGAGCTCTTCCCACCCTTTTGATATAAATTGAATTCATTTCTGCCTGATCTCCTTGCTAGCATCACACAGTGTGTTCACACTGCTGCCACATTCACTCAATGTTGCTCTTGGAGCAGCCCTTTAATCTCTCTGTTCTTCAGATAACAAACAAATGGACAAAGGCCAGGGGTGGTGGCACTTGCCTGTAATCCCAGCAGTTTGGGAGGCTGAGGCAGGAGGATCTTGAGTTCAAAGCCAGCTGCAGCAATTTAGGCCCTTAGGAACTCAGTAAGACCCTATCTCTAAATAAAAAATACCAAAAAAAAAAAAAAAAAAGGGCCTGGGATGGGGCTTAGCTGTTAAGTGACCTTGGGTTCAATCCCTGGTACCAAAAAAACAAATGGATAAAAGATATGAGTAGACAGACAGATTATGCTATGGCAAATACAGATCAACTTACTGTAAAATTTTTTCCTCAATAAGCAAGAATGTGCATGATAAATGAATCCCAATAAATTAGCACCCAAAATCCTTAACGCCCAGTTATAGACAAAATTTTCGAGATAATTCCTCAGTTTTATATAAAAAGTCAAATGGTCAAATGTTACCAACAGTTATTACATGCTGATTCTTCACTCCCATGCTTTTGAATGTTTCCTTCCAAAACCAAATTATCCAGACTAAACACAAATTGTAAGTGATAAAGAAACTGTTTTTATGGGGTGTTGTTCAGTGATACACCCTCCATCCCCTACCAAAAAGAGTGTTTTTTGTAGATTCTTGAGGCAACCTGAATATGGAGAATGCCAAAATATCTATTCACTTATAGTTAACTTATAGTTTGATACCACAACAAAATAAAAATTTAAAATGATTTAGAAAATTTCATGCAATTGGAAATGGGAAAATGTATATCACCGTCATAATAAGTGGGATATAGTTGTGGGAAATGAAGATAATCATAAGAGAAAGATGACCATGGAAGGATTTCCTTAGGCATCTAAGTTATGTAGTCTTTTTGTTTGTTTGTTAAGGAAAGAGGTTTATTGCTTTGCTAGCAAAGGAGAAACAGGGACTCCTGTCCCAGATGTTGTGATTCTGCTCATCCAAAGAACTAAAGAGGTTACTCAAAGGCTGCATTCCATGTGTTCTCTGTTGGACTTATAATTCACTGGTTAATTTGGAAAATTACCAGTTTCTGAGATCTTCTGGTGCCATCCCCAAAGTCTGGATTACTTCATTCCTATGGTGGGTGTGTACTCAAGGACAGATAAATCTGTCTAGGAGGGGAAGAACAGTAATCCTATTTCCCTTGAGATTAGGGATGGGGAAAGATTAGAGAGGAGCAGGGAGAGAAGAAAAGAAAGAACAGGTCCATTTTAAAAATAAGTCACAGTGGCAGAGCCATAAGGACTATATTCAGAGCATAAAGTGAATCACTATTATATTTCCTGTCAATTTCTACATTCCATTTCTATGGAAAAATAGATGCCAACATCTCCAAGCTGCTTCCTGCTGAAAGAGGGCTAAGTTGGGGGAAGTAACCCAAAGTTCTTGTTCCCTTTTTGGTTGGGGAGGGTTACTGGGGATTGAACTCAGGGACACTCAACCACTGAGCCACATCCCCAGCCCTCTTTAGTATTTTATTTAGAGACAGGGTCTCACTGATTACTTAGTGCCTCGCTGTTGCTGAGGCTGGCTTTGAACTCACGATCCTTCTGCCTCAGCTTCCGGAGCTGCTGGGACTACAGGCCTGCACCTGGCCAAAGTTCTTGTTCTCTGTCAAGTGGGGTGTGGACAGTTAAGGGCATTTGGCATCAGAGCAGTCCAGAGGTTCACGGTGGCAATGGCAGGTGACTACAAGGCATACATAGTGCAGGAGTTGTGCAGATAGCCAAGGGTTTTGCGACTTTACGGAGTTCGATTTCCTTTTTCTCAAAGTGGACCATGATGGAACAACCTGTACCACTCAGAAAGCAGTTGTGTAGTCTGTGGACTCATGCGTGTGGAAGGTCATTCACATTCACATTGGAGATTGAGGCTCAGATGCATAGAACATATGTCATTTGGAGTGTCCACTTATGGAAACCAAGCCAGGGTAGTGGAGATGGGAGGAAGTCACCAGGTGGCGTGATGGTGACTGGACAGGGTTTAGAAGCCTAGGGCAGTCTACTTAGATCTGTATCTTCAGCTTGTTTCTCTGTGGTGCTCAGTATCATGTCAACAACTCTGCCTCCTGGTCATTTATACCTGGCTCTCCAGAGACACATCAAACCATCTCATTTGCCTCCACACCAGCTTCTTACATATCACCCATTTCATTGCATAACACTCCCATCTCTTTTACCTCCACTTCTAGACCCTTTAGTGCTACCAACCTTTGGCTCTTCCCTTCCTGGGTGCCACTTGCTCTATCAACTGGATGACTGCCACAACCTGTCAGTTGCAGAGAATCCTTTAAGGGGTTCACATTTCCTTTAGAAAATAAGGCCAAGTAAGGCATGCAAAACTTTCCAAAATCTCATTTCCACCTGCCATCTCAACCAGAGCACTTTGAGAGTGGGGCGTTGATACTGGGGATTGAACCCCCAGGGTTCAATATACCACTGAAGTACATCTCCAGCCCCTTTTTATTTTTTGAGACAGGGTCTTGCTAAGTTGCTGAAGGTGGCCTTGAAACTTGTGATCTTCCTGCCTCAGCCTTCCAAGTTGCTAGTATTTCAGGCGTGTACCACTGTCTGGGCAGAGCATGTTTTTTTGATCCTTCCCTCCCACTTTTCTCCTTCTAGCCTTTCATACTGACATACATGATGGCACCTTAGCCACCATTATACTTGATAAGAAAAACAGTTCTGAGGTGTGGACAATGTTCTGTCTCCTTTGTATCCCCAAACCCGCCACAGTAGGTACCTCCATATGCACACCCAAAAAATTATTGCATGAATGGACAAGTGATTGTAAGAATGAATATACCTACATATGCCATGTGTTTACCCCTGTGAATCTTGTCTCTGCTCCATCTTTGGAAATGCTGTGGGGTGGGGGGAAAGATTTCTTGACCAGTTGATTTTACTGTGACTTTCTTCTAGAAGAAGCTGTGAATAAGGTGAAAATTCAGGCCATGTCAGAAGTACAGAAGGCCGTGGCTGAGGCTGAGCAAAAAGCCTTTGAAGTGATTGCAACAGAGAGAGCGCGAATGGAGCAGACCATAGCGGACGTCAAACGACAGGCTGCGGAGGACGCCTTCCTCGTCATCAACGAGCAGGAAGAGTCGACCGAGGTCAGCGCTCTGTTAGGGCCTGGGGCTGGGCATTTCGGGGAGCAGCTCTGCCTGCCTCAATTGCTGGGCAGGAAGACAGAGTTCACTTGTGGACAAGACTAGAATTTTTAGGCAATACCAGAACAGTTTTATTTCTGTTTATTTATTCACTTTAAATTATTGTATTGTATTTACACACACACACACACACACACAAAACCTCATTATAGTTACTTTAAGTTTTGAAAACTTATCCTAAGGGTAGAGTTTGTGTCATTGCTTGATAATGATAACTGACTTGAGTGGACTGACTGGGTGTCAGAAACCCAGCCATGTAAGTGTGTTTTCTTTTTGGTCCTCACCGTGAGCATGGAAGGTAGGTATTATTGAATCCCATAATCTGTAGATGCAGCAGTGGCTCAGGGAATATAACTGACACCCACAGTGCTGAGGATAAGTACAGGGGTAAGAAAGGGCAGGTTCTACTTGAATCTAGTTTTTTATAAATAAAACTTATTATGGATGGAAGTGACAGATTGGGCAGACTTGCCCAGTGCCCAGGACTTACAGCCTACAACTTGGTGATGCTTCTGTGTAACAAGGACAAACATGAAAAAAAGGGAGGGGTGGTATGGCAGAAACTTAACAGTCCCAAAAGTGGTTTTAAATTAAAGTACTTTTTTGTTTATTTAAATGTTCCAATTCAGTGTAGCAAGGCCCAGCATTGCACTGTGGGAATGAAAATGCCTAACTGTCCTGTCACTGCGGCAAAAGGAGTAAAAAGCCTTCTGGTTCTCTTATAGTGAAGATACCAAGTATGAGACTATAGTTCCTGTAAACCTCTCTCTTTTCCTTCCCCACTCCTACTTTTTCTATAGAATGATTCTTGAGCGATAATATTTATTTCTGTTCCCTGTGTTTAATTCTGTATCCTTAACTATTTATATCAATATATACATCTGCCCGTATTTATCTACTTTTATATCTATGTTTATCCTTAACTGTGTCTGTCTCCAAAGACGGAATGTGGCTTTTGGCTAAGAACATGGATTCTGAGTCTGGACGGCCTAGCTATAATCCCAGCTGTCCATTTAGAGGGTTGTGCTTTTAAGAAGCTATACTCTTAAACAACTCACAGAGTGGCCTGTAGGTGAGGGGTAGAGCAGCTTCTATCCCAGCAAACTTGCTTTCCAAAATAGGAGGGGAATAGAGGGCCTAAGCTTTGGGTGAGTTTTCACTGACCAGAAAGGCCAATTCTCTTGGGACTTCATCCCAGAAAATTCTCCTTAAAGTTTATCAAGTATCTGTACCTTCTCTTTTACCTTGTGAGAAACTGGTTGGTATGAGGAAGCAGACTAGAGGTTAGGAGCCCTGAGCTCCAGTCCCAGCTTCCTTCACACTAGCAGTGTACCCTTAAGAGTGAGCTTCCTTCTGTGTACAGTGGATATAGTAGCGCCTTCCTGTTGGCCTGGTAGCACTGTGCAGGTAGAAAGGACTTTGTTGTGTCATTAGTATGTAAGCTTTGACCGCTCACACAGCACAGCCCCAGACCCCAGCTTCCCTGTAGTGCCTTAGGTTGAAGGGACAAATGAGAGGTCCCCTTGTCTGTATCATAGGACATGTTCTATTCCCAGCCTGGGTCTCCTGGCAAACATAATGGGCTAGCAGGCAACAGTAAAATGGGGAATTCTTTCCCCTGTGAGGATCGCAGTAAGGTCAGGGAGGTTCCACGGCTTCTGGAAAGCACCAGGTGGTTTTTGTGGACCCTGGCCCTCACTTGGAGTAATGCTGACATAAGTGATAGCCCCCATTTGACAATGGAAATTCTGGAATCATATTTATGATTTCCATGACCAGTAACTTGGAAGGTTTATAACCTTGCCCCATTAACCACAGAGCATAATTTGGCTAAGTCCTAGAGGTTAGGAGCCCTGAGCTCCAGTCCCAGCTTTCTTCACACTTGCAGTGTATCCTTAAGAATCAGCTTCTTGCCTCAAAGCTATAGCTGAAGCTGATTTGAAGGGTGACTACAATAAGATTTGGGGTTTTTTTTTGTTTTGGGGTTTTGTGTGTGTGTATGTGTGTTGTTTGTTTGTTTTTTGTTTTTACACTGGAGGTTGAACCCAAGGTGTTTTACCACTGAACTATATCCCCAACCCTTTATGTTTTTTATTTTGAGACAAGGTCTCACTAAGTTGTGAGGCTGGCTTCAAACTTTCTATCCTGCTGCCTCAGCCTCCCAGGTTGTTGGGATCACTGCCTTATGTCTACCTCGCCCGGCTCTTTTTGTTGTTGTTTCATTAGGGTCTTGAGCCCAGCCTGGCTCAAACTCCTGGGCTCAAGCTGTCCTCCTGCCTCAGTCTGCTGAGTCGTCACGCAGCACCACACCTGAGTTTGTCTCATATCTTAAAAAAAATAAACCCCTCTTAGTCAATTCAGGGACAAGCCCAACAAGGGAAAGAAAACGGGAAACTGTCCTTGTCACCCTTGGCTGCTCTGACACTCTGTTGTTCTGCACGTCTGTGAGCATGCCTCTGGGGGAGGCTGTGTTCTTCGTTTTTCTGTCTTTCATAAACCTTCTGTATTTCAAAAGCTTTTTCAAAAATAATGGCAGCCAAGATGAAAGTACCAGAGGTTTAATACTCTGATCCAGTTCTGAGATGTCCTTGTGGACCGAGGAAGAAGAGGCTTGCCCATCCTGCTGGTGGCAGCTTGTGAGGCAGCAGCTGGGTTCTTCCCCACAAGTGACAACATTCAGCCAAAGGATTTTTGGGAGTCAGCCTGTTGGACTCCATAGTAGGAAATTGTCTGGAACACAGTTTGCTTGAGGGTCTGTAAATGTAACCTAAGAATTACATCTGTTCCCTATTTTGGTCCTCTGGTGTTGGTGTTGGCAAGTTTTGACATTCCCTACAGTGTGTTTCCTGGGAAGCCTGTGTTAGCAGGGCATCGGCAGTCTTTTCTAATGTGCTTTGAAACCAGATTCATACATGGAGTATCAGGAGGTCCAGGTTCCAGACTTTGCATAGCCCCTTGATCATTTGTAACCTTAGAAAGTCTGGCCCTCGTTTTTCCCATTTGTGCAACATACAAGGTGGTAAAGGAGACCCCAGCATCCATTTTTGCCCTGTTGCCTGTTTTGTACTCGGGTCAGACATCCTGATTTCATTTGAAGGTAGGGATGATTATTGCCTAAGTAGTTTCACAGCCAGCCTGGAGATTGGCTTCTCCCAGTCTTGGTTTCGTGGGCAGGAACGCTGGCTGATAGCTTCACCTGGTCATTGCCGTAAAGCTTTTCTCTTAGCAGTAGGTCCTGCAGAACATTGACGTGTCACTGGTGAATCTTAGGGAGCCTACAGGAAAGAAAGGCCGCAGCACTGGGGCCTGCATTGTGGCCAGGTTTATTCCCATGCATTCCTCCCTTTGAGCTGAGTGGGGAGACGTTAGGTTGTCTGTGTAGGGACTGATTCTATTCCTGCTTCTTGGCACTGCTTCAGCCCTCCCCAAGCCTCACTTGGCTCATATCCTCAGTAATAAAATTAATACTGGTACACTCTCCCCAGGGGTTCTACTGAATCCTGGTCACACCTGCCCACTCTGAGAAAGTACAGGAAGTAATAAGAAGATGCTGTAAGTTAGACTTACAGAGCCCTGAGTGCTGAGTGGCCCCAAGACTGGGCTTTTAACTTTCCCATGATCCTAGCCCAGTCTGTAAAGAGACACAGCAGTGAAGGGAAGACAGGCAAGGCAGAGAACAAAATTGGAAGTAGCACAGCCACCTCCCAGGTGACTTTTTAAGATCAGTTTGGCCTATACACTAGTCTTTGGTTTTAAAAAAAAAAAAAAACAGTATTGCTGGGTATGATAGTGCATGCATGTAATCTCGGTGGCTTGGGAGGCTGAGGCAGGATTGCAGGTTCAGGTCTAGCCTCAGCAACTTAGCAAGAGCCTGTCACAAAATAAAAAAGGCTGGGGATGTAGCTTAGTAGTTAAAAACAACTTCCAGGCTGGGGATATAGGGATATAGCTCAGTTGGTAGAGTGCTTGCCTCACATGCACAGGCCCTGGGTTCGATCCCCAGCAGCACAAAAAATAAACAAATTTAAAAAACTTCCAGGTTAAATCTCCTGTACCACCAAAAAGAAGAAGGGGAGAAACGAGAGAGAGAATCTGTGCCTTAAGCAGAAGATGGGAACCACCCTCTAGAGCTGGTACTGATCAAAGTGTCTTCACATAGGCCCTCACTTTGCCCATGGCCCCATGAGAAGGAAGTTTGTTTGCTCTACAGATTAAGGATGCTCGGAAAGGGGGTGCATATGTCCCATGGTTATGCAGATAGCAGCAGAGGCAGGACTCAACCACAGTGTGTGGCTCCACAGCCCTTGCTCTGTCATGCAGGAGAAAGTGACATGACAAGTCCATCCCCCAAGATCCCAGCAACCACTAACTGATGATACCTGTGTCTTGCAGAACTGCTGGAACTGTGGCCGCAAAGCCAGTGAGACATGCAGTGGCTGCAATATCGCACGGTACTGCGGCTCTTTCTGCCAGCACAAGGACTGGGAGCGGCACCACCGCCTCTGTGGCCAGAGCCTGCATGGCCAGAGTCCCCACAGCCAGGGCCGGCCGCTGCTTCCTGGAGGGAGGGGCTCCTCGGTCAGGTCTGCTGACTGCAGTGTGCCCAGCCCAGCCCTGGACAAGACCTCAGCAGCCACCTCACGTTCCTCAACTCCTGCCTCTGTGACAGCCATTGATACCAATGGACTCTAAACCCCAAGTTCCACTTCTCTGATGACCACTCTGAATGACAGAACCCTTGCACCAAAGGGCCTGGCTGTTGGAATAAGTAGCTTGGGTCATCAGCAAGAAATGAAGTGCAGCAGGAAACATCCAAGCAGCACTCTGTGGTCTGTCTTGGACTTGCATCTGTGTCCTGGTAGAATGAGTGCCATTCTCTGCACACAAGCAGCCCATCTGAGCTGCTTCTTCTGGGGGCTTTCATGGTGTGTTCCTTCCCAGCTGAAGCTGGCTTGGCTCCTTGGAGGCCACAACTTCCCCAGCTCCTTGAGTCAGCAGACTGATGAATGTGATAGCCAGGCTGGCAGCAGCTTGCCATGTACTATCTCCCACTCTGTCCATGGTCCTCAGATGGCAGAGACCTCGAGCCTGGCAGCAGACTGAGGAGGAGAAGGATTCCCCCCTCCCACTGAGTAGCTCTTTGAGCCCTTTTCCATCCTCAGAAGGCGACACTGATTGGCTTCATGGGCACTTGGGTATACCAAAAGCATCACCTTGAGACTCCCTTCTCAACCCTGCTTTCAGACTTAAGATGCTCAGAAATGACAGGAAAGAAGTCACCACTTTAATATGAGCACCCATGATAATAAAAATAAATAAATAAATCTTCCCTAAGCAACACAGATCATTTTGGACAAGATTTTCCAACCTGGCTGGCTACTTTACTTTGGAACCCATTTTTCTCCCTCTTTCTTGATTTTGCTTGTGCAGAAAATATTTTCCAGCGCATGGATTTGTCCAAGAGAGAATGAGACTCCATCATGTTAGTCTTTTCTCTCTGAGCATGTTGACCACCTCCTGTCATCAAATCACTGAGTGGATCATCCCTTGGAAATGCAGAGCCTTCTGCCCTCGCCTGGCTGTTTGCACAGTTGTCTCGTTCTATGTCCTTTTCTCTCTCAGACCACACACGTCCAGACTGCTGTGGGCATCTTCTGCCCACGGGCTCTGTTTAGCACCTTTAGGCCACAGTTGTCCCCCTGGATGTGCTGTGGTGTGTTTGTAGGACTTGCCCCACCCACCAAGGCCTGGTCTTCTCTGAGCAGCCCTCCTGGACCTGAAGGAATCCTTCAGACCTGCTCCATGGAGTCATTAGCAGGCACAGTCTCAGTTTACCTTCCCTTAGCTGTTCAGTACCTTCCCTCTGGTTCGTGGAGTGTGGGACTCATCTAGGAAAGCAAGCCTGACCCGTTCTTCCTCCTCTCTCCAGGAGTTTTCCTGCTTCCTGGCACTCCAAATTGACATTACCTGTATCCCTTTCACAGTGGTGGCCACTGCCTCACAGGTTCTCTTCTGCCATTTGGGTTTTGTCGGGAGCCCAAGGACCTTGCCTGCCCCTCCTGCTTGGCACCTTTGAGCCTCTAGTGTCCTGTCCCGTGGAATCAGTTGGAGTGACGTGGTTAGCCCTGCTCCTGCTGGCTTGAGAGCCAGGGTTAGATCACCACCTTCACACAGACAGAGTGCAGGAAGAGGGATGGACACAGTGGTGTTCTTGCATAGAGGGGCATCTTCCTTTAGAACCCACCTGATTCATCTTAACCAGTCTTAGACACTCAATACAAGACACCTTTAAAATCCCTAGATTTCCATCCTATAAAGCAAGGTATACTCAGAAAAAGAAGAACAGAGAATCATGCTCCTTGACCACATAAGACCCCCTGTTTTCTGTCAGCCTGTATGGCTGTGTCCCCACCACCTCTACCTCCTGGAGCCCTAGCAGCTAGGGCAGCCTGGCTTTACTAGGCATGGAGTCAATCCTCAAATTGTGCACCCACATTTCCATAAGAAAGGCGGTATCTTCTGAAAAGACCTTTGAGCCTCTAACTCAGTTGTAGAAGGAGGGCATCTCACATTATATACTGGATCTGCCCTCGGGTTATTTTCCTTAAATAAGTTAGATGAACACCTAAACAGCTTTTTAAAATCTTCACTGGCAACAAGACTAGCCAGGGTAGCTCAAGTTTTTTACTGGCTGGAATAAAGAGCCAAAACAAATATAATACTTATCAGGGCTTGAGGTCGATTTGGGGTGTAGGGCCTGACCTACTTCTGTGGGCTCTGGTTTCAATGACAGTTCCTGTTTCCAAGTCTTTGTAATGCTGTTCTAGACTGCTTTGCTCATGTGATACTGGAAGCCTGTCTGCAGACCTGAGCAAAATTGTGCACCACAGTTCTCAGACCATTCCCTATGTTCATTCTGGTCAGTGTCACACACAAGTCACTAGGGCATCAGTACAGGACTAACTATTCAAACTTAAGGAATCCCTTTCTCTGGGAACTTCCTTTCTCTAATCCAACTTCCTAATTGAGGGGAAGAGCAGAACCTAGGATGAGGTAGGTGGCTGGGGGGACAGATGTGAGTCCAGGTTCCAGGTTAGAGTTGAGCATAAAGCGCCCCCCACCACCACCACCTTTCTCATCTCCACTAGGATTTAAAAGAAGTAGTATCCGTATAATGAGGTTGCTCAGAGGTCTGGCCTCTACTCAGGCTAAGAGGCTGGGATGATGGTACAAAAGTGTGCAGGGCAAGGCAGTCAGAGGCTCTTTGATTTTATCATGGAAACCAGAAGCAAAGAGCATAAGGCCAGTGCTCAACATCGCTTGCTGAGGGACACTGATGAGTTCTTTGCCAAAAGAATGATTGCAGGAACCAGAGAACACCAAATGTGGCCAAAGTAGGAGCCGACTTTTTTTTTTTTTTTTTTTTTTTTTGAGGGGGGGTGTATCTTGAGATTGAACCCAGGGATGCTTTATCACTGACCACATCCCCAACCCTTTTTATTTTTTACTTTGAGATAGGGTCTCCCTAACTTGCTTAGGGCCTCACCAAGTTGCTAAGTCTGGCCTTGAACTTGCTTCAGTCTCCCATGTCACTGGGATTATAGATGTGCATCACCATACCTGGCTTGGAACCGACTTAAGTGTCCCAAGGGATAGTTGAGGGCAGGGTTTCTATCTTCAGTTGTTTTCTGTGTCCCCTTTCACCTGCACTGTCCTGACTCCATGCAACCGTGAAGGTGACTCAAGCCCAGGAATAGGCAGTCCACCCTGTGAACCACCCTCTAGAGCTGGTACTGATCAAATTTCAGCTCCAGGGCTGAAATTTCAGCACATCTGCTCAGATTGGGTGGATGGATCATTCTTAGGGCACCCCTGAGTCGTGTCTGCCAGGATATCTACATCTGGGAACCTCAGGTCTACCCTTGGCACTGACTGCTCCCCTCTGCAGTGTGGACCCTTTGCTATCTGCCCATCAGTTCCCCTAGAATTCATCATTTCTTGGTGTCAACCTGTGCATCTTTAGCATCCAGACAGAAACATCTACATGTTGCTTTCTTTGTACAACCTGTCCCAAAGTTGAAGTGATCCCCAACTGTCACTGCTCACAAGGCTGTAGACATTGGTTCGGGTCATTCTGGAAGATATCTCAGCAATTGTGTTTGAAGATTCAACAGTATAATTGGAATGTGTGGTAGTGAGTTGTCCAGAGAGAGCATAAAGGACCACCAGATGGCCATTTGTTCTGGAAACTGTAGAGGGCCACGGATGGAATAAAGCATTACCAGTACGATACATCTTGGGGGCTTTCTTCATAACTGAACTAGAACCAAGGTTCAAAGGCTGTGGATTCCAAGCCAGTTTTTTGGATGGTTTTTACTTGGGTGGCGGCATGTTTGAACCAAATGTGAGAAAAGCCAGAAGGACTGTCCCAGCACAGGCCAAATAGCCAGCTGTCAGAGAAGAGCCCTGCCTGGGCCCAACTGGGCAACAGGGCCGGCTGTTCGGCAGGCCCCTTCCCACTTGAGGATGTTCTTGTGAAACCAAAATGCTGACTACTGGCCTCTTTGCTCCGGTGCATTGACATGCTCATTTCCAAAGATGATGGAGCAGGTGACCTTTCCCATCATGAGCCAGAAGGTTGGGAAGCCTGAGGGCAGGCCCCCTCCAAGCCACAGAAAATGGCGCTTCCCACGCACCCCCCATCTGGTCAGGCCTCCAGCTGCCAGTGTATACTCTCATTGATGCTTAAACCAAATAGGGCATGTGTGGCTGGTGTCTGTCAGGGACAGCCCCGTCCCTGTCTTGGAGTCAGCAGAGAGAAGCAGCAATAAGCATTCGGTGAATGGTTGAAAGGGCTGTTTGGCTAAGAGGCCTTCAGCCCACTGACATGGCTTTCCAAGTTCCTGATAAGGCTACAAAGGCTCCGTCCATAAAAGAAAGCTGATAATGTAAATAAGTAGAAAACTAAGCCGCAGAGCGCAATTTTCAAAGGGGGACATGAATGTGAAACCACCCTCAGAATGCGTTAGTCTGATTTTTCTGTGCTTTGTCATTTTACTCTGATAGGAACTTTTGTTACTTAACTCTGTGCATAACTTATTTAATGTACTGTATAAATGAACCAAAACTGTTAAATATGTATTTAGTTTGTTCTACTTAAAGTAGTCAATAAAAAGGCTATATTCCTTTTCTGACTCAAACTGAACTGGGCCTGGGAGGGAAGGTGTACACTGTGAGTGGCCTGACAGGGGCTCTGTGTCCCCTCCCCCTAGTTCCCAAATTGGAGGGCTGAGGGAGAGGTGCTCCTGCCCAGTTGCTGAGGCTGAGCTGCTACAGAGATAGTTCCAGCACTGGAGCCCTGCAGGGCCTGCAGCTGGGCCCTGTGGGAAGCTAGTTCGGTCGGTCACCTTGTCTGGCCCAGGGGAGCAGGCTGGTTGCACATGCCCACCCAGAGGCCTGCAGCCATTGCCTGCAGTTGTGCACACACAACACACTCCCAGGTCCTTGTTCTTGCTTCTTCTTCACCATTATATGATCTTTTGGTAAGGGAAATTCAGCCACAGGAAATTTGAAAAATAAGGTAAAGTACTAGAGACATTTTTCTTTCCTAATAACTTCTTTATTTTGGTACTGGGGGTTGAACCCTAAATGCAGAGTAATAAAACGAACACCTAAATGCAGAGTAATACTAATGAAGGTACTTCCTTTATACAGGAAATCTCAAGGGTCAGAAGAAAATTAAGAGTGAGCTTATCCCAGCGGTGATTCAATACAAAAGAGGAAACGTGTGCTGTTAGGAGGAAAATATTCCAAGAACTCAGAGTTTAAGAGATGAGCTGCCTGGGACTCATCCCACTCCTGGAAGCCAGGTCACTCAGGGGCTTTGACCCTGTGAAAAAGCCTTGGAGAATCTGCCTGGTTACAATGGGAACTGACCTCAGACATCTCCATCCCCTCTTGAGAGAAAGTAAAAGAACCTCAGCAGAGATTGTAATCTTAGGTCTGCTGTCACCTAGTTCAGGTTTACTCCAGAGGTCAAATAACTCCAGGGCTGAGAAATTAAGATGATTCTAGGCTAGAATCTCCTGGTGTCTGTCATGAAAATGTAAATATTTGGGAGAAAAGGGTCTTCCTTCAGGAGTCCCAGATAGTACATGTCAAGGTGTCGCAGGCTGTCCGGAAAAATTACTGAGCAATTTAAATACTCATCTAAGGAAGTGAGCCACCATGAGCAAGTGTCAGCAGGAACAATAAGTGATTGATTTGGATGCCAGGACTTGGGCTGTTGGACTTGGCAGAGGGAGGCTGTAAAGTGTGATAGGAAACTTCTAAAGGGGGTGATGGAAAAAATGAGTGAAAAATAAGAGCCGAGGCAGGTGGTCAGGCAGATCTGAAGATAGATAGTGGAAATGACAGACACTGAAATAGCGCATCATTAAAGAGCAAGTTAGGTGAATTTGGAGATTACTGGCACATTACCATATGACTCCTTGTCACAGCAAGTCAGAGAGATGGAAAATAGAGTTGCAAGGGAAGTTGGGAGGGGATGGAGACAGGAAGTCACATGGCTTGGTTTTCTCAGTATTGAAGGAAATAGTTGATAATCATCTCAGGATGAGCAAACACAGCGATCTCGACTCCCCTTGGCCTTCTGGGCTTATTTCTTGCTGCTGGTCTTACAAGGTGGTGAATTAGCTCTATCTGTCCTCACCCTCCATGCCTTGCTGGCTTCATTGCTAAGTGCCGGGCGCCCTCTGGTGGACAGAGCTGGGCCTGCTGCCTCCATTCACTAGCCAGATTGCTATTGGGTAACCTGTTACTTAGGCCTTTCCCTGCGCACCAGTCTTTCCCCCTTCTCTCTCTCTCCCTCCCCCCCCCTCGCTCTCTCTCTCTCTCTACACCAGCTTTTTATGAGGCTCCCTTCCTGCCCTTGAGTTCCGCTGCAGCTCTCTGGGCACTCCTAGGGAGTTCCAGAACCTGTCAGGATCCAACCTCCCTGAGGGTCAGTCTGCCCTCGACCTTGTGCTGGGCTCTTCCTTGCCATCCCCATCAGCAACTCCACAGGCCCAGGGACTACACTCTCTCCTGTCATAGTTGTCCCTGCCTCTCAGCTCTTTACACACCCAATGGCAAGTAGCTGTTGGTGTCAGGGAGAGGATCCCTGCTATGTGACCAGAGCAAGGCACTTATTCCCTGAGCTTCTGTTCTTCTGCCGCTGGGGGATACTAGCAATGCCTCTGCCACTGGGGGGTCCTGAGGGTGAAATGTGATGACATGGGTATTGCTGCTGGCACAGAGCCCTGTGCCCAGGAAGCCACTGTAAACATGGTTGCCCTCATGGCCTGATTCTCTTCCAATCTGTGTTTCCTTGAAGATTCATCTTTGCCTCCAGCACCCTGTGTGGAGCCTACCTATCTTGATCAAGTAATATTTGTTTTGAATATGACTTCTTGGGGACCCACCTCCTCCTTTTGTGGGGGAGGGGGACACCAGGGATTGATCCCAGGGATACTTGACCACTGAGCCACACTCCCAATCCTATTTTGTATTTTGTTTAGAGACAGGGTCTCACTGGGTTGCTTAGCGCCTGGCTGTTGCTGAGGCTGGCTTTGAACTCGCTATCCTCCTACCTCAGCCTCCAAGCCTCTGGGATTACCGGCAAGTGCCACCAGCCCCACCTGCTTGTTCCTTCTTATCCCTTCCTTTTGCCCCACCAAAGGCTGTGTCAAGGGAACTCAGTGAGCAGGTATCGGCCCTCTGCCCCCCCTGCCCCCCGCAACTGCCTCTCTCTGAACTATAGGGCAATAGCCACACCTAGACCAACGCTCCCCTGGCTTGCCGCAGGTTTGCACGTGTGCAGGTGAGTTGGGTACAGGCCTGAGGGGAGTGGGGAGGAGGTGCAGGGAGCAGGTGAAGTGCCTGGAGTGCTCAGGTCTGTGGGACTCCACCAGCCCTCCACCTGGGTGTTGACACTAGTATAGGACATCTCATTATCCCCAGCACCTGCCACAAAGCAGGTCCCCAGCAACTGTCAAAAGGAACTAAGAGCCACTAAGAGCAATGGCATAAGCACATGGGTTGAGAAAAGAACTTGGCTCTGTGTTGAGAGCCACAGCCTAAGGGGCCCCAGCAAACTTCCAGCTGCCAGCTGATGATTGGCTCACAGCGGCCCCAGCAACATCTAGCTGATTGGCTCCTCTGCGGTGATGCTCATTGGGCTGTTTCCCTGCCCTTTCAGACCACGGAGCTGCTCATTGGGGGACTTTTTTGGCTCCGCCCACGTGACCCAGCCAATCGGCCTCAAGAGCAGGAGGATTGTGGGAGGTGGAGAGAAGCTTGTGTGGGAGAGAGAGGCTTGTGGAAAGCCGGTGGTGGCAGTTGAGGCTCTGAGGGTTTTTCCTGAGAGGCTGTTTTGTTTGGCGTGTGTGGTTCTAAAAATAAAGTTAGTTTCTTTTGACAAGTGGCTCCTGATTGTGCCCAGCCAGACTGCGGCATCTGACCTACAGATGGAAGGCTGGGGAGGTGTGGGTGGTGGACATAAGCGAGACAGGGGCCTAAGCAGGGAGTGACCAAGGCTGTGGACGGCCTAGTCGGGCTGAGTGATTTAGGCAGAGGTGGCTACACAGATTGGAAGGGGGGCTCACTGGCCTTGAATGCCAGGAAAAAACCACACTTGATCTTCATGCTGAAGAAAGTGGAAGCCATGGAAGGGTCTGGGCCAGAAGAACATGGTCACCATGACAACATTCTGAGAGCCCCCTTCCCCTGCTTCTTTACAGGGAATGGCTCAAAGTGGAGCCGGAAGCCTACTCAGTGAAGCCACTGCTGCAGGTTGTGTGTGTTACAGTGGGGACAGCGAGAAGGTGGGCATCAGAGGGACCCACTCTGTGTCCCCACTGCCCTGACCCCAGCTCAGAAGTGAGTTTTTCTGTGACTGTGACTCCAGCCTCCTGTGTCGACTGCCCGCACCCAGGAGCTCCCATCTGGCTCCCCTTACCTGTCACACAGCATCGAAACTTCCTGGGCCTGGACTCACTCACATCCTTATACTGAGGGTCCTCCTGCACAACGCACTTCTTGCCCCGCCCCACCCCAAGGGCCAAGACCTTTGCCAGCCCTACAGTGTCCTCCAACAGCTCCAGGCTTTCAGTAAGGCAGGGAGGACTGCATTGTCTTAGAGAAAATTGTGCTGGGTGCCATGGTGCACGCCTGTAATCCCAGTGGCTCGGGAGGCTGAGGCAGGAGGATCACAAGTAGGATCACAAGTTCAAGGCCAGCCTCAGCAAAAGCAAGGTGCTAAGCAACTCAGGGAGACCCTGTCTCTAAATGAAATACAAAATAGGGCTGGGGGTGTTGTCCAGTGGTTAAGCACCCCTGGGTTCAATCCTGGATGCCAAGAGAAATGGGGCTGGGGATACAGCTCAGTTGGTAGAGTGCTTGCCTCCCATGCACAAGGCCCTGGGTTCAATCCCCAGTACCACACACACACACAAAAAAAATTGTGAACTCAGAAACCTGATAAGGTGCTTGGGACTCCAAGAAGGCACTGCTACAGGTTGTTCACAGTTGGCAGTGACAGATTTTCTAGTTTAAAGGGTTTGTTTTCACTACTATTTGTGAAATTACAACAAGGATCAAGGGCAGGATGATTTCCCCTGGACTGGCTTCTCTAACAAGGAGACACTGAAATCGGAGAGGAGCAAACCTCCCAAGCCAACCCGGTGCCGTGTGTGGCACAGATGCTGGCGACATGTTCTAGGAGCCACTGGGAGCCGGGGCAGGGTCGGGGGTAGCCTGGCACTGACCAAGGAGACACCAGGAACCCTACACAATGGGTCTTGGGCCTGAGCAGCCAGGCTGGTAGAGAGACTGACCCTCAGGAGCTGTTAGGGAGGAACTATAGGGAAGGCTGCTGGGGCGGGGTGCAGTCCCCGGAGCCGGTACCATCTGACCTGACATCAGCAGCTTTCAGGAACACTGGTAAAACGCCAGCCCCCCAGCTACCAACCCTGGCTCAATACCTCCCATGGCCTCCTCAGGATGAAGCACCTTTGGGGCCCTGCCTCCCCGGCTGCACCCGGCTCACTCCCCTGTCCCTGGCCTCAGCCCGCTGCTGGGCTTCCCTCAGCTTAGGGGGCCCCCGCCCCTCCCCCTCAAAGCCCAGGTGAGCCTCTTGGTCTGCCTAGAAAACTCTTGACCCCAAGACCCCAGACCAGGTCAGATGGCATCCTATGCTCTTGGGATGCCACACGCCTCCCCATTTATAGGGAGTGTGTACCACCAATCCCTGCTACCCAGTCCCTTCCACCAAAGGGGTCCCTCTGTGACTGGTCCTTCTGTGACTTGGCTGTTATCCTCCTGGATCTGCTGTGTCAGGTGGCAGTGGTGGTGGCAAGCCTGGCAGAGGAGGTCCTGTCAGGCCAGGTCTTCCCCAGAAATCCGGCCAAGTCTCTGAGACCTGGGAAGTCTCTGTGGGGTAAAGCTACAACCCCATCGGATTTTGGAACATGTCACTCCTTTTCCCAGGCAGGGCCCCAAAGCCAGGGTCCAAAGGACACAGGGGCCTGGACCAAGAAAACCTGTACCAGCTCTGGTGAAGCATCCACTCTGAAGGTGCGACACTCCAGACAGGAATCAGCTGAGGGTATTTGCTTTTTTAGCACTGGGGACTGAACCCAGAGGGACTCCACCTCTTAGCTACATCCCCAGTTCTTTTTAAAATTTATTTTGAGACAGGGTCTCCCTAAGTTCTGCCCAGGGTAGCCTCAAACTTGTAGTCCTCCTGTCTCAGCCTCCTGAGTAGCTGGGATTATAGGTGTGTACCACCAATCCCTGCTACAGGAATGGACTGAATTTTTTTTTTTTTTTTTTTTGGTGCTGGGAATCCAATCCAGGGCCTCAGGCATGCCAGGCAAGCACTTCACACTGAGCTGCACTCCCAGTCTGGAATGGACCGATTTTTTTTTTTTTTTTTTTGGAATGGACCGATTTTGAAGACAGGTATCCTGCCCTGAGTTTCTGGTCAGGGAGGCGCAGGATCCCATCACCACGCAGGAGAGAGGAGGCAACGTGAGAGGTGACTACTGCCTTTATTGCCTCTGTGCTGGGGTCGTGGGCTGGGGTTCAGAAGTCTCTGGGGACAGCAGGTGACTCTAAGCCCAAATTATTGCTACTTGACAAGGTCACCTTGGGGGCTTCCCATAGTGCCCTGAGAATGGATGGGTTGTGAGCATGCAAATGATATGCAAATTATATGCAGACCAGCCCAGGTTCCTCCAGAGGTCCGTGGTGTAGCCTCAGGTGTTGGATGGAAGTCTGGTGCTGGCCCAGGAGGGTGATGGGGACACCCAAGTCCCTACCCCATATACTGATCTGGCCCAACCTCAGGGGTTGAGGTTTGGGGGGTTGGGGGTCCCTGAGCTCAGCCCTGGTTCTGCTGCTGGTTGGGGAAGAGCAGAAGCCTGGCCCCAAGACAGCAGGAAGGAAGCAGGACGCCACTAGGCAGCCAGAGAGGGAAGGGACCTGGCTGATCACAACAACGCAGGGGCAGAGGGGACCAGAATTCACACTAATAAATAAGTAAATAGCAAGCAGCCCAGTCCCCGATCCCTGGGCTGAGCCTCCCCCAGCGGGCCAGGCCCTGGGGCTTCCAGGAGAAAGCAGCATCCTTGGTTTTAGTGTTGAGTTGACCAGTGCAGAAGGCTCTAGAAGGAGACAGGCAGGGCCTCAGGGTCCTCAGCTTAAGCAGGTCAGGCTCAGTTGTTATTCATAACCCACCAGGAGGCTGTGGGTCAGAGGTCGGGGGTCAGGAGCCATCAGGGGCCCCTTGCCCCCCGGGGGGGTCCCAGGGCTGTGGAGACTCTGTGGGCTGCAGCCCACCTGGGAAGAACACGGTGGTGAGGGTGTCTGGAGCCCGCAGGTGGTCGATGAGGATGCGCTGGAAGGCCTTGCTGCAGGGTGACTGCTGGTGCCTGGGGACAGCCGTGGAGGGGACCAAGGCTGAATCCATCTGCTCCAGGATCAGGGTCACCTGCTCTTGGGTCCCCCCACCGCATTTTGCTGCCTGATTTAGATCCTGACCTTTCCCATAATGGCTGGGCCTCACTCTCCTCGGTAGAGGAGGTCAGAGTGTCTGCTTCACTGAATGTATGAGGCCCCGTATAGGGTGCACGTGGCACACAGCAACAGTGTTGCTCACTGAGCGCCTCCTGTGTACCTGGCATTGCATTCTGGTGTGTGTGTGAGAGAGAGGCTCTGGGAGGGGGCCTCCAGCTCTCCCTCCTCAGCTCTGCATTCAGGTCCTTACACATCGGATTTTGCCCCTGGAGGCTGGACTGCTATTGCCCCCATTTTAAAATGGAGGCGATGGGCTCAGCTAGCTTGGGTAGCTCAACTGAGGTCACACTCCAGTGATTGGGAGGGCAGGGCTTGAAGGCGGACCTGGCGCTCAGGCCACCTCAGAGTCAGCCAGCAGAGGACCACGTACCTTCTCCAGGAGGCTTCATCCCGCCAGAACTCGTACAGGCTGAAGGAGGCGCTGCCCAGCAGCTTCTGAGCGGATACACTGTGGCGCCAGAGAGACCAGGCCAGGCCAGGGCCACCGCGCCAGGCCTCACAGGACCCCGCCCAGGACGCCCAGCCCAATATCCCTCTCATGCACCCCCGCCCCACCTCAGCTGTCCCACCAGCTGGCAGAGACTCACTGCAGACAGTGGCTCTGGGCTCTGGTGAAGTCCACGTAGCAGCACAGGGCCCGGTGGAAGTCCTCCAGGGCTTCCTCTGCCACCTGCACCTGCCTCTGGGCGACGAGGATGTGCTGATGAGAGAGGCATCTGGTCAGCTGAGTAGGGCAGGCCCAGGGGGAGGACTCTGCCCTTCCTGGCCTGGGCCCATCCCACTGGCTCACACTGGGGTTATGTCCCTGCCGCCAACAAGCCCCTTGGCGTCTCTGACTCTATCCTCCAAGATCATAGCCTTAACCCAACCATTGTCCCCCTGTTCTGCAGAATGCCACCACTTTCTTCTGCCCCCCTCAGTTTCTACCCACTGTCCCCCTCAGTTTCTATCCACTGCCCCAGACGTGACTTTCAGAAGTATAAGTGAACGAAAGCTAACACTGAGAGAGCAGTGGTTTCTTTTCTGTAGGATTTAACCCAGGGGCACTCTACCATTGAAGTATATCCTCAGCCCCTCCCCCTTTTGGCTAAATTGCTGAGGCTGGCCTCAAACTTGTGATCCTCCTGTCTCAGCCTCCTGAGTCTTTAGAATTACAGCATGTGCCACTGTGTCCAGTTAGAGAGGCAGTGATTTCTGCAGGATTATATAGCAAGGACCAGAACCCAGCACCTGCTGGCCAGACCTGGGGAATGGGGCACATATGAGAGCAGAGGGTGGGCTCCATAAAACCCTCACTTCCTGAGCACCCCTACTCCCTAGCATCCAGCAGCTTCCTCTGCCCAGGCTCACCGAGTCAGGACCATTAGCAAGGTCCTCTTCATGCAGGGGCTCCAGCCGGGGGGCCTGTAAGGGACACAGAATGGGGGCTGAGCCCCTGGCAAGTGTGCCTGGGTGGATGCCAGGGATGCTCCCCAAGGGTGCTGACCACAGGGCCACTCACTTTACACTCCAACTGGTCTATGAGCTCCTGGAGGCGGTTCACCTGGAGCCGCCACTGCATCTCCGCCTCTGAGCTCTGTCCTGGGGTGGAGGCCAGGCCAGGGTCAGCTGTGGGTCCCAGAGGCTGGGAGGCCACTGGAGCAATGGAGGAGCAGGCACTATGGACACAGAGGTGCCATGCCTGCCCTGGACCCCATGCAGCCAGGCCTCCCACCCTACCCCAGGCACACCTATGTCAGAGGAACCAGGAGACCAGGACGGTGACCGGCTGATGTTCCTCAGGGCCCTGCGTCCTGCCCGCCGGCTGCCACAGGGCCTGCTCTGCACTTCCACATTCTGTTCACTTGACCTGGGGAAGTGGAGGGTCAGCCTGCGGCTCCCAGACCCTCGGGCCAAGGACTCAGGTTCCCAGAGAGAACCAGGCTTGAGTGGGCAAAGGTCTCCTCAGAGCAGCTACCCCTCCTCACCTGCCCAAGACTTGGGGCTCCATGATGTGGAGCTATAGAATGTGATGACACCAGGGGTCTGGAATGCAGGGACAATGGGCATTCATGCACTGGACCCCAGGCTGGCAGAGCCCTCACATACCGCAGGCCACAGGCCTGGACCTCCAGGGTTTCCGACGCTCCTTCCAGTGAGCTCTGCAGAGCTTGCAGCTGGCCCACGGTCTCCCGCAGCAGGAAACGTGTCACAAACTGGTCCACCTTGGAGGCCTGCTCATACTCCTGGGGGCAGAGAGGAAGTGGACAGCATCTCTTGAGCCCTGAGCAGGTATTTCCGAGTGGTGAGCCGCCTCCCTGGTTGGCTGCCTTATGCCCATCCGGGTAACAGAGGAGTGTAAAGAGGGGGAGCTTCAGACCTGGCCCAAACAGTGGGGCACCGAGACTCAGGGCAGGGAGGGCCTGGACCCTTCCTTGTCCAGCCCTGGCCTCTCCTGCTGGGACTTGTGAGGCCAGCCCACAGGGAGCAGCTGGCAGCTGGGGTGCTGGGCTCTTTTGGATCTCAAATCCTCTTCCTCTTGGGCCCACCACCTTGGGCAGCATGGCTAGTGAGGCCCCGTCATAATCACACAGGGTGGGGCTGGTAGTGGTGGTCACAGGCATCCAAGGGCTAATTTGGCACATGGTGCAAGATGATGGTGTGATGTGGCCCCATATTGACCCAGCTGGCCCCAAACTTGCAATCTACATGTGTCCACACATGTATTCATTCATTCAACCTTGCCACCAAAGGTCACCACATGCTCTCTGGAGTTACCAATACAAGATAACCTGTTGACTTGTACACAACACACACATACCTGTGCGTGAGCGGGCACACACACAGGCCAGCACCTCCTCCCAGTGTGACCATGTGCCAGGCCCTGTGCCACCCACTTTGGGATTCTCAAAAGAGACTTCTCAACCACCTTCACCTTCCTGTGCCCTAGTTTCCTCAGCTATAAAACAGGAATGAGAAGTCTCATCCCACTGAGCTACTGGGAGCCTCCCTCGGTTAATTCCTACATAGGACTGGGCCCAGTACCCGGCACAAGAGTTTCAATACCAGGAGAACTGTCGACATTTTTGTCAAATATACTGCTAATAAGGAATCTGCCCACTTGTGACCCAGCAGTCACAGATGTCTTGAGAATTCCTCAGCCCCATATCTATTTCTCTCTCTCTCTCTCTCTCTCTCTCTCTCTCTCTCTCTCTCTCTCTCTCTCTCTCTCACACACACACACACACACACACACACACACCCATGACGGGAGTCCTGGAGAAAGAGGGATGGAGTCATATTTTTCTTAGGCTAGTGTTTCTGTCTGCATGAAATCCTTCCAATGAACTCCCTTTCGGTGCTGAAGATGTTTGATCAGTTTCCGTGACTTGCAATCAAAAAACTTAGCTGGCTCAAGCACCCACTCCGTGTCAGGCACTATCCTAGGAATAATTCCACTTAACCTTCATAACAATTTACAGGAACCATAACCGACCCTATTTTGCAGATGAGAAGATTGAGGTCTAGAAAGGTTGATTTCTTCCTTCAAGGTCACACAGCTAGTTAGTGACAGGGCCAGATTTCAAAGCCAAGCCACAAAAATGCCTTTCCACTCACCACCAAGCTCCTTACAAGCACTGTTTCATTGATGGTCATTTGCCCAGTTTTACAGCTGGGAAATCAAGGTCAGAGGTCACAGACAGTGTGAATGGAGCCCAGATTCACCTGGAGGTTCTGAGAGCAGGAGGTTGGAGTCCAGCTGGTGAGGTGCACCCATGAGGTCACAATGTAGCTTCCCTCCTATACCCCACCCCCCTGCAGGGCCCCAGGTCAGAGGGCAGGGCAGAGGCAGCATGGGCTGTGGCCCCCAGTGGTAACCAGCCCTACCATGGGAAACAACAGTTCCCACAAGAGGACCAAAGCACCCAAGCAGGCCCACAAGGAGAGGCCACCGGACATGGACAAGGGCCGGCGGAAACAGTTCTCCAGCCACCTCCAGCGGAAGAAGCCAAGTGTGAGTTTGGGGAGGTGGGGGAACAAGTAGGGGGTGGGAATAGGAAGTCCTGGACAGAAGGGGATGCTCTAAGTGTGGGCCTGTAGGCAGAAGTCCTAGAGGGGTTACAGCATCCCTCCAGAGGACAGAGGTTCCAGAAGTCCACATGGGTGGGTGTGGGGGTCCTGAAAGCCCAAAAGGGAGGGCAAGGGTTCCAAAACCTAGAAGGGTCTACAAGATCTGTGAGCCCAGGAAGATGGACAGAAGTGGGGTTCCCCCGACCCTGGACAAAAATGGGCCTGGAGGTCAGGCATGGGGAAGTAGCCCTCGTTGGTACCACTGTGGCTGTGACACAGGGAATTCCCTTGTGCCCTCTCTCCAGACCGCAGGCTCAAAACATACCACTTTCCGCCTCTTCACCTGGGGAGAGGCCCTTGACCAGGCTGAGGTGGGTGAGAGCCCCAGGCATCAAGGCTGGAGGGGAGGCAGGGACCCCGGCAGTAGGTCGGTCTGGGCGGGTGAGGGCTTCCAGAGGGGATGGCGGGGTCCCGGCAAGCCAGTGGGGTGGGGAGGGTCCCTGACCTCTAGTGGGGACACGCGGGTGCGCCTTCCCAGGACCCGATGAGGTCCCCGCACTCCCACGCGTGGCAAGATGACAAAGGTCCCAGAAATATAACAGTTCCTGGGAGGAGACGGGCTCTAGAGGGTGGTGCGCTCCTCCGCAGGCGCGACCTTCCCTCCCGCCCACCCACCCCAAGACCAAGATCGTGCTGCTTTTCCCGTTGGACAAGCGGCAGCAGCTGGCCGAGGCGGCGGCGGCAGGCCCTGGCGCACGGCCTGGCCGGTCGGGTGAGAACGCATCCGGCGCCCCGGCGGCGGCGTCCATGCTGCGAGGGGCGGGCGACTGCGCGCAGACGTGCGAAGGCGCGCGCGAGAGAGAGATGAAGAAAATCCTGGTCCTGCTGCTGCTGCAGGACGCGCGGCTGCAGGAGGAGGGGCGCCGCGCGGGGAGCGGGGCCGGATCGGGGGGCGGACCCGGAGGCGGGGCCAAGGCCGCGCAGGGTTGGCAGCGGCTGTACGCGCGCCTGCTGACCGAGAGCGAGGCGAACGGCGAGGGCGACCCTGGCGAGGAGCAGCCCCGCAAGCAGCGCCGCTGCCCTCGCCCGAGGCCCTGAGCGGGGGCCCCGCCCAGCCCCGGCCCCGGGATCCAGCCCAATAAAGAGCGCAGAACAACTCTGGAGTCTGCTGGTTCTGTCCCGGGCTACAAGGGCAGGGGTGAACCAGAGTTTAGCCGATGGGATGCAGTCACCGCCGATGGCCTGGAGCTGGGGCACTTGCTTGTGACACAAGGGTTTCCGGCGACACTCCAGACCCTAATCAGACCCTGCCAGGTCTTGCAAGCTCAAAGTAGGTGGACTCTGGCAAATCCGGTCTTGGCTACGCTGGAAGGACCTGTTCCAGCAAAGGCCTGACATCTCCAAGAGTCCCTGGCATTCAGGAATCTTCCTCAGGCAGAGGGAGAGGTCCCGGCAGATAAGCAGCACCCCAGGGAGAACAGCAAGGATCCCCAGGCAGATGGGTGAAGCCTGAGACGCAGATTCTGCCTGTGGGAGCAGCCAGGAGGAGGAGCTGGGGTCCCTGGGCCTCTGACCATCACTCCTACCCCCATTGTGCTCCATGACTCCCAAGGCACCTCAAATTCATCCCTTGTCCCTACTCTGTACTGTCCCTTCTCACATTTCACCAAAGACTTCTTTCAAACAGTGTCTATCCTAAGTCTCGCTGGTTCTCCACTGCGCTCTGGGACTATGCAGGTCTTCTCCCCAGCCTCTATCTTCCCCTCTGAGGGCCTCTCAGTGGTGCCCCCTCATCCCTGCTCTAGCCAAATCAGCACTTGTGGTCTCCATGTGAGGCTCACTTCATATATCACAAGAGGCCCAGCACAATCTGGGCTGCCTCTCCTCACCACACTCTCTTGGTTCTCAAACCCAGCTCCAGGCCCCAAAGCCACCCCAGCGTGCCATATCTGCAGCCTGCCTTCCTACCCCACACTGGTGACCAATTTCAGAAAGCCCCCTTTGGGGGTAGCCCAGCTCACTAGCACCACAGGTCTAGCTTCTGCTACAGATACACTTTTGTTACTGTCAACACAAGGGACATCCCCTCCAGAAGGCCTACATCACAGGAGGTTGCATGACCCATACAGCAGCCCCTACATTGTGAGAACTGACTCTCCTGCCATCCAGATGGTTACAGTCAGGATAACTGCACTCCTGTGTGCGTGACTAGCCCAAGCTGACTTTTATCAGCCCCTTCTCTGGGACTGAAATTTGGGAGCTGTAAGGGACAATGATTTCTACATGAACGTGGACTGGCTAAAGCCAGTCTTCAGAGGAATAAAAACCGCACAAAGACTGCACATCCTGGTTCCCCTCAACCCTGAGGTCAGACTCTCTTCCTGAAAACTGATTTCACCCTTATCCTTGGTATCCATAAGATAAAACAAGATTCAGTATAAAATCCTTATTTTAGTTGGCCTGCCTGGTGGTGCGCACCCAGTGGCTCAAGAGGCTGAGACAGGAGGACCGCAAGTTCAAAGCCAGCCTCAGCAACTTATCAAGGCGCTAAGCAACTCAGTGAGACCCTGTCTCTAAATAAAAATACAAAATTGGGGTGGGGATGTGGTTCAGGGGTTGGGTGACCCTGGGTTCAATTCCGTGTACCCCCCCCCCAAAAAAAAAAAAAACTTTAGCAAGTGAAAGGGCCGTACATCTGGCACGAATAGAGCAGATAATCCAGCTATTTTGGGAAAGAATCAGACTCCTTGTGCTGGGCAGCTGAGGCCAGAACATGAATGCCCAAACCGCTGCCCTTGGCTTGGACAGAAGAGGAAGATAGGTCCAGCGTTTTCTTGGGGGGAGGGGCCAGAGACGCTCAGTCAGTGCTGAGGTCACAAAGAGCCCAATACAAGTTCTCTTCTCTGACGGTCCTCTCCCACCTCCACAACGAGAAACTTCTTTAGCCAAGCCAGGCGAGAGGTGCCAGGAGACTGCCTGGAGCTTAAGGGTTAGCCAGGACTCCAGCATCCCCACGGGGGTATATATGTCCTGATGGCCTTGCCACAAGGGCCTTTCATTGCCTGAGCTCTGCTTTCCCAGCAGTTTCTCAGTATCCAAAGGATTTGGCCTGGCCCTCTCGTCATCCACCCCAGCAAGACCTGAGGAGGCGGGTCCGCGCGACCACGACGAGTCCCGAGGAAGTGCTGGGCCTGGAGGAGCCTGGAGCTTGCAACCCAGGACAACCAAACCCAGCCGCCGCTGGGACCCCGCGGGAGCAGAGGTAGACCCTGGAGCTGAGGGCGGGGCCTCCGGCCTAGGGCGGAGCCACGAGCAGAAAAGAAGGCGGCCACTCTGCCCGAAGGGTGGGGAGTGGGGCACACGACCGGCGGACGAAGTCACGGACTGAGAGGGACAATTATCCAGCGCAGAAAAACTAGGACTTGGAGGCTCAGGCGGACCAGGCTCTGGGGCCCGGCCGAGTCTCTGAGGAGGGCTGAGCCTTAGCCGGAAGGTGGCGTCTGCTTCCCGTAGCCGCCGGGTCCGCCGGCGGCACTCCCTGGGCCACGTCGCCGTGGTGGTGGACCTGGGCTCGGGCTTCACAAAGGCGGGCTTCGCGGGCGAGGAGGAGCCGCGCATAGTACTGAAGAGCTCCAGTCTGGTGCCCAGCTGGGACCGGTCCGTGCAGCCAGGCACGCTGGGCTGCGAGCTGGCGGGCGGCGTGGCGCGGGCGCACCCCATCAAGCACGGCGTGGTGGTGGACTGGGAGGCGCTGGAGGGGCTCTGGCAGCGCCTGCTGGTGGGCGGCCTGCGAGTGCTACCGGAGCAGTGGCCCGTGCTGGTGAGCAACTCGCCATCGTCGCCACCTGAGGACCGCGAGAAAGCAGCTGAGCTGCTGTTCGAGGCCCTGGCAGTGCCCGCGTGCCACATGGCCAGCACCGCGCTGCTGGCGCTCTGCTCCTCCGGTGCGCTCAGCGGGCTGGCCGTAGAAGCGGGCGCGGGCGTGTGCCACGCCACGCCCATCTATGGGAGTCATTCGTGGCACAAGGCCACTTTCCGGCAGGATGTAGCAGGCAGCACCTTGTCGCGCTACTTGCGAGACCTGCTGGTGACAGCGTGTCCCAACATCGGGGTGCAGGCCTTGCCCCGCAAGACCATCACACAGCTTAAGAAGCGCTGCTGCTATGTGTCGCTGGATTTCGAGGGTGATCTCCGTAACCCTGCCCGCCACCATCCGGCCAGTTTCTGCTTGGGCAAGGGGTGCTATCTGCGCATCACCAGCGAGCGTTTCTGTTGCCCCGAACCCATCTTCCAGCCGTGTCTGCTTGGCCAGTCTGAGCCAGGACTGGCTGCACTGGCCTTCCAGGCACTGCAGAAAATGCCCCCAACACTGCGAACAGGGCTAGCCAACACTGTGGTGCTCGCCGGCGGTTCCACGCTTTTCCCTGGCTTCATTCAGCGCCTTGACCTGGAGCTGGAGGGTCAGTGCCGGCGGCACGGCTATCCCGCACTACGGCCCCGCCTGGTGGCCAACCCTGGACGTGGCTCAGCTGTGTGGACTGGAGGCTCCATGGTGGCCTCCTTGGGCTCCTTCCAGTGTGATTGGATGACTCGCGCCATGTACCAGGAATGTGGCTCCAGGCTGGTGCACGAAGTGTTCAACTGAGCCATGTTTGCCAGGAGGTGGTGGTGCAACCTGGGGACTGCAAGGACATTGGCTCTAGGTTGAGTCACTGTCCTATCAGCCTTGAGACTAGATAAAGAAATGTCAAGTGTTTGGAGCTGGCAGGCTCATCATGTGGAGGTGGGTCAACTCCACTCCCTTTCTGGGTCAGGAGGGGGCAGATGGGACCCACTGGGCCCTCACATTGACTTGCAGTTTGAATCCCCCAACCCACTGCCAGTTCAGAGAATGTCAGTCCAGCTATCCATTTGCAAGGCCAGGCCCAAGGCTATGTCACATGAAAGCAATCAGTAGAAGCCCTGTCCCTAGTTGTGTGATCTTTTAAACTCTGGAATCTCAGTCTCCCTTTTGGTATAAAGTGGGGTCAGAGGACTGAGGATGTAGCTGACAGATACAGCACTTGCCTAATGTGTGCAGAGCCCTGGATTCAATCCCCAATAGAGGAAAAATAAAAAATAATTTAAAAAGGCAGGATCGGGCACTCTCCCAGAGCTGCTCACTGCTCCTCCCCACTCAGCCCCAACTGGAGGAGCTGTGGGGCAAAAGGAAGTGGAGACATTTCTTAAAAGGAGCACAGGACTGGAGAGGTGGCTGCCTGCCTATATGCCTGAGGCCCTGAGTTTGACTCCCAGCACTGCAGGGGGAGAGGGAAGAATACATAAAGGGAGGGGTGGCTTATTTTTTTGAAGTCACTCTCCAAGAACTTGGAGCCCTAGCTGTCAGCACCGTTTACACTTGTGCCCAAAGGTGTCCACACATGCACACAAACACATGGCCACACACATACCTGCCTATTCACATATGTCCTTAGGGCAAGACCCCATGGCTCCATGCACCAGCACAGGCTTTGGGCATGATGAGCTTGTCCCCCCATGAACCAGCCTATGCCCACTGGGTTCTGGCTTGATAGTTCCCAGCATTTATGTCTGGCCAAAACCAAAACCAGCAACACTGCTCCAGGTCTAAAGCACCCACTGTGTGCAAGGCCTTGTTCTGGGTGCTGGGAACAAAGAAAACAAAACTATGCAAAAATCCCTGCCTTCATTCTCATTTAATTATCACAACAAAAAGTACAGACAGATGAGGAAACTGAGGTCCAGAGAGGCAAAGAGGCATAGCCACTAAGTGGGAGAAGCTCTGCAAGCTTGAGCCATGACAACAGTGTCCAAAGCATAGCAGATACCCATGTGGGGACCCACCATCAGCCACTCCACTCACCAGCTTGGTGGCGTCCATGGCAGTGAGTACTGCACGGTTCAGTGACTCCAGTGCAGCCAGCACAGGCCGGTAGACACCCAGGCGTTTGGAGAAGTAGTCTGCAAGGAGAAGAGGTGCTCATGGGTTCTGAGCCCTGCTCCCCAATTGGGAATTTGGCCACCTAGAGTTCCCCAGCTACCAAGCAGTTCTCATATCTTGAACCCAGCCCCTTCTGTCCCATCAGGAACCCAGCAACAGCCCCTCACCATATCCACCTGCCCAGGGACCTGGGAAACATGCACCTACTCACCACATAGTTTCTCTGTTTCTAAATTGCTGCAGAGGAAAAAAAAAAAGACACCCTTCAGACCCTGAGGCCTGGCCTGGCAAACTGGAATGTCCCCACCCCACCCCTGACTCCCAACTCAGCCTGACAAGGAATTTGGGGTATCTGGTCAGTGAGTGGGGGGGAGTGCTGCAGACAAAGGGTCCAGCCCAAGTCTTGGGAGCCCCGCATGCCAGCCCAGAGTCTGGGGTTTACCCTGAGGAGACGGAAGGGAAGGCGTATACATGTGCAATGTGTGTGCACCAGAGCGAGGAAGCTGGGAGGAGCTCACTCGCCCTGCCAAGATGTGTAGACGTGGGAGCACACGTGGGAAGATGTGGGAAGGGGTGTGTGTGTGCACCTGCACCCCTGGGTGGAGGCGGGTGGGGGCAGGCGGAGCCCAGCTGTCCCCAGGCAGCCTCTGGTTCCTGCAGGAAGCGGGAATGAAGGGGTTGAGCCACAGGTGGTGACTCAGGTCTATTTTGGGGTTCCAGCCGAAAGCAGCGTGGTGGGCAAGGCTGGAAGAGGGGGTAAAGCTGGCACCAAACCCTGGCACCTTTCTTCCCACTACCCACCCCAGTCCTCCAAAAAGAACGGAGGCAGTAGGGGACAAAGTGGGCTGGGACAACCTGGCCTGGCACCCACCCACGCTCAGTCACCCCCTCTCACTCACTCAGTGGGACAGCCGTCAATGCTGCTGAACAGTTCCCGTAGCTCCCCGGGGCTGAGAACCCCATCGGCAAAATAGTTCTGGAACTCTTCAAATGAGAGCTTGCCATCATCTAGGAGGGGCAGGGAGAGCGTCAGTGTCCCTGAGCCCAGATCATGCCCTGCCTCCAGGTCCAAGCCCCTCAAGGCCTCCCCATATCTCACAACCACCTAGCCAGGTGCCATGGGCTCTGAGCTTAGCCCCTGACTGCTGGGAGAAAAGGACTGGAGTCCCCAGAACAGGGGAGGATCCAAATGTTAGCCAAATGAGGAAATGAAAAATCATCCCGGACACAACTGCATCACAGCCTGATCTGGCTGGGGAGGACTTAGGGCAGAGGGTCTGGCCCTGAGGCTGGTCAGCTTCACCCTGGGTACAAGGACTTCTGTGCTCTGGACCCAGAACCTTCACTGAGAAGCCAGTGGGAGGCCTAGGAAATCTTCCTAAATAGGTGGACTCTGTAAGAAGCTTCAGGCTGGCTCTGGAGGAAATGCTGTCCCTGGGGGACAGGGTAAGCCAAGCGGTGCAGTTGAGTGGGATGTTCAAAGATGCCAGAGAGTCGGCCTGAATGATGTAGAGAGTCACTAATAAATGGGGAGGGGCAGCTGCAGAGCAGGAGTAGGGGTGGTAAGGCCTGAGGCTCTCCAGAAGGAATGCCCCAATCAAAGGGGGGATGTGTCTTTTTTGGTGGGGAGAGAAGGGTTGGGGGTATACCGGGGATTGAATCAGGGGCGCTATACCACTGAGCCACATCTCCAGCCATTTTTATATTTTGTTTAAAGACAGGGTCTCACTGAGTTGCTTAGGGCCTCACTGTTGCTGAGGCTGGCTTTGAACTCACAATCCTCCTGCCTCATCCTCTCGAGCTACTGGAATTACAGGCATGTGCCACCACACCCAGGCAGGGCATGTGTCTCAGTCAGTGGGTTGGGACAAATGGTTCCCACCAATTAAAAAATACCCAAGGAGAAGGAGCAAGAAGTGGGGACACTACCCCATCTCAAGGAGGCTGGAACATGGGGGTGGGAGGTAGGTAAAGACCCAGAGGGAGGGGAGCTCCAGGCAAAATGGCCCCCTCAGCTCAGACCCTCCACTGGCTGGTCACTACAGGGGGCTGTTCCCAGCCATCTAGAGGCAGCAAACCTATAGCACGCTAGGCTGGACCAGGGGCAGAAGGAGCTGACTCAGGTTACTGGACCCCACTGTATCCTTGCCCAAAGGCTGGGTTTAATTGTGTCCTCTGAGCCCTCGCTGGAGCTAGATGGTAAGTCACGTGGAAAGCGAGACCTCTAAAAATCTGGGTGAAGTACCCCACAGGGCCTCCATTATCCCACCCTTCCAAGCCCCTCACACAGGGAATTTAGGACCACACATCACCACCAATTAAAGGCTGTGTGACCTCAGGTAGCTTGCTTCCCCTCTCTAGGGTTCTACTCCTTTGTCTGTGAAATGGGTAAGGAATCTCAATCCAGCTGGCGCTGCAAGGCAACACAGGTCACATACCGGAAGTACCCATCACTGTGCTAGGGCACTGTGTGAAAACAAGCCCCCACTTCCAGCCTCTACCCAAACCACTCTCCCTCTGCTCTCCCTTCCAAATTTGACTCGGAATAGCACTTACTCCGGGAAGGATGCATTGATTTGATCTCCCTGTTTCAGGGCCCCCAAGATTTGTCTCCACTCAAATTCTCCCCCAATTCCCCAACTCTCCCCTGAGTCTCCCTGATGGACTCCCACTCACCACTGAGTCCCAGGGAAAGCGACACTCACCATTCTTGTCTGCTCTGCGGAAAACCTAGAGGACAAAGGGACAGGAGTGGGAGCTGGGTGGGGGTAAGAAGCAAGAGGCTCCGCCCGACCCCAGGGCCCCAGCTGCTCTGCCTCCCCGCTGCCTGGCCTTACCTCCTGCTCAGCCTGCCCCAGCCGCCTGCTCAGCTCAGCCGGCAGGTGCTTTTCCAACAAGGGAGGCACAGGAAGGGCGCACAGCAGGTCCCACTGCTTGCTCCCTGCTCCTGCAGAGCCTGGCTCCATGGGGTGCCCCAGGCCAGCTCCTGCACCCCACCTCCCACACCTGGACGCCAGCCTGAGTTCTGTCTGATGCATCAGCCCCTGGCATGTCCCAGCTTGAAGAAGGTGCAGAGATGGGTCAAGATGCAGTCCAAGGATCCAAACCAGACCTGAACCCCAACTCTGGCCACCCACAGTCCACCCCAGTCTTCGTCCTCTGAGCCGGTCCCCTGCATGCCTGTGCAGGAAGTGGCCATTCCCTTCTTTGCCATACCTCAGTTTTCCCACTAGTGTCCCAAGGAGCAGCCTAGGGTTAACCCTTTCAGGGCCGGGGCTTCCCACAGAGACAACTTTATGTGAGGGCTGTGGGTAGGTGTGTGAGTGCCCAAGGGAGGTGAGGGTGGGGAGGCAAAGATCAGCAGATTTTATTTACTGAGAAGAGGAGACGAAAGGCACCAGAGGCAGTAAGACAGCCTCTCAGGGACCAGAAACTTCCAGGTCCCCCAAAGCCCAGCAAAGGGCAGCCCAGCAGGCCTAAAAAAGAGATGCAGACCAAAACCTGGACAGAGAGCCCTCATAGCTTCAAGTCCTCACTCCCTTTGGATGATCTCCTCAGGGTCAGTGGGTCTAAAGAATCAATCTAATGCCTAGCCTGAATCAGAGAAGGTATGCTACAGGGTTGGGATCACACAGCAGCCCAATGGGGCCTGGGTGGGTAGATGGAGATATGGGCAGGGAGCTAAATTGAGAAGACACCTGGGGCCACACCCAGTAATGCCCCTGCTTCAATATGGACATATCCCCTTAGGCCTGGGTGTTCCTATCTGAGAAGCAGGAGGGTCAGCTTTCAGTCAGAACTGTTTGTGGTCAAGGTGCTGAGTCACTGGGGGTTGTGGGGAGGGGGCAGGAGTACAGTCTTTCCCACTGGTAGGGACCTCTGGAATGGGGACTGAGCACAGGGGTAAAAGGAAGTGACTGAGACCCAGAAATGCTGCTCCATACTCACAGAAGGGGGCTGCAGGGCCACCTGCTGCCCCATGGAGTGGTACCCAGACCACAGAGGATGGCTGCGGGCAGCCTTCACCAGCTGCAGGACTCCTCTTGCCCTTGGGTCAGAGGGGCTCTGGAGGTACTACTAGGGTCAGGAGAGGGCTCCTAATGTGGCCAGGCGCCACCACAGAGCAGGGACAGTGACTGCTATCTTAATTGTGTTGACAGTCCCCACCCCCACCAGACAGATTGTTTGGGGGTTTGGGACAGCAGGGACAGCGACACTGGAGCAGAGACAAGGAGTGATATGAAAAGACAGGACTGGGGACGCGGAGGCAGCGAGATCGGAATAAGGAAGACGAGGGACAGAGGGACAGGTGGGTCAGAGATCGCGAGAGGGACAGGGTCAGGGAGACACGCACTGAGACCGAGATGCGGGAGCACAGAGACGGGGCCGGGAGACAGTGACAGCGAGCCCGGGAGACGCCCCGCCCGCGCCCCACTCACGTCCTGGAAGAGCGCGTGTCCGGCGGGCCCGCCGGCGGCGGCGGCAGCTGGGGATCCAGGGGGCCGCGGGGCCGCGGGCGGCCGGAGCAAGCACACGGTGAGCAGCCCTGCGCACGCCATGGCGCAGCCGCCTGCTCGGCTGGCTGTGCTCCGCCGGCCGCTCTCCGCCGAGGCTCCCTCGGGCCGGACGCCGCGGCGGGCCGGGGGCTGGGGGCGCCCGCCCATTGGCGCCGGCGCGAGCGCGGCCCCGCCCCCGCCCCGCCCCCGCCGTGCGCCCGGGACTGGCCTCTGCCGGCCACGCCGGGCCTCGGTTTCCCCGTCTGGAGCCCAGGCTGCGCCCAGGTCCAGCCTGGACCCTCCCCGCGGGTGCGCCACCGAGGAGTGAGGAACCACCCAAGGGGTAATTTCCACTCGGGACGGGCCGAGCCGAGCAGATCCAGCCAGCGCGGGTGTGTACCGCAAGAGCAGAACGGGAGGGCTGCGCGAACACAGGACGCAAGGCCCAGAGGGTCAGCGGCCAACCCAAGGGTCGTCTTCTCCCGTAGGTTTGTCTAATGGGGGTAAAAGTGGACGCCCCCATAGGAGTCGTGGTGATGCATTGAATGTAAAGGGGTTAAATTGGGCCAGCTCAGAGACCGCCCACCCAACGGTCTGTTACACAGGTCCATGCTGCTGTCACTCTCCCCTTTCCCAGGTCTCAAGTGTCCTGACCCCACACTGTCTGCACTTTCAGAGTCCTCAGCCTTCTTTCCCCCCAAGCTATTTGGGCACTCCCTTCAACGGTCTCTGTACAGCTGCCAGAGGGAGCTTTAAATATGAAACAGGACATGTCCCTCCTTAGACTGCCTGGTGACTCTGTACCCTGAATAAAACCCTAGAATGAATGTCTCTCCTCCCTCAGGACTCCAGCCTCATTAGGTCAGCTCCTCTGACCTGCCCCACTGGGCCCCAGGGCCTCTTTGCCCATACTTTTTTTCTCTGCTTGGTGTGTTCCTCTTCCTTCCTCCAGTTAACCCCTATTGACCCTCAGTTTTCAGCCTAAGCACCACCTCTTCCAGAAAGCTCTCCCCTAATTTTTCTTTTGCACAAATTCCCATCAAAACACCCTTGAGGGGAGGGAACCCACTCACCCCAGGACTGGAAAGTACCTGACACGGATACAAATGCAGTCCATTGTATTTGTTGCATGTTTACTAATGCCTAGAAACTTCTAGAAGGAACATACCAAAAATATCAGTGACCCCTGGGGCTGAAAGGAGAGAAACTCACCTATTACTTCCACACTTTGGCAATATTTACTGGATCAGTTTTTAAGTTAGGAAAAAACTTTAAGTTAGGAAGCCTTCCTTTCTTAGGGTTATGAAACTCAAATAGAATGAAATCCATCTGAGGGACAGAGAGGAGAATGGGCATTTTCCCTAAAAACCCTGGTTTCTCCCACTCCCAGACTTACATCAAGTAGAGACCTAAAACCCAGCCCAAACATCATCAAAATGTTTATTAAAACCAAAGCAGGAGGAAACAGCTGTTAGGAAACAAATCAAAGTGCAGATTGGAGGGTGGGGCAGAGCAATAAGTGGGAGGGGGGCACTTCAAACACCACAGGAGGGTCCCCTCAGTCTAGGCTGGGGAGCCCTTCACCCACCCCTCCTGCCCACCCTGTCAATGAAGGTCCCCACTCACCTCTCCCATCTCATATCCATGGGGAGGGCATCTGGGGCTCTGAAGTGACCCCTGGAAAGGGACCACCCCTCCATCCACCCATAGCTGTCAGTCTGTCTCCCTTCTGCCTTTCCCCAATAAATAAATCGCTCAGGCCTCAGCTCCCTCGGGATGGGGCAAAAGAACCACTTGGGGACCCCTGTCTTTGCTCAGGGGTATAGGGAGTTAGGGTATCAACCCCACATCCCTCCCAGTCTTGTTTCCCAGGCTTGCCAAAGAGGCCTAGATAAATAAATAACGCTCCATTAAAGCTTCGATCAGAAAACCTTAAGACAGAAGTGCTCTTGCAAACCCAGCCAGCCAAGGCCTCCCTGCCTGGCCAGGTCAGCACACAGGATTCTGGGGGCAGGCGGCCAACCCTGGGCCTTCAAGGGCCCCTGGAGCAAGGAGACCGAAAGTGCAGTTAGAGCCCCCCATGCACACACATGGACTCATGCACACACGTGGACACACTGGGGCGTGTCTGCAGTGCACGCACAGATGTGTTCACCTTCATTCCCCGGTACATGCACACACTCATACTCACACACCACTCACCCCAGTTACACACACGTGGGGTGCTGGGTGCATGCACATACACACCACAAACAGAATCCTTCCCTTCCTGGCTTGCTCAACCTCCTGGTGGCAGCCAGACCCCAGAGCTAGAAGCTGCTGAGATAGGAGAGAGGGTATAAATTACACTTTTCCAAAAGGGCTGGAAGGATGGCCTAGGGCAGGGGGCTCCAGGGCTGCAGAGACAGGGAGGGGCATCTCAGGAGACCCTGGCCCCCTAGGACCTGTCAGAAATCCAGGGGGGTCAGATCCCCAAAGTCACAGTCGAAGAGGTCTCTGATGCCCTCACCCTCCTCAAGGCCAAAGTGGTAGTCGAGGGCCTCGTGGGGTGGGGAGAGGCTGATGAACTCCTCAGGTAGGAGCCCGGAGAAGTCTTCCCGCACATGCTCCAGGAGTGAGTCAGCAGCCACCAGCGGGGACAGGCGGTCCTCATCCATGGGGGCCCGCAGGCCACCCATCCTTGACAACAGTGGCTCTGGGGAGACGGGGGAGCATCACAGGCCAGGGATGGCCCAGCAGAGAGGACAGAGGGGGCTGCCATGCCTGCTCACCCATCTAGGGGGGCCCCCCCACTCACCCTTACCCACCTTGCTCCAGGCTGAGCAGGGACTGGCTGGTATCCATAGCAGGGGACGAAGGCGGAGGTGATGGTGGTGGCACTGTGGTGACGGGGTCAGTTGTCCTGTCCTCCTCTCCAGAAGCTGCCTCCTGGGATGGAGTCTTTGCTGGGCTGATCCCACCCACACTCTCTTCAGGGCACAGGAAAACATCAATGGGGCCTTGTTTGCTCTTGAGGGAGATCTGAAAGGTCTGGGTAGAGGCAGCAGGCAGAATTACCTGAGGCCCAGGTGACCACTATCCCAGCCCAGCTTGTCCTCGTTGGGCCTGAAGTCCCTGGTTTTACCTCTGAAGAGTCCACGGCTTGGAGTTGGGTCTCAGGAGGAGCCTTGATCACCATGACCATCTGCTCTGCAGGGTCTGCAATGCTACGAAGGTCCTGGCATGTCACATAGGCCAGGGTTGGTGGAGTCAAGGAGTATATGATCTTTGGCCTCTGGAGGCCACTCACAGTGACAGCCCCCAAGACAGGGTCCATACTTGCCTTTTCACTCGTCTTCCTGATCCACCATAAGGTTTGGATTATAATTGGTGTTCAACACTTCATTCCCCTGGACATCAATGGCCACATCAGTACAGTGGGACTATCTACCCATCTCATTCAAAGCGAATGATGGCTGACTGTGATAATTCCACATAAAAAGCTTAACACGATGCCAGGCCTGGTGTTGAGAGTATATTGGCCTGTGATCTTGGTGTCAATTGATGGCTATGGCCAAAAATATATGTATATTTTTTGAGGTCCTAGGGATTAAACCCAAGGCTTTGATCAAGCACTCTACCAACTTGCACTCAGTGACAGAGCCTTCTCCTGAATCTGAGATCCAGGGCCTCTCCACCCACTTGGGTGGGTAACCCCACCTATCACACCTGTCCTCCAAGTCCCCAGCCAATCCAAGGATATCGCTGGCTGTCAGAGTCCTCAGAGAGCAGCCGCAGCTGTGTGGTGCAGATGTGCATCAGATGGTCCAGCTGCTGCTCACTCTCCTGCAGTTGCTGGAGGTCCTGGGTCAGCCCTTCAAGCCGCCCACCGATCCCCACTGTGGCGTGGCTGCCTCTGTGGAGAGGCGTTTAGGAGGGTTAGCAGCTCCCAGCCCCTCTGCCCATCAGCCCTGGCCCTTGGGACAGAGTCTGCTGTGGCCACTGATCTCAGATTATTTTTTTTTCTTTTAATTTTTTTTTTTAAGTTGTAGATGGACATAGTACCTTTATTTATTTTTTTATGTGGTGCTGAGGATAGAACCCAGTGCCTCATATGAGCAAGGCAAGTGCTCTACCACTGAATCACTGCCCCAGCCCCTGATCTCAGATTCTGACAGGATTTCTCCTCTCTGGCTCCAGCTTCTCAGTTGGGTTCCAAATCAGACTGGCCTGACTGCCAACAAACACCTACATGTCCCTACCAGGAGGCTGAGTAAATAGATGATGGCAGAGATATGCCCTGGAAAATGACCCAGCTGTATAAAAGGATGAGAATGAATTAGATGTACACATGAAATTATTTCCAAGACATGTTGTCAAGTGAAAAGAAAAACAAAGTGATGCAGAATAGGATGATCTACCCCAAACTGAAAAGACCAATGTGTCAAAGACAGGGTAGTAGGGTTGCCTGGGGAGAGGCGAGAAGGGAAAAATAAAGAATTAACAGGATAGCCAGGCATGGTGGCGTAAACCTCTAGTTCCAGCTACCTGGAGACAGGAGGCAGGAGGATCACAAGTTTGAGGCCAGCCTAGAGAAACAGATGTTATTAAAAAACAAAAACCAAAAAATGGGGGGGGGGGGCGGGGCAGGAACACATCTAAAACATCTATACATCTGTGTCAAACAAATCTCATCAATGGGAGCAGAAGCCAGAATGGGGACTACCTGGTGGTATGAGATAAGCAATGACCAGGAAGGGGCACAAGGAAACCTCCTGGGGGTTGAAGAAGTTTTTTAAAAATCTTGATCTTGGTGGTTACTCAGATGAACAAATATGTACAGCTACAGTGAGCTGGATAAGTTTGAAATCTGTGTCTGTTGCCAGGTGTGATGATACTCACCTATAATCCCAGTGATTCGGGGGAAGGACCTATAATCCCAGTGACTCGGGGGAAGGATTGCAAGTTCAAGGCCAGCCTCAGCAACTTAGCAAGACCCTGACTCAGTAAAAAGGACTGGGAATGCAGCTCAGTGGTAAAGTAGTCTTGGGTTCAATCCCCAGTACAAAAAAAGATTTGTGAACTTCTCAGCATCTAACAGCCTAGGGAAACCACATCTGCAGCTTCAGTGCCCCAACTGTAAGACGGGAATGCAGAAGTCAGTGGGTATTGCCAGCAGCACGGGCAGGTATTTGTGCCTGCCCTCCTGATTGCCTGGTACCTACAGCCACTGGATGTGGTTCTTGGACTTCTTGGCAATGAGCTGGATGCCCTCCAGGACATTGGTGATGTCGTAGATGCGCCGTTTCTGCACCTTCAGCACCTCAGCTGCCCAGTTCAGATCAACAACGCCATCAGCTGAGCGGCTCAACAGCTCCAGGAAACGTTTGGTGGTAAGATTCAGGGACGTCTCATAGCGTGACTTCTCCCCCGGGGATTTTGCACCTGGTCGGAGAGACTGTTCAAGCAAGGTGGAGCAGCAGTACTGGGGGGCAGGTGGCTCCTCCCCTTGGTAGGGCCAAGCAGGGAGGCCCTGTGGCTGCTGCCTGCCAACCACAGCATTTCTCTTCTGGCTGGGGAACTCCCCACCCCCGGTGCCCAGGGAAGTCATGCCAGGCGGCCACTCTAGCTGCCTACCAGGCCCCCAGATGCCTGACTTAAGCTCAGACCTCACCAGTTAGATTTTTTAGTCTGCAAGCATGTTTATCCATGTACAACCCCAACCTGGGCCTGGTCAGAGGGGCCTACCCAGGTTAAGTTCCACCGGTACCTTTTCCTGGGTGTCGGCCTCTACCCCGAACAGGCCCACTGCTCTCAGCCAGGTACTGATGGTCAGTTTCCAGGTCCAGCCTCCGCTTCACCTGTGGCAGAAACAATGGGAGGATGCCCAGTAACCAGGAGGGAGGCTACAAAAGACTTGGGTAAAGGCGTGGTGCCCCTGGGATGCCTGTCCCCTGCCTCTGTTTCTCTACCAGAATGCCTAAGTGTGTGAGTGAGGGGGACATATTGTAGGGGACACAACATGAGCATTATAATCCTACCACACAGGACCCTCAAGTGGAAGGCAGAAGACCTGGGTTAACCACCACCTATAATCCCAGCAATTTAGGAGGCTGAGGCAGGAGGAATTCAAGTTCAAGGCCAGTCTCATCAACTTAGGGAGGCCCTAGGCAACATAGTGAGACCCTGTCTCAAAAAATAAAAGGGCTGGGTATGTGGCTCAGTGGCTAAATGCCCCTGGGTTCAATCCCTGGCACCAAAATAAATAAATAAGAATGTGGGGCTGGGGATGTGGCTCGCCTGGTAGCGCGCTCGCCTGGCATGTGTGTGGCCCGGGTTCGATCCTCAGCACCACAGACAAACAAAGATGTTGTGTCCGCCGAAAACTAAAAAAAAAAAAATATTAAAATTCTAAAAAAAAAAAAAAAAAAAAGAATGTGGCAGCAGAGATGGTGTAATGCTTCTACGGCTGGGTCACAGAGCCACTGGAGCTTCCTCCTTGTCCTCTATTTAGATCAACCACTCTGGGGGAAGCTAGGTACCACATCACATGAACACTCAAGTAGCCCTAATGATGGGCCCCAGTCACATGGAACTGAGACTTCCTAACAGTAATGTGGGCAAGCTTCGAAGCAAACCCTACAAGCTAAGACTTGTGGGGCTGAGGTTGTGGCTCAGTGGTAGAGCACTTGCCTAGCACGTATGAGGCACTGGGTTCAAGCCTCAGCATCACATAAAGAAAATAAAGGTATTATGTTCATGTATAACTAAAAATTAAAAAAAAAAAAAGACTTCTGACTGCAACTGGGGCCAGCATTTTGGCTGTAACCCCAGAAAAGCCCTGAGCCAGAAGTGTTCAACTAAGTCTCCCCTGAATCCCCAACCCACAGAAATTACAGATTTTTTTTAAGTTCTGAGGCTTGAACCTAGAATACCTCTACATTGAGCTACATTCCCAGACCTTTTTTTTCCTTTTTCTTTTCTTTTTTTCCTTTTTTTTTCTTCTTTTTTTTCCTTTTTTCTTTCTTTTTTTCTTTTTTTTTAAGTTCTGAGGCTTGAACCTAGAATACATTCCCAGACCTTTTTGAGACAGGGTCTTGCTAAATTGACCTTGTGGTCCTCCTGCTTCAATCTCCAGCATCACTGGGACTGCCATGCCAGACTAAATGCTTGTTTTAAAGCACTGAGTACACATGTCCCTTAAGCAGTCACTTCCTCTGTGGTTTTCAAGAAATCTACTAATCTGTAACATGGCAGCAGCTGGTGCTCACCAACTGTCTGCATTCGTTAGTTTACTCCATCCCATAGAACAACAATACAATAATGACCCCATTTTGCAGAGAAGGCCACTGAAGCCCAAGATCATATAGCCAGGATTCCTACCCAGGACTGTCTGAGAAGAAAACAAGCTGCTGACCTCTACACTGTCTAGCTTAGTCATGCTCTCGAGCCTAGAGATTATTCTGGAGGTCCCATAGGCAACTCAAGTACCCTGAACAAAACCAGATGTACCATCCATTCCACCAGCCACTCTCACCACATCTAGCTGCCAAGAACTCATCACCACAGCCATTATCACCTCCCACTGGACCGCTGGGTCTCCCTGCCTCCATCTGTCCCCTCTACAACAACAGTCCCCCTACAAGTCTCATTATGTTTTAGCCCCTACTTAAGACTTTCCACTGGCATTGCTTCTCCATGTGAACTTCTGCTGAGAGGTGTCTTCTCACAAATCTGTGCTTCCAAGCCCTAGACCACACTGGCCCCTTCCCTTCCCTCCTTGCACCTGCTATTCTCACCTGAGCAGGAACCTTTCCCATCTCTTAAAAGAGGTACTACCTCTTTCCATCTGAACTGCCTCAAACCCAACCTTTTCCCATGCTGTCTCTCATTACAAACTTCTGCATGGTGTCCATCTCTCTCTCAGAGTATCCAGTGTCTGCCATGGGACCTGGGCACCAAATGTTTGCCAAATGAATTTCTTCACATGTGGTACATGGTGCTCCCTCTTGCACGTACTTACTTCTCTTCTGGCCTCTATTCTGGGGACACCCCACTAGTAAGGAGTGGGGCCAAGATTTGTACCCCAACAGGCTGATACAAAGCCCAGTCTAGAAGTGAGGCCCCCACAAGTCAGACAGAAATATACTCCCTTGGGCTGGGGACATAGCTCAGTTGGTAGAGGGCTTGCCTTGCATGCACAAGGCCCTGGGTTCGACCCCCAGCAGCACAAAAAAAAAAAAAAAAAAGGACCAAAGAAATATACTCCCTTCTTCAGATCAACAGCTGGGCCTGAACCCTAGCATGTTCCTGCCACAGCCATCACTTTCTCCCTGGTAACCTCGTCCCTGCCCTCTCCCAAGACAGGTCACAGCCATACCCTAAAATGAGGGCCCAAGCAGATGCCCATTTTTGGCACTGCTCTCTACATAAACCTTGGCACAGGGGACCTAAAAGCCAGAGGTGGAGACATTCACTGGGGAAAAAAAAAAGACTCTCATACCCATCCATGGGGGGCGGGGGGGGACAACCACAAACATTTAGTCCCCAATGGTATATGCTTGTTATCCCAGCAATTCAGGAGGCTGAGGCTGAAGAATTCCAAGTCTGAGACTGGAATCAGCAACATAATGTGACCCTGTCTGAAAATAATCAATGGACTGAGGACTTAGCTTAGTAGTAAAGCACCCCTGGATTCAACCCTCAGTTAAAAATAAAAAACAAATAAAATAAAAAGTGAATGTAACTCAGAGGTAGAGCACTCTGGGCTCAAGCCGCGATACCAAAACCAACAAAACAGTCAGAGGAGTTGGTGGAGGTCAAAAGCTGCCCCTGTGTTTCTGGCTTTGAACTCAAGGATGGTGCTAACCCCTCCACTGCCCACATAGAGAAATGCCTGCTGGCCCTAAGAGGGCAAAGGATCCTTCCTGGCCTCTGTGCCTAGCACATCAGAGGCACTTACTAACTAAACAACTACTGGCTTTTTTTTTTTTTTGCAGTGGTGGGAATTGAATGAATGGGATGCTTAGAAGAGGGCATTTCTCTTCATCACAGTCCACTCCTCTGAGTCTGCAGCTCAGCTCCCTGAGGACAGCACCCACAAGTTGTTGGTCTCTGCAGCCCTAGGACTGCCACAAGCTAGTACCCGCAGGGACAAGTCCCTGGAGTATATAGTAGACAAGCCAGCTAACCCACTCTATACAACCTCCCCTTCTAGTCCTTCATTAGGAGGAAGGGGTCCTAAGAACTTCTTTTCTTTTTTTAAAGGAAAGGTTTATTTTATGTATTTATTTTTGAGAGAGAGAGTTTTTATTAATTTTTTTAGTTTTTTTCTTCGGACACCACATCTTTGTTTGTATGTGGTGCTGAGGATCAAACCTGGGCCGCACGCATGCCAGGCGAGCATACAACCGCTTGAGCCACATCCCCAGCCCCTAAGAACTTCTTATGGTTTCTTCAACTTCTATCAGCATCTCCAGAAGGTCAACACTCAGGAAATATGGCCTGGTCCCACCACTTGCTGGCTTAATTACTAGAGATGTTTCCACCATCCCTAGGTCTCAGCTTCCCCATCTACAAAAAGGTTGCTGACAGGGTTAAATGAGTTAATTGGGTAAAATGTTTGGCACAGAGCCTGGCACACAAAACATCCTCAAAACAATGGTAGCTGCTATTGTTATTATTATTAGCATCTTGGTGATTCCGGAAGGAAAGCAGCACTGGGCACTGGGCCAAGGGGGTTGGGGGCCTTCCCAGGATGCCTTAGGAACCAGCTGCCACCCACACCCCCATCAGCAGTTGAGAAGCATCTCCCTCCTTGTCCTCACCCCTTCCACTTTCTCCAGGCCCTCCTGAGACCCCCATCCTGCCTAGCCAACCTCTGACTGCCTGCCCCTGCCCCACCTTCAGTCACAGGCCATGCCAGTAAAACTGGTCTCCACACCCTGCCCTGCACAGGTTCAAGCTTCAGGCCTCTGCTCCCTTCTCCCACTGTAATTCACCTGCCTCTTCTAGAACCCCCAGTCTAAACTGGTCTTGAGCTTCCTGCTGCTGGGAGGTCAGGAAGGACTTTATCCAGGGATCTCCCTGGGACATTCTCTCCTGGCACTAGGGGCCTCCTCTCCAGCTCCCAGAGGCCCAGCCCACCCAGTCCTTCTACAGAGGCTCAGGGGTTTGCCTGATTAATGAGGTTCCATGGTAACCAGGGGCTGGGAGGGTGGCAGATGGAAGGACAGGCTGAGGGAGGGGATCAGCAGCTGGCCCAGTGCCCCGCCCCTGCAGAGAAGGCCTCCCAGTCAGGAGGCCTATCCCCAGAGGCCTGGAGGGACAGGCCTGCACCTGGCAGTCCTGCATTTAGGCAGAAAGGGGCTCTTCAATGGTTCCCCAACGGTCAAGCTCCAGGGCCTTCCCCAGCCTCCGCCGCGCCCCCCCCCCCGCAACTGTGCCCACTACCCAGCCACAGATTCTGGTCGAAGCCAACAAATCCCAGTCCCACCATCTCCAGCTGTCTGACAAGTCACTTCCCCCTCTGAGCCTCAGTCTCTCCATCTGTCAGATGGGCACAGTGACATCAAGCTCACAGTTTAGCTGGCTTCAAGTCTACCAAAGGCCTGGCATATGGTAAGCACCAGCTGAATACATGTGGGCCACAATTGTCACTGACCGACGATTGAGTGGCTCCAGTGAGGACGCTGAGGCCCAAAGCACAGAGAAGCAAACAGGGACTGGCCCGAGGTCACCCCGCACCCCGGGGCGGGGCCCATAGGCCCAACCCAGGCTCTGCACAGCCCAGCCAGACTCCTCGGTCCCCCCTCCCCCGCCGCCTAGGGGTCAAACACCGCGCCAGGCCGGGTCTGCGCGGGGGTACGGTGGCGCACAGGGCCTGGCGACCCTAGGGTCCGTACCGGCGGGCGGCCAAGAGCCGGACGCGGCGCGCTGGGTGTGGGCCGGGGCGCCTGCGGCGTGGCGAAGAGCAGCAGGTCGGGGTCGCGGGGGCCGGCGGCGGGCGCCGTGGGGCCAGCTGGAGCCGGCGGGGCGCTGGCGTCCTGCGCCGTGGAAATGATGACGATCTGCGAGGAGTCGAGCAGCCGCAGCGCGCCGGCCCCGAGCAGGGCCTCCAGCGCCGGCGCGCATGGGCCGCCTGCGGGGGCCCCAGCCACGGCCATGGTGCTCACGGCCCGCGCGGCCTGGGTGTCAGGCGGCGGCGGCGGCGCGGGCCCATGGCGGCTGGCCCCGGCGAGGGCTCGATCCCGCTCCGCCCCCGGCCGCCGCTGCCTGCAAAGTCCTGGCCACTTTTACGCGCCAAATCCTTTTTGCCGCGAAAGAGCCACGAGCCGCAGAGCGCCGTCACCATTGGTTGTCCGTACTCTGACGGAGGCGGCGGCGGTGCCTCCTGTTGGCTGCAGCGCGCCAGACCGGCTGTGAAGGGCGGAACCGGGCGGCGGCGCGGGGCGGGGCGGCCAATCGCGGGGCGGGGCGCGCGCAGGCTTTGTCGGGGCGGTGCCAGGCGCGTTCTTTCTCCCCGCCCCCAGGTCGGACGGCCTCTGCTGGAGGCGTGGGGACACTGACCCCACCTCCGCCCCTACACACCCTGTCCTGATGATACGGGTGTAGTGAAGGCTTAGCTCAAAGTTTTGCACATCTCCCCGTCAGCAGACCCCACGTGACCCCCCAAACCCTCCACCTGAAGCCCCCACACCCTCAGCTCAGGGCTCCAGAAACGGACCCCTCCTCTTTTCTGGATGCCCAGGCTCACCTCCCACCTCCAAAGCCCCAGCCACGTGCGCCATCCTCAGCTTGACCCACCTACACCGCTTACTCAAATCCTTTTCCTGGCCCAGCCCTTTTGCCCAGTGCCCAAGCCCAGTTTTAGCTGCAGTCCCTTCAATAGCAACGTACCCCCAGCGCCAGGGCACGCGCACCTCAGCTTGAGCTCACTCCTCTCCGAATGCTCGAGAGACGTTTTGAGAACCTACTCAGTTCAGAAATCCTTAGTTCAGACCTTGACTTAGGGCCTTACGGAGCTCACAGTCTAGTGAAAAGGGAAGAAGGGGAAGAGAAAACGTGTTCACGGTATCATGAAGAGTCAACCATTAAAAAGTAAATCCATGTTCCAAGCTGGGTGGCGCAAGCCTGTCATCCCAGCGGCTCTGGAGGCTTGAGCATCGCAAGTTCGAGGCCAGCCTCATCAATTTAGAGAGTTCCTGAGCAATTTAGCGAGACCCTGTCTTAAAAAATAAAAACGGTTGGGAATGTAGTTCAGTGGTAAACCCCTCCCTGGGTTTAATCCCCAGTACCAAAAAAATAAACTCCATGTTAGACCTCACAAAGGGAGAAGGTAAGGATGCTGAGCGTGAAAATGCATTTAATCCTGAGGCCCTGGGACAGTTCCATCAGCATTTCTCATTGCTCAGGTCAGCCGATCAGACCAATATTGTCCTCTCTGGGCTAGGCCATGTGCCAGCACCAAGGACAGATGTGAAACACTACCAGTAAAGTCTACAGGCTTGCCTGCCCTCTGGTGTGTGACCCGTGTGACCCACAAGGGTAAAAAAAGTAGCTAGGATACAAACAAGAATCAAATCCTCAGGCCCAGCGTCAGCGTCACTTCCCCCTGGGAGCCTTCCGGAATCAGGGTTCCTCGTTTTCTCCATTGCCCATGCTATGTCTGCCCCAACATGACCACACCCTGCATTCCTCCGCTGGCCTTCCTCGCCAGTCTGGGGGCTCCAGCGAGGCCTCCTCCCACTGGCCTGGCCTCCAGTTGGTGCTGAAAAAGATTATGAGAGAAATGGAGCCCAACGTTGTGAGGAAGGACACAAAAAGGAGGCCATGGTTCCCCATGGTCCTTAGGGACCTGGCTTCAGAATCACCTGGGCACTTGTTAACTTCAGATCTACCCCAGCCCTGACAATTTAGAATTTCTAGGAGCCCCCAAATTTGCATTTTAATAAGCAACCCCCATCCCCATACCGGGTGGGGTTTTTGTTTGTTGTTGGCAGTACTTGTATTTTGAACTAGGGCCATCCGCTCTACCCCTGAGTTACATCTCCAGCCCTTTTAATTTTATATATATATATTTTTTTTCATATTTATTTTTTAATCTTATTTATTTTTATGCAATGCTGAGGATCAAACCCAGTGCCTCACACATGCTAGGCAAGCGCTTCAACACTGAGCTATTGCCCCAGCCCTTATTTTATATTTTTGAGATAGGGTCTCTGTACATTGCCCAGGCTGACTTTGAATTTTATGTGTGTGTGTGTGTGTGTGTGTGAGAGAGAGAGAGAGAGAGAGAGAGACACTGAGGATTGAGCCCAGAGCCTCGCACATGCTAAGCAAGCCCTCTGCTACTGAACAGGCTGATCTTGATTTTTGAATCCTCCTGCCTCAGCCTCCCCAGTATCTAGGATTACAGGTGTATGCTACCATACCCAACTTACCAGGTGATTTTTTATGTGTACTTACCTTTGAGAACAAATTGATGCACAACCAATGTGTCTCTCAAGTTACAGTTCCTAAAGATGCTTCTCAGCCTATTTCCTCCTCTATAAAATGGGTATATTATTGACCTTGTCCTGCCCCTTCTAGGACTGCTATAAGGATGAAAAGCACAAGGGATTTGAAAATCTTTTATTGTCTATGAAGTGGATTCAAAAAGTAGCAGGAGTTTTTTTCCCCCTCTGATGAGCAGTTTATAAAATTAGTCCAATATAAATCCTAGACTATATAAACCCACATGGTGGCACATGCCCCAATCCCAGCAATTTGGGAGGCTGAGGCAGGAGGATTATAAATTCAAGCCAGCTTCAGTAACTTAGTGAAACTCTTTCTCAAAATAAATAAAAAGGGCTGAGGATATAGCTCAGGGATAGAGTGCTCTTGGATTCAACCCTTAGTACTGCAAAAATCCTAGAATGTATCAGAACTACAAAGGCCCACAGGGACCACATAAGCTTCTTGCTGTACAGATGGGAAAATGAGGTCCATTCCAGGAAGGGGAAAGTCAGCCAGAGGCCGAGAGGCTAGCACTTTCCCATTGCAGATGGAGACAGTGCCTTTCCCCACTCCTTCCTTTTTTATATGGTCTTTTAATTTTTTTTTAATATTTATTTTTTAGTTTTCGGCAGACACGACATCTTTGTTTGTATGTGGTGCTGAGGATCGAACCCGGGCCGCACGCATGCCAGGCAAGCGCGCTACCGCTTGAGCCACATCCCCAGCCCGTCTTTTAATTTTTTGATGGTGCTAGGAATGGAACCCAGGGCCTCACCTATGGTAGGCAAGTACTCTACCACTGAGCCATGTCCTCAGCCCTTCCCACTCCTTCCTAAAGAGCCTCAATGACAGTAAAATTCACTTTTAAAAGATATGTTCATTTTCGTTGTAAATGTAACTTTATTTTATTTATTTATATGTGGTGATGAGACTCGAACCCAGGGCCTCACACATGCTAGGCAAGTGCTCTACCACTGAGCCACAACCCCAGCCCCAATAAAATTCCCTTTTGTAAAGGCCTTTCCTACCTCATAGTCTTTCAACAGGCACAAAGCCTCACCATGGTGGTTGCTGGACAGGGGAAACAGATTGTTGTTATCGCCCCATTTTATGATGAGGAAACTGAGGCCCAAAGAGCATGAGCTTGCCTAGTCGATGAAAAAGGTATTACTCATGCTTCAGGAGGCCAAAGCCAGAGGTTTTTCAAAGTTCAGCCCTGCCCAAATTATTCCAGTACACATGGCAGGTGGAAGCAGCTGCCTCCTTCCCACAATCCCTGGTGTCCTGCTGCAGCAGAAAGGAGTGAAGACCAGGATCTCCAGCATGAAACCAGGAAGAGATAAGGGCTTCTGGATCTGTGGAGATACCTACTGGGAAGCAGAAAGGCCTGAGAGATGGGGCCTCTTGGCCCTGAGCCTGGAAGATCCTGATAAGGCTGTTCTCAATGTCAGCAGTTCTCCAGATGATTGGCTTCCAAAAATCCACAGTCACTGGGCAGCCACTTTCATTGATGGTCCCCTTTCAACCCAATAATCCTGAAAATGAAGCTTGTTTATCTACATGGCTCAGGAAGGAGGCAGCTCAGAGAGGGGTACTCACAGTTCAAGGTCACACAGCAGAACTGAAATGGTAACTTAGCCTGTTCTACTGCAAAATCTTGCCACCCTCTGTTAGTACCCCAAGAACCAGGCTCAGGGCTATTGAGATTATAATGTGTGGTTTCCAAAATTCATTATGGTAGATAATAGCATAGTTAGTAGGTGTTTAGACCCATCATTATCTCTACCTCCTCTGTAGGAATCCATGAAGGCAGAAGTTCCTAGGCCGGGGGCCCTCTGCCTAGAGACATCTTTCCCTTGGTTCTTTCTAAGATGCAGGATGACATAAAGGTAATAGGAGGGACTTCCAAATCACATGGACATAAATAGGAATCTTGGTCTGTGTGATTCCCTTCATTTCCTCTATGCCTCACTCATTCAATCCACTGATATTTACTGAGCACCTACCATGTAATCAGGCGTTGTGCTGGGTGTTTGGGGACACAGCCATAAACAAAACAGACCGCTCCTGGGCACCTGGAGCTCACAATCCAGCGGGAAAGTAAAGAATTATTTCTATGGACTAACACAGTATCCTCATTAAGAATCTGCCGACTGACACAAATAATTGAAAACTATTTATTTCACACACAGCACCTCCCACAAACATACATTCTTATCTTAAAAAAAAAAAAAAACTTCCAAATATGATTGTGTCATCATTATAAGGAATGCATAATTGGGAGAAATGGTTCTGTGGTGACTTAATTTTATTAAGGGGCACAGAGACATCCATTGTTGAGTCCTGGCAGAGGGAAGTGGGGAGTTTTGCATCTGCATCTCCCTGTTCCTCTTGAATGGCCCAGGGACGCTGCACTGACTGACAGTTTACTGTCCTTGGAGCTGTTCTGTCACTGTGCCAGCTCCGACTGTGTCTGAACAGGCCTCCTGCCCAGCCAAGCAGTGGTGTAACCTGGGAGCAAGGCCTCGGACTCAGGCAGACGTCAGCTCTGGGCCTTCTTGGTTTTCTGACCTGGGAAGTGTGACCTCAGCCCCAGAACCAGGGGTACCAGGACGGGTATCAGGGTCACATGAGAACACAAGCCGAGTTCACCAGCTGGCCCACAGGTGTGATACAATTTGCCCACTGAGTAATTTTTTCAGTTATGAATTCGTTTTAAGGTTTAAAAATTAGGGAATCCTATAGAAGAATTCAAATATCTGCCAGGCACGGTGGCTCACACCTGTAATCCCAGCGGCTCCGGAAGCGGAGGCAGGAGGATCTGGGGTTCAAAGCCAGCCTGAGCAACTTAGTGAGGCCCTCAGCAACTCAGTGAGACCCTGTCTCTAAATAATATACAAAATAGGGCTGGGGATGGGGCTCAGTAGGTGAGCGCCCCTGAGTTCAATCCCTGGTACCTCCACCCCGAAAAAAAAATTGAAACCACCACTCATCTTTGGTGGCATCTTAGAAATGATGTTCAAAAAGTACTGGGGCTGGGGCTCAGTGGTAGAGTGCTTGCCTAGCACATGTGAGGCATTGAGGGCGATCCTCAGCACCACATTAAAAAATTAATTCAATAAAGGTATTGTGTCCATCTACAGCTAAAAAAAAAATTTATTTTTAAATGCGGAGGGGTCTGGGGTGTAAGTCAGCGATAGAGCAGCACCCTGGGTTCAATCCCCAGCACCCCCTGCATCCTCCCCCACCCACCAAAAAAAAAAAAAAAACAGCACTGGTTTCTGACACCAGCCCTGGTCCAGCACCTGGCTTGTCACAGCCCTCAGGTTACCCCAGGATCTTCAGCATCCGAGGCTGAGGCTGGCCACTGGGAACCATTAGCGCCTTTTTTTTTTTTTAATCCTTTTCTTGTTTTCCTGATGACACCTGCTGCCCTGCATTTGGTACCCGGGTTGACAGGCACAGGGCAAATGCAGTCAGGGAGGGCCATGGGGAGCGTTCAGGGAGGGAAGAGAAAGGCTTTTTATAATATATTAAGATATTCAGAGAGGAGGAGCCAGAGGTTCCCTCCCCCTTTTTTTAAACAACAAAAAAATCCCTGCTGGAAGCCAGGGTTATATATATGCCAAACAGCCCAGGAAACCCACCAGGCCTCCCGGGGCTGGCGCTGAACCGAAACAGGGGCATTGTGTGCAGACCACTGGCTGGCGGTGGGGGCATTGTTAGGGCCTGGGCCTGTCTGGGAAGAGGGGGGTGGCAAAGCAGGCAGAGTGTGTTCCCATGGCTCCCTGGGGAGTGACAACAATCAGGGCCAGCTGGGAAGCCTGGCACGCCAGGGGCCTGGTGGGTAGGCAGGCAGGCCCCAGAGGGGCCAGGGAGGGCAGTGGGGGGCCGAGCAGGCAAGGTGGGGGGCAAGGTCAGGGCCCGTTTCTTAGCCAGGGGGCAAGGCCTAAAGAGGGGAAGCATGGAGGCCATCATTACCCCCCTTACTGCACCTCCAAGGCCCTAGGCCACGGGGCCTCTGCAGAGTACACCCCAGATCTGCCTGTTGCTCTCTATCTGTCACCATCCCGGCCTCTGTCCTAGTCACCATGGTCTCTCATCTCTAGGCCACATGGATTCCTGCTGCCAGCCTGGCCCTATGCTCTGTCCTCCATAAGCTGCTAGAAGCATTTTGCCCACATGTAACTAGCACCACATCACATCCTTTACCTCCTAAAAACAAAGGCTGCCCATCAGGCTTAAAAGAAAACCCAATGCTTTCCCCAGCCTGAGAAGCCTGCCCCAGGCCAGCCTGCCCCTGGGCTGCCCCTCCAGGAGCCGGCTGCAGTCTCCTCTTCAGGCCCTTGGAATGCCAGTGCCTTCAGCTGTTCCCTCCTCAGGGACTGTGCACTTTGAAGATCTTTGGCCAGAAATACCCTTCCTCCACCGCTTTGCATAGCTCTCTTTATTCAGGGCTCACAGCAAACTTCACCTCCTCGGAGACACAATACCCCGCTCTCCCCTCTCTGGTCCCTCCATGACACTGCCTTCACAGAACCTAGCACTTCCTTGATTCTTTTCTCTTTCTACTTCCTTTTCCTGCCCCTAGTAACTGGGATACAACCCAAGGGTGCTCCAACACTGAGCGACATCTGCAGTCCTTTTTTATTTTTTAGTTTGAGGTAGATTCTCACTAAGTTGCTGAGGCTGGCCTTGAACTTGCAATCCTCCTGCCTCAGCCTCCCAAGTTGCTGGGATGACAGGCGTGCACCACCACGACTGACTTGCTGCAATTAACTTGGGATACTGTTTATCACAATTTTAAAATCATGGTTTTGGACTCTGCCTCTAGAACTTGCATTTAATATATTTGTAAGAGCACACATTCCTATCATGAATTTAAAAAAAAAAATGGGGGAGGGGCGCTGAAGGTATAGCTCAGTATTAGAGTGCTTGCCTAACAAGTGTGTTAGATTCCCAACACACACACACACACACACACACACACAGATTGTTTCTGAGAACCATTTCAATACTCATTATAATTGGTCTTTCTTGTCATCCTATGTATTTTACTGAATGGGTTTTGGAAGCAGCACTCAAGAGGGTTGATAGGCTCCACCAAATGCCAAAGGGGTTCATGACACACGTAAACAAAGACACTCTAAAAGAAGTGTCTTAAAAGAGCTGATGTGGCCTGGCCCGGGTCCTACTCTCAGCTGACATGCAGCTCACAGGCAGAGGCTCCAGGGAGAAGCCCGGAAGAGCAATGAGATCAGGGTTTCTGACACCAGTCCCGGGACCTGCGTTTCGATTCTGCCTGGTTTTTGTCTCATTTATTAAATCACGACATCCACAGCAGCGTTGAGCACAGAGTTCTGGTATAGAAAACAGAGAGTCCTCCCTTGGGAAGCTCCTCAAATCAACACCAGAAAAGAGTACAGTCTTTCTTTGTCCTCTAAGTGGGCCAGTCTGGCTTCCTGCTACCTACAGTACAGTGAGTCCTAAAAGGGGCCTTCTGGTGAAAACCCAAACCTCCTCACTCAAAAATGCCCTTCAGCCTGGGGCACGGTGGTGCACACCTCTAACTCCAGCAGCTTGGGAGGGTGAGGCAGGAGGATCACATTCAAAGCCAGCCTCCACAAATGAGCGAGGCCCTGAGCAATTTAGCGAGACCCTGTCTCAAAATAAAAAAATAAAAAGCGGGACTAGGGTTGTGGCTCAGCGCAAAAATAAATAAATAAAATAAAGGTATTGTGTCCAAGTACAACCAAAAAAAAAAAAAAATTAAAAAAAAAAGGTGAGGATGCATGCAGCTCAGTGTACAGCACCTCTGAGTTCAATCCCAGTATCAGAATAATAATAATAATAATAATAATAATAATGATAATTTAAATTAGAAACAGAAAATTTAATATTGTCGGACTGTGGGTGTAGCTCAGAAGTAGAGTGTGTGCGTAGCAGGCACTAGACCCTGGGTTCAATCCCATTTACCAAAAAAAAAAAAAAAAAGCCCTTTAAGGTTAAAGACAGACATTCTCCCCCTGGGAAACTGGAACAAGAAAAGGAGAGGGGGAAAAAAAAGCGTTTCTTTTTATAAATACCCTCTAATTTGTCAAAGAAAGCGGCCATTTGAAGTCACAGTTGTGGGTTTGTGGGCTGGTTCCAGGAGGTGGAGCACATGAGGTGCCCTGGTTTGGGGGGATGCCAGCTTCAAAGCCAAAGTGCAGTCACGGTGCAGGAAGAGTGGACGGCGGCGTGGACGGAGATGCCCCCTCAGGATCCTTTCTGGAGCGCGGGTGTGGACGGCCAGAGCGACCAGCACCAAACCAGGCAGTTTCTTGGCGGCTCAGCACATGAATCATCGCTCTCCCGTGGGCTCGCTCAGCCAGCTCTAATTTGGGAGCTGAGCAGCAGAAGGGCCTCAAATTAACTTCACTTTGTCCTTCCTTTTTCACTTGGCGTTCTGGGACCGGAACATTGGGCGCCATCTACATGGAAGCTCAGGATGTCCAGGGTGGTTTACTATTGCACTGATCACAAGCAGGTCTTCCCAAGCTATTCCGGAGGTAGACTTGGGGGCAAAGGGACAGGCCAGGCCCACAGACTCACTTTTATACTGGTTTATTAACCAAAGAGAAACCAAACACACAGAGGACAAGGAAGGAAATACCAAAGAGGTGAGATGACATTGCAATGTACAGTCTCTTATGAGACGAGGAGAGGTGGCTGTGTATTTTCGGAAAGTGCTGAGAGTGGGCGCCCCTGGCAGAGGAGGCATTTGGAGTGGAGCTTAAGTGTAGGAGGGAACCTGGTTTTTCCATTACACATTTTTTATACCATTTGAGTTTTGTACTATGTGTCCGTATAATTGATTTAAAGTTTTTTTTTTTTTTATAGTTTTGCATGTCAAAAGACTTAAGTAAATACAGGTTAAACCAGGATGCTGTTTCAGGAGCTAGCATTCGGAAGCAGTAAGTGGCTACCGGGTCGAGTGTCCTTTGGCCATCCTGTTTCACAGATCACAGAACATGGAGACTCAGCTGGGCAGTGGCACACGCCTGCAATCCCGGTGGCTTGGGAGGCTGAGGCAGGAAGATCGAGAGTTCAAAGCCAGCCTCGGCAACTTACTGAGGTCTTAAGTAACTCAGAGAGACCCTGTCTCTTATTAAATAAAATACAAAATAGGGCTGGGGAAGTGGCTCAGTGGCTGCGTGCCCCTGAGTTCAATCCCTGGCATTCCCTCAAAAAAGAAAAGTATAAAGAAAATGGAGGCCCAGCTAGGAAGGAGCTGAGGGCTCTTCCTCGGCTGCTGGAAGGCAGAGTCCTGCTCCCTGGCAGGGACCACCCCACCGCCTTCCTCCCTGGCGAGTGCAGTTGGAGGCAGCAGATGCTCCGACAGGATCCAGGGAGATGCCATCTGTGAGGGAAACCTATTCTTAGAGAGCAGAGACAGTCGGTGGTGGAGCAGACCTACCCCACAGCAGTGGGGGGACCCCAGGAGGGCAGGCGGCCAAGGCCAGGGAGCAGGGCAGGCTAAGAGCGGGGTGCACTCAGTTCTCAGGACCTCGCATCCATCTGCATCAGACGCCATGTTAGAAATAACGACGACGTTTATTGAGTGTTCACTTTTATATGTTGAATCAATTAATCACCCAGACCCTCCAAGGCAGGAGCTGTTACAGAGCTACTTTACAGATGAGGAGACAGAGGCACGGAGGGTCAGTCACTTGCCCAGGAGGGGCCAGGCCAGGTCTTGAGCCCAGGCGGTCTGGTTCCAAAGCCCATGTCCCTAACTGCCATGTCATGCTCGTTCTCCACCTGCTGTACAGAGGCCAATTTTAGTTTGGGGTTCCCCAACAGCAGACCCTGAGGCAAGGGCCTGAGTGGTTTGCAGGCGGGGGGGGACCCCAGGAAGCACTGGCAGAGGCTCAAGAAAGGGCGCAGGGAGGGCGTGGCTTTGAGCTAGCCCACTGTGGTCTCCTGAGGCTCCAGCCAGCTGGGGAGCTCTGGGGGCCAGCACAGGGCTCAAGCCTAGGGTTTCCCCGCCCAGAGGGGGAGCTGCAGCTGGAGAAGTGGAACCCAGTGACAGGCGAATTCTCAGGCAGGAGATGGTGGCAACAGGAGAGGTGGCTGGTTGCGTGGAAGTGGCAGGTTGGAGGAGGTGGAGCAGGTCACGCTCCCCACCACCTCATCAGTACAACCTGCTTTGAGATGGCCAGACCCCCCCCCCCCCACGCCTCCACAGTGAGGGCAAGGAGCTCCAGAATCACCTCCCCTGAGCTTGCAGTCAACCGTGCTAGGAGCACTGCCTGTCCAATCCGACATGATCCCACCTCAGTCACCCCACACTGTGACGCACTGGTCACAGGGGATAATGATGGATGGCTCTGTCATGCCCCACACCACCCTGCTACTTGGGGTGGGGCTCAGGGCTGCGGCACCAGCCTCATCTGGGAGTCCGCAGTGGGGAGCCTGTCTGATCCCCAATCCAGACCCAATCCATCAGAATCTACATTTTTACAAGCTCTCTAGTGATGTCTATGGACATTTCTAGTAACTTCTAAGATACAAAAGGATATGGAAGTGGTATGTGTGTTAATGGAAGTATTCCTAGTAGACCGAGGGTCCCAGACTGATAGCCTATGGACCATGTCTTCCTGGAGACTTGTTCTGCACAGTGGTTTGAAAAAATTCCACTGGCACCCAGGCTCTGATCCACTGTGCCTGTCACTCTCCACTGCAGAGCACCCCAAACATTTCCATTTATGCCACTAGGAACGACTGCAGGCATCTGAGTTGGTACCCCTTTGGGGCCAGATCCTATGACTAGCTAATATTTGCATGGCATAGCATCAAAATTTTAAACAAGGCACTAAAAAAGACACGGGCTTCGGAATCAGGCAGATCTGGGTTCAAATACTGATTGGGCTGTTACCTGAACTGTATTCCCCTGGGCAGGTTACCTCCTCTCTTTGACCCTCAGTTTTTACATCCATAAAATGGGGATCAACAGACACACTTGCAATGTCACTGTTTGGATTAAAAATAAAAATATGCAAAGCACCCAGGAGGAAATTAGAACTCACTAAGTGGAAGGAATCAATAGTAGTGGCAGAAGTTGTGGTTGTAAGAGTCCAATGTGGACACTGGGTATTATGATTATTCTCATTTTATGAGAAATTGAGGCTCTGAGAGGTCGAGAACCTTCCCCAAGGGTTCACAGTGGAGTGGGAGCACAGAAGTCATATCCTCCAGCTCTAGATCTGCACTGTCCACTAGAAACTTCTTCGGGAATAGAAGTGTTCTGTATCTGTGTTGCTTGATATGGAAGCCACTAACCCCATGTGGCTACTGGGTACTGGAATGTAGCTCATCCAAACTGAGGTGTATCGGAAGTATTAAATATGCACTGATTTTTTTTTGGGGGGGGGGAGTACTGGCGTTTGAACCCAGGGGCACTCTACACTGAGCTACATCCCTAGTCCTTTTTCTTTTATTTTGAGACAGGGTCTTGCTAAATTTCCAAGGCTGTCCTCAAGCTTGCAATCTTCCTGCCCCCGCCTCCCGAGTCACTGGGATTCCAGGTGTGTGCCATTGTGCCTGTCCACACACCTGATTTTGAAGACTTAGTATAAGAAAAAAGATGGTAAAATATCTCACTATGCTAATCATTTGTTGAAGTTATAATGTTTTGTTAACATTAGGTCAAAATATATAATTAAAATCAATCCCATCTGTTTCTATTTTTTTTTTTTTTAATGTTGGCTTCTAGGAAAAAAAAAGGTTTTTCCTGGTAGCACTGAGGATTAAACCCAGGGCCTCACAAAGGCTAGACAAGTTCCCTACCACTGAGTTACATCCCCAGCCCTAGAAAAAAATCTAACTCCATGTATGACTCACATTATGTTTCTACTGGACAGTGCGGTTCTAGAACTTCTCCAATACAACACCAGAGAGAGGAACTTCATATTTCTTTAAAAAGTATTTGCAACCCGCTGCCCACCATCCAGGTGCCTTCTGTTACAGAAGAACAGTGGAAGAATGAACATATCCACCAGAAAGAGACCCTCTCTAAGGATCCTCTTCTGGGCTCAAGGACCCCTGAAGCCCAGAGACCTTGCCCTGGTCATGGAGGGCAGCAGCGTGGCTGGAATCAAGCCCAGGACTCCTCAACCTGACTCAGCCGTCTGTCGCACGGTTCAAAGTACCTACTGAGACGTGAAAATCTGTGCTTTTCCTTCCACAAATGGAGCCCTGGGATGAGCCAAGTCGGAGTGTGAGGCCTGACTTCCAGAAGGCAGGACCCTCTGGAGGGTGTGCTGACGGCGCCCAGCGGAGCTCGCCAGGTGCCTGGGGCCGGGGTGAGCACCTGGGAGCCGCCTACTTGGAAGCGCGGCTCTTGTTGTAGATGAGGAAGTCCGAGAGGTCGTGCCACACGTTGCTGTCCTCGTACAGGTAGGTCATGGAGGACTGCAGCGAAGGCTGCAGCGTGGGCCGGTGATACTCAAAGAGCCACAGGACAAGCCCCCAAACCACTGCCGTGTAGAGAGGGAACGGGTCCCACCGGAGCTCCGGGATGTAGCCCTTCTCCACGCCCAGGCGGCACAGCGCGAAGAGGACACGCGACGTCAGGTACATGTTGATCTGCGGAGAGGGGTGCCCGGGTTACTCACGGACATGGCCCCCGGGAACCCTCCTCCCACCCCAGCCCCCACACCGGGGCCTCTCCTGGGCTGGGGCCCAGGGCTTCTCAAAGTAGGTGTGCAAGATGGTGTGAGGCGGCAGGTGGCTGACATCTAGGATTTCTAGTTGTCTGCTATTTATTACTCTTTTTCACTATATATTTTTTTTTTAAATAAATATACCTGGTTCAAAACCAAAAGGTAACTTGTTATCAAAAGTATAATCCACAACAGGAAATTTTGATAAACTGAATCTCTTTGAAATTTAAAAATTTTCTCTGTGAAAGTCCATGTGAAGAGATTGAAAAGAAGAGCTGGAGCCAGGACAGTGTATGCCTGTGATCCCAGACTCAGGAGGCTGAGGCAGGAGGATCACCAGTTTGAGACCAGTCTCAGCAACTTAGTGAGGCCCTAAGCAAATCAGTGACAAACGGTATTTTTTTTTTTTCCTTTTTTGAGGGGGCAGGTACTAGGTATTGAACTCAGGGGCACTCAACCACTGGGCCAAATTCCCCAGCCCAGATTTGTGTTTTATTTAGAGACAGGGTCTCATTGAGTTGCTTAGTGCCTCGCTTTTCACTGAGGCTGGCTTTGAATTCCTGATCCTCTGTCTCAGCCTCCTGAGCAGCTAGGATTACAGGCATGAGCCACCACGCCCAGGAGACCTTGTCTGAGAATTAAAGGGGGGTTAAGAATAGAGGTATTTTGGATTAGACAGAGGGGAGTGAAGGGAGAGAGGGGGCATGGGGGTAGGAATGATAGAATGAGCTGGACATTACTACCCTATGTGTATATATGATTACACAGCCTGTGTAACTCTCCATCTCGTACAACCAGAAGAATGAGAAGTTATACTCCATTTATGTATGATGTGTCAAAATGCATTCAACTGTCATGTATAACTAATTAGAACAAATAGAAACAAACAAACAAACAAAATGATGTGGCTCAGTGGTAAAGTGGTAACTGGCCCTAAGCTCAATCCCTAGTACCAAAAGAAGAAGAAGAAGAATAGCTATAGATGAGAGAAGGAGAGAGATACTTATGAAACTATATCTGTCAAAGCATTAGTACCTTTGAACTTGTGATCCTCCTGCCTCAGCCCCCCGAGCCACCAGGATTACAGGTGTGTGCCACCTGTGCCCAGTTTACAGAGCAAATTTTTAAAAAACAATTTATTTTCCCTAGAGAGCAATGTAACATTGACTTGGGAGACATGAGTTCCAGGCAGTTGCTGGATTTACACATGGGGAAACAGAGGGGAGAAGTGACCTTCCAAGGACTGGCCAGTCACAGACCTCAGACATGGAAGATAGTCAAGGGTTCATCTTCAACTCCCACCCTGAGCTTTATACCTAAACTTTGTCCCGCCCCCCAGCCCCACCTGAGGGGGATTTTTACCTGGCTGTTGATGTTATTGTTGTCTCCAAACAACAGGAAGCCCCCGATGAAGGCAGCCAGGAATGAGTGCGACTGGTAGGTCTTGCCCTGTGTGTGGGCCTGCAGGGCGCAGAGGCCCTTGTAGACAAACACGAAGCAAGCCAGATTCCAGGAGTGGGTGTAGGTGGCCTGCAGAATGGCTCGCAGCTTGTCTCGGAGGCTGCACAGACACAGGGAGCTCCCGTGAGAGTGAGCCCAGCTGTTCCAAGGGCAGTTACCCATCACACACGCTGAAACTCAACTAGGCGAGGAGCTCAAGGGCAGAAGCTTGGGGCAGAAGCTCGTTAAGCCTAGACTGCAGCTCTCTCAACAGATTGGGCCTTCACTACTGCCACCTGGTCCCTGACACCCACACAGGGAATGCCACCACACCCTGTCCCCATACCCTACTTTCTTTTCATGGCTCTTTTCACCACCTGACCTTTCCTGGTTTGTATCATGTTCCATTATCCCTGCCTCCACACCTGGAAGGTAGTGTCCAGATCTGGCTTACTCATCTGCAGGGCCCAGGACAGGGCCGGGCACATAGTAGGTCTTAAAAAAAATACTTTTTGTGCTGGGCACAGTGGTGCATGCCTGTAACCCCAGTGGCTTTGGAGGCTGAGACAGGAGGATCTTGAGTTCAAAGCTAGCCTCACCAAAAGTGAGGCGCTAATCAACTCAGTGAGACCCTGTCTCTAAATAAAACACAAAACAGGACTGGGGAATTTGGCCCAGTGGTTGAGTGCCCCTGAGTTCAATCCCTGGTACCAAACAAAACAAAACTTTTTGAACATGTGAAGAAATGAAAGAGTGGCTGTCTCCCCAGTTTGTGCCGGGTCTGGGGACATGATTCCAAGAAAAACCCAATATGCTTGCTGCCTTCATGGGAATTATGAGGGGACTATGTCATAATGACAAAATGAGGGTCCAACTTTGATAAAAGATGGCACCAGGGTCTGAAAGATGGGGAGGAATCAATGAAGTCAGGTGGGGAGAGAGGACCATCCCAGGCACAGGACTCGGCATGTGCAGAGTCCCTGAGGAGGGACAGAGCATGGGGTAAAGGAACAGAGAGAGACCACTGAGGCCGTGAGTAGAGAATGCTGCAGGGCAGCAGGAGGAGGGGACCACCCTGAGCTTTGTCTTCATCCTGAAAGGGGACCGGTTTAATAGAGGTGATCCTTTTGAGGATCACTAGGGGGCGCTGGGAACCGCAGCAAGCCTGTAATCCCAACTACTGGCGAGGCTGAGGCAGGAGGATGGCAGATTGGAGGCAATTTGGCAAAACCCTATCTCAAATTAAAATAAAAAGGGCTGGGGATGGATCTCAGTGGTAGAGCGCATGCCCAGTATATATGAGCCCTTGGGTTAAACCCTCAGACTACAAAACAAAAAACCCCCACTAGGTGGCAGTAAAGAGATGGCAGGGGGAAGCCGAGTGTACACCTCTCAATCAGGAATACCACATCCGAGAGCCCTCAAGGACCCTAAAGGAGTGAGGTGGGTCCATTGGGCCCAGTGGAAATTTGCCAGGAGCAGCTGGTTCTCGCCCCACCGGAACATGGGTCCCACTGTTGTCAGTTCTAAGGAAAGAAAGCTGGATTTCCCTGTGAAATCTCAGTCCAGGCCAGTTTTTGCTCACCTAGGTCACTGCCCCTGTCTCCTAATGGACACCTACTTCTGTTTGTTTGAGACAGGCTTTCGCTATGTTGCATGGCCTTGAACTCGTGATCTTACTGCCTCAGCCTCCTGAGCAGCTGGCCTCTCCCTGACAGTCTGTGGCACCACTGTCAGCCTATGTACACACCTACTCTGGCCCGGTGCCACTCCCACCTCCCCTGCCAATCTCTTCTTAACCCGGCTGCACATTAGTAACCCTCACACCACTGCAGTAAGTCAGATAAGCCAGACACAGTGGCATGTGCCAGTAGTCCCAGCCACTTGTGAGGCTGAGACAGGAGGATCGAAGCCAGGAGTTTGAGGCCAGCCTGGACAACACAGCAAGACCCCCATCCCCATGGAGGGGGTCAATGGCAACTCCTGTTTAAAATCTTACAACAGCTTCCTGTTTTACTAAAGGAAAAGCCGAATTCCTCTCTCTGGCCTTAAGCTGGACAGGCCTGACCCAGGTTGCTGCTGTGACCCTCTTCTGTCCTCTCCCCTTCAACCACACAGCTCCTGCCTCCTCAGATTCACTGGGCATGATCCCACCTGAGTCTTTGCGCTGATCGTTCTAGTACCCTCGAATGCTCCTTCCCCTGGTGACTGCTTGGCCAGCTCTTTCACCCACTCTAGTCATAAGGCCACCGTCATTTTCTTTGTTTTTTTTGGGGGGGGTAGGGGATACCAGGGATTGAACTCAGGGGCACTCAAACACTGAGCCACATCCCCACCCCTAGTTTGTGTTTTATTTAGAGACAGGGTCTCACTGCGTTGCTCAGCACCTTGCTTTTGCTGAGGCTGGCTTTGAACTTGTGATCCTCCTGCCTCAGCCTCCCGAGCCGCTGGGATTACCGGCCTGCACCGCTGTGCTCAGCTGCCAATATCACTTTCTCATGGAAGATCTCACTACTGAATTTGGCAGCCTGCCTGCCTACAGCACCCTCCACTCTTCCCTCTTCTGTTCCAATTTTTCTTTTCCACAGTCTCTTTCACCTTCTGACACTCCATCTGCTTTCTTTATTTATTATGCTGGCTTTCTGCCACCTGCTGCTAGAAGATAAGCTCTAGGAAGGCAGGAATCATTGTTTTGCTTTGTTTTTGGTACTGAGAATTGAACTCAGGACACTCAACCACTGAGCCACATCCCCAGCCCTATTTTGTATTTTATTTAGAAACAGGGTCTCATGGAGTTGCTTAGTGCCTCGCTAAGCTGCCGAGGCTGGCTTTGAACCTGCTGTCTCTCCTGTCTCAGCCTCTTGAGCTGCTGCAATCACAGCGCCACAATCGTAGTTTTGTTCCCTGTCGTATCCCTGGTACCTAGAATAGTGTCTGGCACATAGTAAATAAATATTTTATAGTTAAGTAAATAAATATTTTCCTCACCTTTTCCCTCACAATCCCTGTCCTCTTGATAAACATTTGTTAAATGAATCAGTTAAAAAAAAAAAGTTCAGAGGGTTAAAAGCCCAAACAAAAATAAACCAGCAAAATAAAAATACAAAATGAGAAACTCTTGTGAGTTGGACGTGGTTGGTAGGAGCTTCTGTGACCCCTACAAGCTCCAGGTAGGTTATTGCACCACAAGATGTCTTCTGAGAAGGGAAGAGTTATGGGAGATCAGAAGGAAGGCAGAGATGCTTAAGTGAGAGAGGAGGGATCAGAGACAACTTTGCAGAGGACAGAGCCACAAAGAGCAGGTGTAGGTTGACAGGAGGGAAGTAAAGGTGTGGAGGAGGAGGACAGGGCATCCTGGAGGTGGGTGGAGCTGGGCAAATGGAAGTGGAACCACTTGTGGTAAGTGCATGGAAAGGTAGGGAGCTCTGTGTGCCCAGGGCATCCCTGGGTGGACAGAGTGGGGACAGAGCTGAGGCCAGGCTACAGAAGGCACTGAAGGCCAGGCCTGGAAGTTGGACTTCTTTGGAAACAGTGGGGAGCCTGGGCATTTTCAAGCAAGGACGTGGGACCGGAGCTGGAGTTAGGTACGGCAGGGCCCAGGCTCGACCCAGCCAGGCACTACTATCTTCCTGGCACAGAGGGTGGAACTGGTTTGAAGGGTGCCCAGAATGGGTGGTACCTGCCACTCCTGAAGAGGAAGGTCATGACCAGTGCGTGAGGGGCCCGGATTTTGACTCCATAGCTGCAGAAACAAAAGAAAACGGTTACTCTGGCATCACGGGCTCGTAGCTTCTTTTTGGACACCCTCTTTGAACCCTGTCCCCTCTCCCCATTCCTCATTCTAATACCACTCAGGGAAGGGAAATAATGATGGCTCCCCAGTGAGATCTGGGTTCAAGCTCAGCTCTTCTTATCCTGTGGTATGGATACAGCTCGTCATTGGACATCTCTGAGCCTCAGTTTCCTCAACTGTAAAAAGAGATGCAAACCCTTGGGGTTCTGGGCATAATTCTGATGGAAGCTGCTGACCTCCCTGCAGGTCCTGACATGCCTGGCCCCTGCCGTCCTGCCTTGGTCCACAGCATGCTCTTCCCTTACCCCTCCCAGCCACCTTTTCTCCCTCAGCTTTCTAATCTCAGCTGGACCTTCTGACCTTAAGATGAGATTTGGGCAATAGTTTATTGCCCCACAGACCTCCAAACTTCTCTGCAGATCTTTTTTAAAAAAATTTTTTGGTACCAGGGATCGAACCCACGGGCGCTTAACCACTGAGCCACGTCCCCAGTCCTTTTGTGTTTTAGTTAGAGACAGGGTCTTAACTAGGTTGCTGAGGCTGGCTTTGAACTCTCGATCCTCCTGCCTCAGCCTCTCAAACTGTTGGGATCATAGGGGAGCACCACTACGCCTGGCTCTCTGCAGCTCTTCATATGCCCAATTCAAAGGCTCATTTATCCCTAGTAATTTATCCTTTTATAGTTAACTCCCTCCTCCACTGGACTGTGGGCTCTATGAGGACAGGGACTGGGTCTTGTTTGTCCTCTGCAGAGTCCCCAAGCACCCAGAAGGATACCTAACGTATAGTATATGCTCAGTAGATGATTACTGATTGGCTGATTCTAGTAGAGTCCTTAATTACTCATGAGGGAAGGTGATTTCTAGAAGGTTCTATCTTCAGCTTAGTCCAATTTAAGAGATTCCCTAAAACATCTGTCATGTAACATTTTTAATGTATTTTTTTAGTTGTAGGTGGATATAATACCTTTACTTTATTTTATATAAAAATAAATAATAAATAGCACCAAATAGGTGCTAAGGCTCAAACCCAGTGCCTCACCTGTGCTAAGCAAACGCTCTACCACTGAGCCCCAGCCCCAGCCCATCACGTAACATTTTACTTTCTTCTACATGTTTAATACATATGTTTTGACAACTATTATACACTGGACCCCAAGTTTTTAATTATGCATTAAAGAAAGACTAGACATTTAAAATGATTAGACAGAAATACGTCACAATGTTGTTTTACTTATTATTCTCTTGGGTAATGGGGATTGAACCCAGGACAAACCCAACCACTGAGCTACATCATCAGCCTGGAAATTTGTTTTTGTTTGCTTTTTTAACCTTTTAGCACTTCCAAAATGATCTCTAATAATCATGCATTGATTGATTGTACTGGGGATTTAACCCAGAGGTGCTTTATCACTAAGCTATATCCTTAGTCAGGGTCTTACTCATTTTCTGAGGCTTGCCTTGAACTAGTGCTCCTCCTGTCTTCATGTCCCAAGTCGCTGGGATTGTAGGCATGTCCCCCTGCACCCAGCTAAGCACTGCTTTTAGATGGTACATCCTTGCCTCTTTTTAAAATTCAAATCTCTTCCCCCTGACCATCCTTTCAACTTTATCCTTTGAGCATCTGGGATTGTATGAACAAAACAGTGTTCACCTTCACTGTTATAAAAATGGGTAGTGGGCTGGGCGCGGCACACACCTGTCGTCCCAGCTGCTTGGGAATCTGAGACAGGTGTTCAAAGCCAGTCTCAGCAATGGTGAAGCACTAAGCAACTCAGTGAGACTCTGTCTCTAATAAAATACAAAATTGGGCTGGGGATGTGGCTCAGTGCTTGGGTGCCCATGAATTCAATCCCTGGTATCCCCCCACCAAAAAAAAAAAAAAAAAAACGGGTAGGAGAAAGACAATGGTAGTTGGCATCAAAGCCCTACCATGTTTTGCTGTGTGAACTCAGATAAATCACTTAACCTCTGAGCTTTCCTTTCCCCATCAATGAAAGGTATTCTCCTCAGGCATGGTGGCACATATCTGTAATCCCAGTGATCTGGAATATGGAGACAGGAGGATCATAAATTCAAGGCCAGCCTCAGTAACTTAACAAGATCCTAAGCAACTCAGTGACACCCTGTCTCAAGACAAAAACTAAAAATGGCTGGAGGTGTACCTCAGTGGTAAAGCATCCCTGGGTTCAATCTCCAGTACCCCAAAATTTTAAAAATAAAAAACAAAAGGTATTCTCCATTTCACATAAGATATAACACATGCAAAAGATTCTAGCACATCTTTTACTTTTCCTTGTTGGGTGTCTCCACCCTCAGTCTTAACCAGGTTTTCTATCTGCCTGACACAGGTCTTACCAGACCTAAAGATCCTTACGGGCCTCCTTGTTGTGTCTGAATATATGAATCAAACCCACATCTGTCCACAGGAGGCTGCTGGGTAAATACACATGGTTTCATCATCCAGTGGAAAGCATGAGCGACTTTATGCACACTGATTTGGAGAGTCTGTGGGATTTATAATAGCAAGTTGTGTAACTATGTGCATTACAGCAGAAATTGCAAAAAATGAGGAAATTCTTCTATAATTGTACAAATTGTACAAATTTCAGAAGAAAAAAATTTAAAAGATGTGGGGGAGAACATATTTATTTGTATATGCATACATCGTTCCTGGAGGAAGATATGAGACTGGACACAGGGACGGTCTTCATGGGGAGACTGGTGGCAGAGGGATGGAGCAGGCAGGACATTTTAGCATTTAATTTTTCACTTTTAATTTTTGGAGCTGGGGATGGAACTTGGCCCTCATACGTGCTATGGGCACACTTTATCATTGAGCTACACCTCCAACTTAGCACAGAACTTTTTTTTACAGTTTTGTGTGAAAGTGTTGCCTTTGGGCGGGGGCAGTACTTGGGCTTGAACCCCGAACCTTACATATGCTAGGTAAGCACCCTACCACTGAATTACATCTCTAACCCATTAACCAAAAAAAATTTTTTTTTTTGTACCCAGGATTAAACTCAGGGCATTCTACCACTGAGCCACATCCCCAGCCCTACTTTGTATTTTATTTAGAGACAGGGTCTCACTGAGTTGCTTAGCACCTCATTTTTGCTGATTCTGACTTTGAATTCACAATCCTCCTGCCTCAGCCTCCAAAGCAGCTGGGATTATAGGTGTGCACTACCATGCCCAGCTCCATTAACTAATTTTTTAAAAAATGAAATTAGCTGGGTGCAGTGGGATTATGCACCTGTAATCCCAGCTATTCAGGAGGCTGAAGTAGGAGGATTGCAAATTTGAGGTCAGCTTGGGCAATTTAATGAGATTGCCTCAAAATAAATTTAAAAATGAGCTGAAAATGTAGTTCAGTGGTAGAGTACTTGCTGAATATGCACAAGGCCCTGGGTTCTATCATCAGTGTCAAAAAGAAAAATTAGAAAGAAATTTTAAAATGTCAACAATTTAAAGCTGGTTATAAACTAGGTGTGGTGGCGTACCCCTGTAATCCCAGCAGCTCTGGAGGCTGAAGCAGGAGGAGCACAGTTCAAAGCCAGTCTTAGCAAATTAGTGAAGCCCTAAGCAATTTATTTTATTTTTTAAAGAGAGAGAGAGAGAGAATTTTAATATTTATTTTTTAATTATCGGTGGACACAACATCTTTGTTTGTATGTGGTGCTGAGGATCGAACCCGGGCCGCACGCATGCCAGGGGAGCGCGCTACCACTTGAGCCACATCCCCAGCCCTGAGGCCCTAAGCAATTTAATGAGACCCTGTCTCAAATAAAAATACAACAAAAAGATTGGGGATGTGGCTCAGTGGTTAAGTGCCCCTGGGTTCAACCCCCAGTGCCCAAACAAAACAAAACAAAAAAACTGGTTTATGGTTGCAGAGGCCACTGAACCTCCTGTCTTCTCCCTCGCCTGACAGTAAGCAGGAGGCCCAGAGCCCCCATCTCAGCTCAGGAAGCTGTCTTCCTCTAGGACCCTCCAGAGCCACATCTATGTCTCCTGCACAGAGAGGCCTTGAGCCTTCTCCAGTTGACCAAAGCTAAATGGCCCTTCCTTTTACCCCAAACACAATCAGAACAGTGCCCCCAACTCCCTATATCAGCCAAGCCCCTTCCCAAAGTCCTCAAACTATAATGAGATTTGTCATAGCCAAGAGTGGTTGATATGATCCGGCAAGATCCAGTCAGTTACTCTCCTGTTCATAGGATTATTCTTTTAAATGGATCAAAGAGTACTTAAAGAACATAATGATAGGACATGTCATGTCCTGGAGAGTCCTGACTTGGATAAACTAGCTGTAGAGGACACTTGTGGGACAACTGAGACAATCTGACTATTGACTGAGCAAAGGTCAATAATATAGAATTCTTATCATTAATTGATTAAATGCAATCATGACACTTTAGCTGTATAGGAAAATGCTTAATGCTTTTAGTTTTAGAGAAGCACCATGAAATATTTCAGGAGTAAAGTTTGACAATTGAAATATTGAGGAGTGAAACATCAGAGTGAGTTAAATTTTTACCAAGTTCGAACACCTCATCTAAGTTGCCTCTCTAAATGAATACCCTCTCTTCACAAGCAGGATATTCTTTTCCACCTCCGGATTTCATTCCGGTCATTCCCTTGCTGGGGATGCCCTTCTTTCCCTGGAAAAATCCCAACTTCAGAAAACAACTACCACCTCCTGTGAAAGACATTTGTTACCTGGTAGTTTAACTCAGACTTCCCCTTTGGACTTGACTGTTTCCGTTTTATAGAGCAGGAAATGGAGGCCAAAAGAGATGAAGCATCATTCAGCTTCAAAGATGAAAGATCTGGGATTAGAGCCCAAGGATCTGACCCAGAAGGTGTTGGCCTTGGCTGGGAAGGTCCACTGCAGGCACAGGGACAGCTAGAGCAGAGGTAGATGTACAAAGACAACATTATTGGGCAATGCCTGCTGACCCTGGGGCTGTGTGACTCCTATTCACTTCTGTTTTGTCCTGTGAACATGTTGGCAAAGGGGATACTGATGTTATCTCAGGACTCACCCCACTCTGGTCACAAAAGGAGTGGCTGATATGATCTGGTCAGATCCAGCAAGAACTAGCTTCCACCTGCCTCTGAGTTTTTATGAAAGCCAAGAGTCTGTCATTGGGGTTGAGCATCCCTGGGCTCCAATCCTGGCTCAAGTCCTGACCAAGTGATGGGACCATGAGCAATGAGTATATTTCTCTGAGCCACAATCTTCCCATATGGGAAATGGGGACAATGGCAATACCTACTTTGCTGGCATTCATTCGTTCAATAAATATTTGAGAATTTATAGTTATGTAGCGGGTACTGTGAGTACATCAAAGGACACAGTAGGTAAACATTTCTGTCCTCATCAAGTTCACTTCCTAGTGAGGCAGTTGGACCATAAAACAAGATAGATAAGCAAATGTTTTAGCATCCCATAGTGACAAGTACCACAGAGACAAATAGAAAAGGAGGCGGAGAGATGGCCCCAGCGGAGAGATGGCCTCAATGAAGAGGTGATAATTAAGCAGAGGCCTGTGAAAGGTGATTGAGTGAGCTAGGTAGACATCACGTGACTGTAACACAATAACGGCCAACAATTATGTGTGTGGGGGTAAATATTCCACACATATTGACTCAGTCCTCTGACAGTATGACTTAAGAACTACTGTTTCATTTTACAGAAATTGAGACTAAAAGAGGTTAAATGACTTGCTCAAGATCACACAGATAGGTGGCACCAGGATTCAAATCTTGACAGTGCAAATGCTTGCCAGCATGCCATTTTGCCACCAAGAATGTCATCTCAGGGGAACACAGGTCTTTGGTTGCTTCTCTGCTTGGTCGCCAGTTCCAACACAGTAGGCTGTCAATAAATGGAGGCTGTCACGAATGAGGTTTAAAGGTGGCCAAGCTCCCTTTAGGGCACCAGCCAGGTGAAATGACCCCAAGACCTCACTCCTCAGGTTATAAAGAGGTGAAATCAATTTGCCCAGCAAATATTTGCTGCTTTTCTTACTTTCTTTGACTTCCCCCAGGAGTCCCCAGTGTCAGATGAGGACTTAGCGCCGAAGGATGTGAGCCCAAAGGCAGCCTAATGGGTGCACATAGACAGAAGGTGCCTGCTAGAGGCCAGAGTCCAGTTTGTGTAGAAGGGCCGCAGAAGCCAGATAGGCCAAAGGGTGCACTGCCAGGCTGAATGAACTGGGCCCAAATAAGGGGATACAGGTGCTGGCACGGGAGGATCCAGAAACAGCGCAGTGGGAGCCCTGGCTCAGAGATGGCAAGGCGTTTGGAAGTCAAAACCCGGCTCCCACTGCACAGATGGTGGACACCGAGTCCTAGAGACACGCGACGGCTGCTCAAGGGCACAACAGGCAGCGGCGCCGGGCCTCGAACTCGCGTCTCCAACTCAACCTGGCCGGGTTCCTCAGCCCCTCCCAGCCCTATCGCCCCACTCACACGATCCCGTTCCGGAAGCCCTTAATCAGGGCCAACGCAGCGTGGTAGCGGCGCTTGCGCAGCAGTGCGTTGACCGCCTTGAGTAGAGCCTGTAGCTGCGGCGGAGCGGCCATAGCGCGGGAGGCAAATAGGGTTGATGGACTCAGCTGGACTCACACTGACAGGCCCGGCTTGCGGTAGCACAGCTCACCGCCTACGGAAAGCGCCGCCACGTCTTTGTACCCATAGGCTACATCTGCCGTCACTCATGTAGAGTGAGCCAATCACAAAAGCTTATTCGTCCACAACAATAATGGGATGCTTTCACTCTTAAAAATAACCGTCTGATTGGAAGGGAGAGGAGAGCTTTAGCCAATCACAATGACTTTGCCTCCGGAAGGTTGGCAAACCTGCAGTTGTCCAATTAGAAGCCACTTTTCCTTAGAGGCGTGTTCGGTTCACCGAGGGGCTTGGAAGGGGGTGTGGCAGCCATGGGCCAGCAGGGAGGCTTCCAGGAAGAGGTGGGCTTGTTGTAGTTGGAACAGACGATTTAGGTGGTGACATTAGGAGGAACCTGGCTTGACGCTTCTGACTTGGTAGCCCACATCACGACCATCTTTTCAGAGCATAAATCAAGTGACACCCTAAGTGACTTCCACCAACTCTTAAAAGCCAAACTCCTCCCCAGGGTCCACAGGAAAAGAACTTTATGCCCTGGCCCCCGCCTCCCTCACTAGTGCTACCTTCCTCACTTGCCACCTCACTCGCTCCTCTCCACCCAACAGGCTTCCTTTCTGTTCCTTGAGCTTTCCAAGAACCCTTCTGCCTCAAACCCTTTGCACGTAACTATTTCCCCACCGGGTATGCGTCCCCCCGCCCGCCCCCAGCTCTTCCCATGGCTGACTTCCTCTCAACCTTCAGGTTTCAGCTCACACACCATGTTATCAGAGAGGCCTTCCTAGATATCCCATGGAAAATAGCACTGCTCCCTGTTAGTCTTCTTTTTCGTTTTGTTTTTGATGTAACCCTAATCCATACATGCTTTTGGAAGCAATACGACTTGGCAATACAGCTTGGGGCTTTCATGTTTCATAGCGTTTATGGGTGACACTTACATATGACATTACTGTGTGGGGTTGACACTGGCTAACAGCTACACACTGACTGATAGCTGTGACTTTTCTTTTTTTGACCGAGGATCAAACCCAGGGGTGCTTTACCACTAGGCTACATTGCCATTTGTGTTTATTTATTTATTTATTTTTTATCTCGAAACAGGGTCTTGCTAAATTGCCCAGGCTGGTTTGTACTTTCAGTCCTCCTGCCACAGCCTCCGCAGAGTCAGTGGGATTACAGGAGTGAGCAGCTGCGACTGGTTGATGGCTGTGACTTGTAGTAGTGTCCCCTTGGACCATACGATATTTACCTCATGATATTATTGCCAGTAGAGACTGGTGGATCAAGCAATGTCAGAGGACAACATCAAAGCCCAGTGAAGAAGAGAATTGCTGGATCTATTTTATTATTAAAACTGGATTTTCTGGGTTTTTTTTTCCCCTTTAGTAATGGTGAACTAACTTATTTAGTTAATCATTCCTCCAAAAAGTTACTTTCTTAGATAGTATATAAAACTTTTTTTGGGGGGTGAGGGGATAACCAGTTATTTAACTCAGGGGCACTTGGCCACTGAGCCACATCCCCAGTCCTGTTTTGTATTTTATTTAGAGACGGTGTCTCACTGAGTTTCTTAGAGCCTCTGAACTCGAGATCCTCCTGCTCAGCCTCACAAGCTGCTGGCTTCCAGATTGGTTCTTGAACAGATAGAAAGATGTAAAGAGTGGAAAATATAGCCCGCACATGATGACCAGCAAAAAATCAGAGATACCAGACACCCAAAGTTCTGGCCAATGATCTGCACAACAATCTCTGTGAAGATGGGGAGCAACTGAAGAAGATAGAGGCCTGTGCCACTTCTGGGCACTTCACATTTGAGGCCAGAACACCAAGACCACTGGTCACCATGTCTGTACCATAGTGTGTCCAAGAAGAAATGAGTCTATAGGCATTTTCTATTAATAAAGATTTTATATACCAAAAAGGCATGTATTTGTATACACATATATGTATGTGTGATATATATCCTCTTATAAACACTGACATGCTAAACAGTGTGAGGAATGTCTGGGCCAATTATTGAGTGCAAGCTGGTAATAAGATAATAAACAATAGAATTCAAATACTGGTGCACTCAAGCCACTTATGATATGAGGGCATTTGCAAATATTGAAACTGTGAGTTTCAGTTTGTCAACCACACAGGAAAAGAGGGAGAGAAGTGTCAGCCCATGGCCTGCCCAAAGTGGGGAGTCTTAAAGCAGAATCTCCTCACATTAAGCTGAGATACTGCCCCCAAAGAGTTTCACTTTTTGGTCTAATGCGATAAGAACCCACTGACAACATGAAGAACTTGTGCAACCGGATTGGCTGGGCCCAGGGAAGTGCAGAAAACACTGTCTGGGGTTGAGCAGAAAAGTTGAAGAGAAAGGACAAATTAATTGTTTGAAAGCCCTTCCTTGGGAAGTTGTAACCATTGACGAGTTCTAGCGCAGCCCAGGAAGTAGAGACTGGTGAATCAAGCTACAAACGGGGAACCTGGCTTGAGGTGATAAATAATGAAGAGTGACCCACACCCTTGACAAAAGCAAATACAAACCCTCTCTGGAGAAGGGCATATCCATCTTTGGTTTCAGGGAACCACCATAAATAATTCTTCAAGTATGATGCCCATCACAGAGATACCAGACTCCCAAGACAATGCGAAGAACCAACAGATTAACATAGATTTCAGATATTATAATATACAGACAGGTTTTAAGAAAATAGTGCACACAAAATTCAAAGTTAGAAAATAGCAACAAATAACAAACTTTTTAAAATATAGTTAATTTGAAAAGGAACTACATAGAAACTTTTAGAAATGTCACCTGCTATTTGCATGGAGAATTTGTCACTAAGCCATGACATAGTCTGGCATCAGCAGAAAAACAGAAAAAAGAAAAAGCAGAGGATATTTGGAAATTCTTTGGTTTGGTAAGTTCTTCCAGGTGGCATCTTTTGCTAATCCCTTTCATACATAGATGAAAAAATTCTGCCCTCACCAGCCTCCCAGGGTGGTAAGGGTAAAGAGTTGCTACAATAGAAACACTTATTACCTGGTGACACTTTTTAATTTACACAACTCTGAGTCTCTCAATAATAGGGACCTTTGACCAGATAAATAAAATTTATTTAATGAGCATCCTGGAATACTTATTGAATATCAGAAATTGTTTTCTTTTTTGGGGGGTGTACTGGGGATTGAACTCAGGGGCACTCAACCACTGAGCCACATCCCCAGCCCTCTTTTGTCTTTTATTTAGAAACAGGGTCTCTCTGAGTTGCTAAGCACCTCACCGTTGCTGAGGCTGGCTTTGAACTCACAATCCTCCTGCCTCAGCCTCCCGAGAGGCTGGGATTACAGGCATTCGCCACTGTGCCTGGCTTCCCCCTTCCCCCACCTTTTTTTTTGTTTCTTGGCAGTGCTGAGGCCAACCCAGGGCTTCCTGCATGGTAGGCGAGTGCTGTACCACCGAGCCCCAGCCCCAGCCCCTGAATGCTTTGTTAATGATTTCCTTGTCACAACGACCTAAGAAGTAGTTTCTATAACCATGCCCACTTATCCTCTCGGAGACTGAGGCACAGAAAAGCAAGATGATACTGCTAATAAGGGATGGGGCCAGGTTGGAGTCCAAGCCTCCTGCCTTGGCTCCAGAGTCCTTTATCTTAACCACTATATTAGTTTTCTAAGGTTGCCATCACAATATACTACAGACTGGGTGGCATAGCAACATAAATATTCTCACAATTCTGGAGGCTAGAGGTTCAAATTCAGGGGGTCAGTAAGTTTACTTTTTCCTGAGGCCTCTCTCCTTGGCTTGCTAATAGCCACCTTCTGTGTCCTCACATGATTGCCCGCTCTGCCCACCTCGGTGGGTCCTCGCATTTTCCATATAAGCACATCATATTGGATTGGGGCCCACTTATGTGACCTCAATCAGCTTTAGTTACCTCTGTAAAAGCCCTATCTCCAAATACTGCCACATTCTGAGGTATGTGAATTCTGGTGGCAGTGGGGGAATGTCACAAGTTCAGTCCATAACAGTTGCCATGCTTTTCTGCCTCGTCTCAATGCCGACAAGTCTAACAAGAGGGTGATACCCAGCGCTGCTCCCTGTGTGTCCTCTACTCCTCTTCCACTGGGAGTTTGGTTCCAGTGCCTCATGATTCTCCCCTCCCGATACAGAAGTCAACTTATCTGGGGTAGCTGGGACACTCACTGTGGAGTGGGACACTAGAAATTCCTCAAACTTTCCCTTTTCCCTACTTGGCTCTATGCCTGGAATTACTACACGACTCCTTGTCCCAGAAGTCTCTAAGCTGCGATTAGCCACCAGACTAAGCTGTTCAGTGTCAACTAGGTGGCCTTGAGGACATGGGACATGGGACTAATAAAATGTTGGTGTTGAAAGCTTGTGGCAGGAGGCTGCCTGCCTGCTGGGGTGGGGCTCTAGAGCTCTGCATCTCGGAGCCCTTCATGAGCTGTCCCATCAAGTCAGGGCATTTCCACGGTTGCCTCTGTGCCAAGCCTTGAGATCCAACTGTTACCACAATCTCAGTCCTTGTCCCCGGTGATGCCAATTCATGCCAACTTAATCATGAGGGCACAGTCTTGAGAAAAAGGAAAAAAGTGTTATTGCTTTGCAAGTAAAGAAGAAACACAGGGGATTCCTGTCCCAGAGGCTGCAATTCTGTCCATCAGGAGGAACAGGGGGATTTTAAAGAACTCCTTCAAGGGTTGCATCCAGTAGGGGGTCCGGGGCCACCCTAACTGTGTTAGGTATTCACTTCTTAGATCCTCTGGCAGATAGCTCCTTCCTTGGCAAGTGTGTTCATGGGCAATTAACTAGGGGAAGATAACACAGTCACCCTAATCTTGTTAGACAGGGGAGGGGGAGAAGAGAAAAAAACATGTTCTTTTAAAAATAAGCCTGAGAGCAAGGAGGGCTATATTCAAAAGGTGAAGTGGCCCACTGTGCCCACCCCCACCACACTCCTTCTGAAAGGTTAAAGAAATTGAAATGTAAAAGATAAGATTTGTTTCAAGTTCTGTA